TCGTTTGTTGATATCATTAGCTATGTTGAGGTCATGTTGCATATGCCATAAGATCACTTTCTCCTGCAACTTTAACATCACGGGCGAAAGAGTGATCGTTCGAAATGACTTAGCTTTGTTGTAGTCGGTTTTTCCAGGCTTAGGGAGAAAGATTCCAAGAGAGTCCCTCCACAAAGTTGGGATGTGTTGCGTTTCATGGTTTTTTGTCATAATGTTTTTTGTTATGTCTTTGATATGAGCCCAGGCTTTCTGGAATATGATAGGTTTTAGAGTGTCAGGTCCTGCAGCCTTCAAGGGATCGAAGGATAGGAGAGCCTTTTCGATTCTTTCAGGGCTGTAGATTTTGTCTAGTAAGTCTGTGGAGATCGGTAAGGGGCAGAGAGGCGGAACTGGCGGATCAGTAACACTCTCCTTGAAGTGGGTTTGTGTCATGACCTCCAGTGTCTCCTCTGCGTTTTTGGTGAGTTCGCCATTTGGTTTATAAACGGCTTCAAGTTTGTTATTGGTGTCAGTACAGGTTTTCAGAATCTTGTTCATCCTTCCAGATTCCTTAACCGATTCTGTGTCTGCGCAGAATTTCCGCCACGCATTGCGCTGGGAGTTGGACAGGATCTTGTTGTATTGCTTGTTGCTTTCTCTAAGAGCGAGCCACGAAGCATCAGTTTTGATTCGACGAGCTGTGATGAGTTTGCGTCTTATACCCCTCTGTGCTTCCTCAACTTCTCGAGTTAGCCAGGGTGGTTTTCTGACAGCGCTGGAGATGTAAGTAATGGGACATGCCTCCTCGAAGGCAGCTCGGAGAGTAGTATTAATGGTGTTAACTTTGTGATCAATGTCGTGTGGTGTGTTAACGCAGGTGTTGTGGAGATCATTGTTGTTGTAAAGAATCTCGTCAAATTTCGCCCAGTCAGTGTTCTTGACTAGGCGTATTTGTCTTGGTTCTTTTTTGGGACCAGAAGTAATGTCGAACATGATATATCTGTGATCGGAGTTTGAGTAAAGATCACTAACGTGCCAGTTACTGATCAGTTCAGCCCCCAGTTGGTTGGTAATAGTGAGGTCAATGATGGAATTATGACCTCGTGAGTTGAGGAATGTTGGAGTTGAACCTTTGTTGGAACAGGAGAGCCCTAGCGACGAGAGGAAATCAAGTAGTTCCTCTCCTCTTCTATTGCACAACTTGTTACCCCAAAGAGTGTGTTGGGAGTTGGTGTCAGAGCCTATTATGAGTGGTATTTTGTTGTCTATAGCGTATTTGGCTAGAGGTGTGGTTTCGTGGGATGGAGCTGGTCCATTAATATCCATGTACGAAGCTGCCAGAATTACTTCTGTCGAGCTAAGTTGAATCTTAATAGCAACTTGATCCGGGGTTGTGAATTGCGATAGTTCCCAACTTTTTTCAGCTAGGTTTTTGTGTATTACTATGGCGGCACGGGGCCTAATGTCCCCAACTTTGTAGTAATACTCGGTTAGTTCTTTGCTTATCGGTGGAATTAGGTGTTTGTTATTAGTGTATGGTTCAGTCGCTAGTACAATAGGATTTTTCCTGCCATGAGTGTTCACCAGCAGGGTTTTCCAAGCGTTGTACTTGCGTTTAAGGTTGATTTGAGTAACAGAGTAATATTCATGATGAGTTTTACCTGTTTTTTTGGTATTGGGGACGTGGCGTGCAGCACCTGCAGTTACCCTCACCGGACGGGTACTAGGACCTTTTGGATTGGGCACTGTGTCGGGGGGCTGGTCGAAGTCGAATAGCAGCAACCAGCGTCTCCGGGAGAAAACTGTGTTTCTCTAAGAATGTCTCACCCGAAGGTGAGACATCCACCCAGATCCGCTGCCTCTGTTTAAACTCCGTCGACGGGCCCCCACCTTCATGTAGCTGCACAGCCACTGCCTCCCAGATGTTGGTTCAGATCTGTATCCTATTCCACGGTGGGGTAGGATTGATAGATAATGTTGTTATCAGTATATGGGAGATTATATGCGCGTTCCCGCGCAATGTTGTTGAAATAGGTCCTTTAATCACAATAATGTCTGATGTTAAGCGTAAATCAGGAAACCTGATCCGCTCTGCGAAAATCAATGTCTCATCTGTGTTACGCAGTTGATACATCTCATTACCGCTATCAGTCATGATTGTTTTGTAAATCCGGAGTTGTAGTATAGGGGTAATAGAGGTGGATTCCTTGGTGGTTGCTGAACGAGCACAGCCCCGATTGAAACCAGCACCCTCGCAACAAGGCTGTGAAGCCTGTGCAAGTGTGCCAATCCCACACGAGGCCGGCTCAGTCCCGCCTCCTCCACTGGTAATCCGGTGTTGTAGTGTAGGTGTAGTAGTGGTGGATTCCTTGGTGGTTGCTGAACGAGCACAGCCCCGATAGGAACCAGCACCATCGCAGCAAGGCTGTGAAGCCTGCGCAAGTGTGCCAATCCCACACGAGGCCGGCTCAGTCCCGCCTCCTCCACTGGTAATCCGGTGTTGTAGTGTAGGTGTAGTAGTGGTGGATTCCTTGGTGGTTGCTGAACGAGCACAGCCCCGATAGGAACCAGCACCATCGCAGCAAGGCTGTGAAGCCTGCGCAAGTGTGCCAATCCCACACGAGGCCAGCTCAGTCCAGCCTCCTCCACTGGTAATCCGGTGTTGTAGTCCAAGTGTATTAGTGAGAGTTTTAACACTTTCTGCGTATCGTAGAAAGATGTTTGTTTTACTACCGCGACAGTAATGATATGCCGCTAATAAGGTAAAGGTAAAACGGGTGCTAATGATCGGTATTAAGGGCCCGACCTTGAAGTACACACCCTGAACTTCTAAAACCCTATATGCTCAGGTGTGAGTGAAGGCTGTGAGAGCTCCAAAAGAAAAAGGGATCAAATGAGGTAAAGGAAGAAGGTTGGCACGTGCGACCTACGTTCAGTTTTGCTCAGCTGAACAGTACAGCTTAGTCTCGGCTGGTCTGTGATACCGATTAAGCCCCCTTACCACGGCAAGGTCATTTGCTTTGGATAAAGCACCATTACCAATCACTATAGGTGAGAGAAACAGGATAGGATTGGGTCCTGGGCAGTAACTCCAGAGCAAATGGGCAGAGTCATAGGTGGTGCTCTAGTGCTCAGGATTGACTCTGCCGCTGTACTTTAAATCAATAAGTACCTACACGTGTGACAGACGCCCCAGCCGACAAGCCCCCTGACGCGATGCATGCGAGCCCAGAACAGAGTGCCTACACCCAGTGGCACGCCATGCTAAGACAACGCCGCCAGCTATCGACCCGGATGCTATCCCCACGAGCTACCTAGCGACTTTCGTCGCTTGGGTGCTCAATGTGGACTGCCTCCGTTACGACCACCAGCTTCGCCACCCAGCCCAGCGGTCCCCTGGTTTCAGCCATCCACCCCAGTCTCAGCACACACCACACCGGGAACCGCCAACCAGCACATCCAGACCCACATGCCAGGCCTCATCGAAGCTACCTGGTCTTTTGCCCGGAACCAGACAAAAGGGGGAAAGCATGGGCTGAGTTTGATAGAAATCCATCTGTAATCAATTTTAGTTATGCTAATAGCAAGCAACATATTTTTGAAGTGGCTGAAGTTAAAGCTAAAGTTAACTATGAAAAGAAGATTACATCTAATTTAAAGCAGAATAGTAAGTCTTTTTACTCATATTTACGTAACAAAAGGCAAGTAAAATCAAGTGTGGTTTCCTTGGATAGAGGAGATGGTACACGCACAGATAGTTCTGCTGAGTCTGCTGAAGTACTTGCAAGTGCCTTCAGCTCAGTGTTTGTGTGTGAGCCACCTGGCCCTCTTCCTAAAAATGACACTTTGGATTATGATAAAGATGTTATTAGTGATTTGCAAGTTAACAGTGCTGATATTAAGAAGCAACTTTTAAAGCTTAATATTTTTAAGAGTTCAGGTCCGGATGGTGTTCATCCAAAGTTATTAAAATTGTTAGCTTATGATGACAACTTTGTAGAAGCAGTCACTAAATTATTTAAAATGTGTTCAGAAACGGGATCTCTTCCTGAAGTGTGGAAGTCAGCATCCGTTGTAGCATTGTTTAAAAAGGGTGTTAAATCAGATCCCTTAACCCATTAGGGACGATAGGGTCGTTTTTATGACTCACCTTTTCTAGACGTAAAACCAAATTACTAAACGCTATAACGAATCTATAGCATATATGCTCAAAATTTATTGGGCTACGTATAATGAAGCCCAATAAATTTTGAGTATATATGCTATAGATTCGTTATAGCGTTTAGTAATTTGGTTTTTCGTCTAGAAAAGGTGGGTCATAAAAACGACCCTATCGTCCCTAATGGGTTAAACTATAGACCAGTTTCATTAACTTGTATTTTGTGCAAAGTGTACGAAAAGTTGGTGAGGGCACATTTATTGGATTTTTTAGAAGAACGAATATCAAAGCATCAGCATGGATTTGTTAAGGGCAAATCTTGCTTATCTAATCTTTTAGAGACATTTGATAATATTCTTGATATTTTAGATGAAGGTGATCCTGTTGATCTACTGTATTTTGATTTTAGTAATGCCTTTGACACTGTCCCCCACTTTAGACTTTTATCTAAATTGGAGGGGTTTGGGGTCAAAGGAAAAGTTTTAGATGTTATTAAAGATTTTCTTACAGACAGAACCACGAGGGTTTGTGTAGAAGGACAATGGTCTGAGGTGAAACATGTGTTATCTGGTGTTCCCCAGGGGTGGTCAGTATTGGGTCCTTTGCTATTTATTCTTTATATTAATGATTTACCTGATATAGTCAAGAATAAGATTAAATTATTTGCAGATGACCTCAAGTTGATTGGTAATGCAGCTAACCACAGTGTTGCTGAAGATATTGTAGAACTGGAAGTCTGGGAGAGTATTTGGCTTTTGAAGTTTAATCCTGCTAAATGTAAAGTTGTTCATATTAATCTTAATAGCAACCCTAACTTAAATTATTTAGTAAATGGGATGGTGTGTGACAGTAACGAGTCCGCATGGCAGTGAAAGCAGCCAGTAAGTTTATCGCCTCGACAAAGATCGCTGGATACCTTCTTTGTGCAACTTTTTCCATCATTGCTAGTACGATACTCAATTTTGGGACATGGAATGTTTGTGGTCTCTCCACCACTCACAGGCAACATCTTGTTGCAGAGGACATCGACAGATACGATTTAGATATTTTGGCCTTACAAGAAACCAAAACTCGTGAATTCTTGGAAACAACACTTCCCGGTCATCATAGACTGTTTCTGTTTGACCAGAAGCAGGGTAGACATGGAGGTCTTGGTTTTGTTGTTAACAAGCGTTTTATGGACAGTGTTTTATCGCATCATCAGATCAGTGACAGAGTCGTTTACATGGACGTTAAACTAAAGCCCAATTGGGTAAACAAACCACCTTGTTATATCAGAATTATTAATTGTTACAGTCCTACTAATCCAAAATCAGTCCAGAACCCTCAACTAGCTGATAAATTTTATGGTGAGCTTCTTGAGGCTATCAGTGTTCCTGCTCGATTTGAAGTATGGATGTTAGGTGACTTCAATGCCAAGTTAGGCAAGCGTTCACTTGTTGATGAAGAAAATGGTTTACAGCAGCACATAGGTAGGCATGGTGTTGGTAGAAGGAACGAGAATGGAGAGAGATTGTTACATTTTCTGGCAGCAAATGGCTTATTTGCTACCAATACTTCATTCTCCCACAGCAGCAGGCATATAACTACACGCACTGGATGGATAAGAGACCAATCCACACGAAAAAGTAAACCATACTTCTCACAGATAGACTATATACTTTGCAAGTCCAGGAGCAAAGCACTACTGACTGATGCAAGGTCATATGCGGGAACTAAGCACCGCAGTGACCACAAGCTTGTAGTTGCGAAAGCAGATTTTTCCCTGCGTTATAGTTTCTACAGGAAGAAGAGGACTACTCAGAAGGCATTCAACACAACCACTCTTGTAGGTAGCATTGCAGCGCAACAACAGTTTAAATCTGCACTTACTGATAATATCAACCGACTAGTATCTGAACCTGACTATTCTTCTAATGATACTTGTCAACAGTTCGGTAAACTATTTAAAAGTGTTGAGACTGCTGCTATCTCCACTGTGGGTCTACGCGAGCCACAGCGAAAGAGACACCACTCTTCTGATAGTGAAGTTGTTGAAATGTCAGAGGAAAGAAAACGATTGCTACAACTTCTGAATAATAATGAATACAGAGACAGAAAGGACTTGAGATCAAAAATTAACAAACTCTCAAATGACATTAAGAAGCGACTGAATACTCTCAGAATAGAAGTTGCAAACAGTCTTGCAGACTCTATCAATAATACAGACGATGGCCGTAAAATGTTTGAAGCTGTCCGGCAACTATCAGGTAACAAGAAATCAGACTCCATCTCTGTTTTTAACGACAACAATCAACTGGTAGATAATGAGAGTGACAAAGCTGACATTATACGCAACTATTTTGAGCAACACTACACAGGACCAGACAGTGAACCTCCACTTGAGCCGTTTGTTGGCAGTTCTCAGCCACTAAACAACCCCATCACATCCTTTGAAGTGGAACAAGCTGCCAAAAAGCTAAGAAATGGTAAGGCTGTTGGTCCTGATGGTATTCCTAACGAATTCCTTAAACACTCCCCACCTATTTTCTATTCTACATTTGCACAGCTGACCAATCAATCATTTGAACGTCATGAACATGTACCTTCATTCACTGAAGGATTCCTTACCCCACTGCAAAAACCTGGTAAGCCACGTGGACCTTTAAAAAGTCTGCGCCCTCTTTGTCTTTTAAACGGCACCAGGAAGATATTGTCCATGATAGTCCTTAGACGCATTTAAAGACAAGTTTCTCAGTACACAGGACCTTGGCAAAATGCCTACAAGCCTGGCCATAGCTGTGCAAATATTGTTTGGACACAACGGATCCTAGTTTCAGTTGTGAAGGAGAAACGCTGGTCTCTACACAAAATGGGTATTGATATGTCATCTGCATTCGACACCATTAAGAGATCAGTTTTGCTAGAACTTCTTGCTGATGCTGGTTGTAGTGAAGACGACATCCGGCTGGTAAGGTGCCTACTCTCATGTACCAAACTGAAGATTAAAGTGAGGTCTGCCGTATCAGGGGAGTTCATTGTCACGATAGGTGCGTTCCAAGGTGATAGTTTGTCTGGAAACCTTTTCACCCTGTATTTGGCTGGCGCACTTTATCACCTTCGTGCCTTTATGTCTTATCTAAGACCCAACCCTCCGTTTGCTGAAAACCTGATACCTCTTGAGTGGGAGTACGCAGACTTCACAGACGAGGATAAAAAGAATTTGGAGTCCATGTTACCAATATGCAAGGAGATATTGGAGGAGTGGAATCTTTTTGTCAACGAATCAAAAACAGAGTTCACACATATCTATCTGGCCGAGAAGAACGAAGTTGATGAAAAAGGAGAGCCACTTCGAGGAAGAGAGCCCTGGAGATCATCTATCTCACTTGGTTCCAAATTGTGCAGCAACGAGGACATAAAAAGACGATGTATTCTGGCAAATCTTGCTTTCCAAACCTACAAGAAAGTTTGGGAACAAGGTAAACGCATACCTCTTAAGACCAGACTTAAGATCTACGAAGCCCAGGTGGTCTCCGTCTTAATGTATAATTGTAGCTGCTGGGCTGCTTCAAAGCAGCTACTGAGTAAACTGGATATTTGCCACAGAAAGCATCTGAGGCAAATCATCAGAATGACTTACCCTAATATAATCAAAAACGACACCCTTTACAAGAGATGTGAAGTGGTTCCACTCAGTGAGCGTGTTGCATGTGCACGATGGAGGATGCTCGGACATGTCCTTCGCAGTGATAACAACTCACCTGCACAGCTTGCATTACACTTTGCAGTAGAGAGTCAGAGTACCAAAAAGGGTAGAGTAGGCAGACACCAGTCGAACTTGCTTAAGACTATTAAATTTGATTTAGGTAGTAGGAACATTCCATTTGTAAATACAGACGATTTGTACAATTTAAGACTTTTAGCCTCTGATAGAGCGGGATGGAAGAAGTTGTTATAGCTTGTGTATCAGTATTTCTTTTTTTCTGGCTACTTATCAGATCTTTAAGATGTTCATTTATGTTCTATTTTTGATTTGAATAAAGTTATATAATAAAGTAAATGGCGTAGAACTTGAAGTATCTGATCAGGAAAAAGATTTGGGGGTTATTACCCATAGTTCCCTGCTTTGGAATGAACAGATAAAAGCATGTATTTCCAAGGCAAATCGTATGATTTGCTGGATTGTAAGGAATTTGATAATTAGAGAAAAATGTGTAATGATAGCCATCTATAAAGCTTTGATAAGACCTCATTTAGAGTATTGTGTCCAATTGTGGAATCCAGTTGCGGCTCATGGAAGTTGGGGGACTGTTTTGGAGCTGGAGAGCGTCCAGAGGCGGTTTACCCGTCTGATTGATGAGGTGGGTACTCTTCCTTACAGCCGTAGACTGGAAATCCTTAATTTGACAACGCTGGCAGAGCGGCGAATACGTGGGGACCTTATTGAAGCTTTTAAGGTTATTAATGGCTTGACTGATTATGGTTCAGACTTGTTCAGACCAAGCAGATCAGGTCTTAATCAGGTTTCATCCAATAGATGTAGTAAGAGTGTGACAAAGGTCAAGAATCTTCAGTGTTCTTTTCTTCCAGAGCGGGTTGTTCCTTATTGGAACAAACTCCCTTCGGAGGTGAAGAACTGCTTGACAGTTTTGAGTTTTAAAATTGGATTGGAAAGTTTTAAAAAGAATATGATTTCTAAATGTATTGTAAATGACTTTCATTTTTGGAATGTTTCGAAAGAAGTTTTAACAAGAATTGAAGGTACCAGTTATATCAGTAATAAGGAAAAACACAATGATTATCTGTGGTTCCATCCTTATGTAGCAAAGAAACGTTTTATAAATCTTTACTCCACTGGGAAGTATGAATAAATTAAATTTTGTAATGTTGTTTTTATTCATGATTAATATTTGATAAATTATTACCTTTAAATTTGATGGAGAAATAGTTATTTTTCCATGTAGTTTGATGATACTTTGTAGACATTAGTGATGATGTTATGTCATAATTTTTACTTTACTTTACTTTACTTTAAGCCCCCCCCCCCCCCCCTAATCTTACAGGTAGCGCAAACATTCTCCTGTGCAGATCAGACACATTCCTACCAATAATTGCAGGGATGAACTTTTCTCTTATACACTTCTCCAATGGGATGAAGAGGTCTTTAGTGTCTTGGATGGTACGCACAAAGGTCCACCGATGACATAGGGCTTTGGTATACCCTGATAGGGCTGCCTGAGGTTCATCGAGGGCAATATCTGACAACTCTTCTACATCCTTCACCCATTTCTCTACTTTCTTTTTTACATGTGTCTCTCTAGCCTCCTCTCCACCTATCACTGCTCCCAGATGACGCTCCCCATCACATGTGATCTCTATACCAGTCTCTCCAAATAAAAAATATAGATCTATTTTTTGTAAACCTGTAAACCTTGTAAACCTACTAGTCAAGACAAACTGTTTTGTAAGTGTTTTGTATAGTAAAGGTGTATAGTAAAGGTGAGGTCCTTATCATGCTCCTGCCTTCTCTGTTGTAACTTTGAATGTAGTCCGTTTCAAGTTGTGTTCTTCCTTTTTCTATTATCTTACCTTATATTTGATCGTGTCTTATTTTGAGTGTTTGAAATATTGTAAGTTGTTCAGTATTATAGTGCAAGTAACGAGTTGTAAATCAAAAATAAATTACGAAACAATTAAGGATTTGAGATAATTCATGATTATACTGACTGTTTGTGAAACTGGAATTTAACAATATTTCTAACAGGCGACCATGGAAGAACAAGATATTGTTATCAAGATAAGAGACGGAGATCCTTTGCTGGTCTCAAAAGAACGACTCACAGCTGAGAGTCGTATGTTTCGTTACCTAATAGAAGAGCTTAAGTATGATGAGCTTGAATTCGACGACTTTACACCAGAAGCTGTGGGCTTGTTTCTAACCTTACTAGAGGACAAGCAGTTTGTAGAGATTGAAGATCATATGTACAAAGAGATACATTAACTTTCTAGAGTATTCGAAGTTGATTGGTTAAAGGGAAGATGCATTAGTTGGTTGAGGAGCAGAATCAACTCGGCTACAGGAACTGCAGACAAGACATTCACATTGAATGAGAGCTGGTATATCTTTATAAAGTGGGAGGATAAAGATATGTTGAACGAGTTAAAGTCATGTCTAGTAGTCCAGGACAATTCAGCATTCATCTCCGAGTATATGTCGGATGTTAACAGCCTGGAGGAAGGGCAAATAGATCTGATGTTGACATTGGGAGGAAGCAACTCTGATATGTTTCTTCAAACTGTAATGCAGAATTTGATCGGGCAAAGAAAACTTCAAGGCAAGATTAAGTCTCTCCTTCAAGAAACGAACCTTGCGTTCTGTAGTGAACGAAATGAAGAACTTTATCATCATGTTTTTGAGGATATATCGAATTTACCTGAAATATCAGTAGCTGATATGCAATTTTCTTTAAAATTGATGTCGGATACTTCAAGATTGGTCACTAGTCGTAGAGAGCTCAGAAAGAAAACGAAATCGTTGGAGGTTTATGATAACAAGAAATATTCCGATCAAATTCGTAGCTGTACAAAAACGAATGAGATTAAAAAAGGAATTTCTGAAGATCGCGTTACAACAATGTTCCTGGTGGTCGAGCAATTGCTTTGGGCTTTCTACAAAAACACACCCAATAAAGAAGAGGCTATGACATTTTCAACTTCACTTCAGGACCTCTGCAGCGACAAAAAGCTCCAAAAAATATCAGGCGAATACTTAGATACCATTATTGCTGCCTTAATCTATTCCAATCTTGCACAGTCTGATGATATTATCAATATGCTCAATGAGATTAGGAGTAATGATAAGCTCACCACAAGTCATCAGAACGTTATCATAAAACTTGATAAGCACATTACAGTAACAGAAGATAAGGAGTACAAACACCTGTATACCTTTAAACACCCTGGTACAGGAACCTGCACAGAGACAGGTAAATGTGGTTTTATCTTGAGAGATACAGCTATAGGAGACGGTAACTTCACATTTATAGAACTGTGTACAGACAGTGAGTATTATACAGACACTGGAGTACACTACCATGATATTATCTCCGCACATGAAATGTTCATGTATAATACTGTGTCAGGACACACAGCTGCTGGTAACAAAGTAACTGTAGTGGGTATGTGGGGTTGGGAGAAGAAATGGTTACCTTACATTACAGACTGGGAGGTTGTAGAGTGGAATATAGCTTATAATGTTACTGATTATATGGTCGCTAAATTAGGACTAAATAATACTTATTGTTTATTGTTTAAAGTGTTCATTAAGTTTGTTAAGTTTTTGTACACTGTACATTATCATTATGATTTTGAGTGAGTACAGGACAGGTATTTCACTAGTGTTAACTGTTATTATAATTATGCCGGCTGAAATTTTGTCAGTGTAAACAATCGTTGCGCTCATAGTTTTAGCCACTCACATTTTTTATCTATCAGCACTTCTGCCATGCCATTTTACCCGATAATAAGTTTTACCGATCAAATATTTTTCAGTTATCATTTTTCAAATTAAAGTTAATTATCGTCAAAATGTAATTATTATGTGTTAAAATGTTTGTATAATGTAGTTTTTTTCAGACTCAGTTCGCTGAAACCCTGCGCCCCCCCCCCCCCCCCCCCCCCCTACGCAATCTTAGGGGGGGCGCCAAATCGTCGTTTGAATGTGGGACAGTTTGGGAAAACTTAACTACGGTACTAGCAAAACTGCACGTTTTGCTCTAGAAACACACTTTATTAGAGATTTGACCGGCGTATCCTCTAAAATCATCTAATTTGTTCAATCTTAGGGAGGAGCGCCAAAAGAGGAGGGGGTGCCAACACTCTTATGGTACTGCATGGGCCGTCATCTAACTATGTAGGTATTTCAATGCAGTATTTGGGCCAATTTTTCGTTTTAACTAATATTTACTAATTTGATTCCTTGTTGTAGTATGTCCTTGGAAAGAATCTTGAGAACCTCTGTTGTTGGCTGGAGGTCATGAAAGTGGTAATAACAGACTCAACTGAGACTAGGTATGCCTATTTCTGATTCCCTCCACCTTTTCATCCCACCATATCCAACTGATTCTTTTATTTAGTTACACAATTTTTTGTTACTAGGCAGATTGCTTGTAGTAGCAACGATGATTATGATAACGATAGAAATTTGAATAAACTGCAATACTTTACAGTGGACATTTAATTATTATCGTGCACCTTGTTAATCTCCAAAAAGTAATAAAAACTTTAAATAATTTTCAATTGTCGAAAATTATCTCAATAAATGTTTTTCAGAGATCCTTAGTTTACGTGAGGGAAAACATTGACAATGTCCTATAAAGGTAAACAGAAAAGAAAACAGTCATCTTTGGATCATTTGGACTCTGGTGAGTTCGCATTCTTTTGGGTACAAAGAATACCGCAAGATCATAAAATTGAGCATATAGTACTATCCATCTTGAACACTCAATGAAACAAGAAATTTCAATGAAACAAGAAATTTAATTTTAGCACATTTTACAGAATAAAAAGATGTTAAACAATTCATAAAATATAATGCCCATTTGGTGTATGACTTTTTGTCCTTGACTGCTAGTTTGGTTTAGAAGGACAGGTAACTAACGGGGCAAGGAATGCGCGTGCCTGAAAGCTTTTGCACACACAGAAACGCTAGTTCAGTTAGGTTTTTAGAGACAAGGCTCATATTAGGACTAGAAGAAATGTGTTAGTAGATATTAGGGGTTCTGTTTATAGTTGTTACTATAGGTTGCAGTCTTGTTGTGAAAAAAAGTCTACACTAAAACATACTTTAGTTTATATTGTATAGTTCAAGGATATAAAATGCAGCTTCAAGGTGGATATTGGAGAGCTTGCGAAAGATTATGGCCTTTGTATCAATGGTTATAACTTGATCTCTACGTCTTCCATCACTATCCTGGGTCAACGCCTGGGATTGGTGTCTCTATGTGGAGATAGGCCTAGATGGGTCTAGATTGGGTTTTAGTGTAGTTCCTGATGTGAAATCCTAGGAGGTTACCCAAAAAGATTTTCCCTTTCTAGTCTTTCTGACTGTTCCACAAATTTGATGATGTGGTTGAGTTTACTGTTGATCATTTCCTCCATTGTAAGAAGGGGTTTACCAAATATCCTCATTCTGAGTGTCATCAGCTGGATATATATTCACAGAGGAAGTGCTGGGAAGTTTCTGTTTCCCCTGGGCAGTGTTTGCAGTCTTGCGTCTCACATTATTTGCCACAATCTGGAAGTAAGCTAGTGGGCTTTGACCTGACAGAAGCCATGTTAGCCATCTGATGTGAGTTCCTGAAATATTAAGATTCCTGTATTTGTATTTGTTGAAAAACAATTATCACTGACTGCAACCTGTTTGTATTTTTTGAGGTGGAATTTGAAGAGATACTCCCTGATGGTATTGTTGATGATGCCTTCCGGTAGTGGGAGGAACGGTTCCGGTCCTATGGGGATACTGCTGGATCCATCCCTTGCGAGTTCGTCAGCCAGTTCATTACCATATACTCCGTGTACCTGAGAGGTACCTAGTGTGTTAAGGGGGCAATAATTTCGGCTACGAACGATATTTTTCCACGGGATCAAAAGCATCTGATAGATTATTACTCCCCTCTATTAGAAACAACTAAAAAGTCGATTTTGAGAAAATCCCCCCTACCCCTTAAGTTGGTCAGCGATGTCCAGCACTAGTCTGGAGCTAATGCTAGTGCTGTTAAAGTGTTAAGCGTTTTGAGTGAGGCCTGGGAATCTGAGAATAGGTTAATGGTTGATGGTGTTCCTATGTTATCATTGATCCAGGTACTCTGACTCTGGTGTTCCTGTGTTCCTTTAATGACACAGAATCCCGCTCCTGTGATACCACCAGCTTTCGAGCTGTCTGTGAAGATCTGCCAGGTGTTGGGTATGATACCCGTATGATAGCTTCAATTATATAGCTAATGGCATATATTTGTCCTGAATAATTACCTTGAAACGTCAGTCCAGGATGGTAGCCTTGGGGATACTGTCCCAAAGGACGCAACCTGTTTAAGTTATGTTAGCTAGCATTTTCTCAGCGTTATGGGCGTGAGATTTGCAATTTCCTCGCTGGTTGTAATTGTACTGTTTATTCCATATTCCTTGTAGTTTAAGTCTCAGAGCAGACTTAATTGCTATTGATTTGAGTTTAAAGCTGATAGGATGGATTCTCGCTAGAATTTCCAGGTTAGGAGTGGGAGTACTTTTCAGTCCTCTAGTGATCATAAGACCCGCAGAACCTATTACAGTGTCAGTCGTCAGGGAGGGCACTGTCTGAGTAGTGACATAATAACAGGGAAATCATTCGTTCACTACTTTAGACTATTGAGTACACAGAATTGCTTGAGAATAAACACATACATGTGTGATGAGTCAGTACACAGTGTCTGATCGAGTCCTTGGCCTTGGCCTCCGTTTGGGCCGAGGATCGACGTTTTGCCTCGGTTAAAGGGTAGCTAAATAATAGCCCAATAACAGTTTTAAGTGCGTTGTTAAGAGATTAAACGCATTGTTACAGCTTCAACTCACTAAGGCGGTTATTCTCGTAACAATGTGTTCATTTGCAGTGATTTAATAGCCTTACTTACACTATGATGTACTCGTCCTTTTCCGGTAGAGAAATAAACGCTCTTGAAATCAGTTTAAAGAGTCTGGCAAATGCTGACGTAATTTGGGGGGTCGCTTAATGCTGACAGTTCCTGATGAAGGGGGTAAAATTTGCTAAAAACTTGCTGACGTAATATAATGCGAACACTCCCTTATTGGAAGAGACTTATCGTGTTACAAATCTTAAACAATAATCTCAGAATGTGTGACGTGTGTTTTCTGTCTGTAAATCTGTCTGTGTGTGTGTAATATCCAAGCGGCTTAATCAAGAAAACGGAAACAGTTACGGGGCTGGTTTTTTCGGTATAGTGCCGACAAAACTATGAGGGAGCCAAATGGTAAAGGGTTTCTAAATCTAATCGGTGGTAAGTGGTTTAATTGATGGCTTTGTACCACAAATGTTACGTAAAATGGCTTGAGCAGCTTAATCAAGAAAATGGTAAGAGTTACGGGGCTTGCTCTCTCTCCCATTACTGCATATTATGTAGCGTCTATATATATTATATCATAATCACTTTCATACGAATATATACGTAATGCATGTTTTCAAATATGCGGGTGTGGTGCAGAGTAAATAAGGGTTAATTTATATTGGTTATTGTTTAAGATACTATTTTTTAAGGATACTATTGGATAGTGAGGGCACTCCGAATAGAATTGCTCGCCTAATCCGGGTTTTGACTCAGCGGGTAATTACTCCTACCCTTTTTAACTGCGGCAGTGAAATCCCGTGTTACACTAGTTAATTCTATAATATGTACGATCTTCATTGAAGTAGTCAGTAAAACAAGGACATGATACTATGTGTGGGGACTACGGACATATCATAATATATAACTAGTTTAGATTGCATCATCCCATCGCATCAGAAAACTGTTACATAAAATAAAACGGTATATATTTTTATTATTTAATGCTAATATTTCATTAACGATATGCCAGGATGGCCGAGTGGTCTAAGGCGTCAGGCTAGGCTATGATAGGCTCATAAACCTTAGCTAACCCTGACTCAACGCATGTTGTCAGCTGTTGTGCGTGGGTTCAAATCCCACTCCTGGCTTATCTTTTTTAAATCATGATACTTTATGGACACGTTCATTGAAGTTTGAGGATATTTGTAAACAAAGAAAATAGCGTTTATATTATAACCGCTCGATCCGTGCCAATGTTGTATCATAATTGTTAGATTTACATAATCTATTTCATAGAAGATATGCCAGGATGGCCGAGTGGTTAAGGCGTCAGATTGCGATGGGCTCATAAACCTGAATCCATTTCTGATACACGCATGTGTGCGTGGGTTCAAATCCCACTCCTGGCTTTCTTTTTTAAATCGTGATACTTTATGGACACGTTCACTGAAGTTTGAGGATATTGGTAAACAAAGAAAATAGCGTTTATATTATAACCGCTCGATTCGTGCCACTGTTGTATCGTAATTGTTAGATTTACATAATCTACTATATCTTAGACCAAGGAATGCTATAATTGGGCAGCTATAGTTAACAAAGTCACAAAAATGTGACATTTTAACCATTATAGTGCCTAACAATAACACATTTTCTTTCTCAGCAGTGCATATGAAAGTATGGCCTATGGGTCACGTGGCTAATGTACAGAACTTCTGAACATGCTAGATTAATAGATACTAAAATTAAGCCATATCTTCTGGCATATCTTCAATGGCATTTCTTCAATGAAATATTAGCCGTTATATACCGTTTTCTTTGATGTAACAGTTTTCTCATGGGATGATGCAATCTAAACTAGTTATATATTATGATCTCGGCTTCTAAAGGACTGTTTGATGTAACAGTTTTCTCATGGGATGATGCAATCTAAACTAGTTATATATTATGATCTCGGCTTCTAAAGGACTTAGAGACTTGAATTTTCGCTTAAAATAACCGCAATAGCCTTATTTATATACAAGTTATGAAGCAATATTTAAGGTATCAAGTGCTTAGTTTTAAAGATATTCACGAAATACTTTTTTTTGGCTCATTGCAGCCTGAATCACCGAATTATTTTTATATCTCGAGCTAGAAAGGTCGTAGATACTTTTCTGATATCGAAAAATTTTCGCAATGCGCAGATTTATATAAGACTTATGGATCATGATATGCTCTAAAAGGATTATTTGTAGAGATATTGGCAATCATCGGTAATTTTGGGTACACGCAATACAAATTTGGTAATTCGTTTTGACTTTGTCTTTTTGTTGCACATTTTCACGTTACAATTTTCAAGATGCGGTTTGTGGCTATCGATATGGCTTTATATGCTATTTTATGGTTTTGATACAATCCTTCAGCACCTGACATAGACAATAGGGGTCACAAACCCTGAAATGTCAGGAATTGGGAAGTGGCCGAAATAAATATTTGATAATTACTTGGACTCGTGACTCACATACATCTTTTCGATGGTTAGTGAGACATCTTAAACCAGTATTGAACGTGGAGTAAAACTAGTAACTGAATTTAATGTGAAAATGGGCCTACCTACTTTACTATAATTTCGTTTTGTTATAATACAGGATGGCCGAGTGGTTTAAGGCGTCAGATTAAGATGGGCTCATAAACCCAATATCTAATCCTGATACAACGTATGTTGTACGTGGGTTCGAATCCCACTCCTGAGATACTTTTTTAATTGTGACACTATAAGCTTCTCATTTAGAATTAGTATGTAATGGCTTTGTAATACTATGACGGCATTGCTTTGAATTTGAATTTCTGATGATATTGATTTTCACTTTCAGTGCTATGTAACCTGGCAGTAACGTTGTAAAGGACTTTGAGGGGGTCTGTAGTCCCCCCGCTTAGTATGTTTGTGTTTCACTGATTTGTAAACTGAAGACGTAAATACTGTATACCCACATTTTAGTGAAATTAATCTGAACTTAAGCATAGTAGCTGAACGTTATGTGAACATGAGATTAAAATCATATTTGTATGGTCTTAACCAAGGGAGCAACTTCCGGTGGAGTATACACCCTAAGTTCAAAGTTGTCGTACTTTTTAGCTTTGAAATTTGTATTGCAGCACTGTTCTGCTACTATGGAGTACACAAAGTTACTCAAAAATATACCTTGAATAATATGCTATTTACAATAAGGTGAGCGGACCGAATCCCTACCGGTAATCAAGAAGATATTTATAGTACCCTACAGCGGCCTTAGTTGGGATTCTTTTACAGCATGGTTGCCGGTTGGATTATGGCTTATGTTAAACAATAAACATGGTTAAACGTAAATGCGAAGACAAATCCGTTTTCGATGAGATGCTAAATTAGCATTTTGTAATTTATTGCTGTGTTAAAATCAACAGCCATGAGTTAATTAGGTGTTATTAAAACAAAATTTGTTTTTAAAGTAACCAAACCTGAAGACTTGGTAATTCACTAGGTTTGTTTCGCTAAAATGACACATTAATTGGCGATTCCTTTAAAATGATTAATAGCGTATTTCCTCATTATATATCCGAACCCGTATACTTATATTCTACTTTCTTGCTGCCTTCAGGAAAGAGTAGGGTAAAATCGGAAAATAAAAATTTGCCACGGGTGGGATTTGAACCCACGCCCACATACATGGACCAGAACAGCGTAGCGGTTTGGCCCGCCGTAAGCCGTCTGGCGCCTTAGACCACTCGGCCACCGTGACTTACAATAAATGACATATATCAGCATAATAAATAGCATAAATATAACGTTGACTTAATTTACCTATCTTTCCTCCCTCCACCCTCGCCCCGTATCACATTACAAGCGAGGTTGTATGTTATGTAGAATGTCTTATCATGTTACATTAATTACGCTTATAAAATCTTTTGTTTCAGAGATAAAATCATTTTCGGAATACCTTGCCAAAGGAGAAGAAATAAAGTTGCGGTACTGTGACTCACAAGAAAACCGTCCGATTATGTTACCTCCTGCTCCCAAACAGAGTTATATCGATTGTTATCCAGATTTAGATTCAGATTTCGACATCTTTGCAAGCGATAAGCATAAACAGTCTTGCTATGAGACGGAGGTTCTCGTTTACAGAGCCTTAGAGCAGTTGGATGATAACATTATTGTTCTACATAATTTCGAGTACAGTCACCACCAGTATAGAATATGTGATAAGAGCCATATCAGGAAAGACTGCAGTCAATGTAAAGGTAAGGGAGGTAACGCCAGCAATATAGCAGAATGCGACTTTATTGTGATGGGGAAGAACTATTTTATTATAATAGAGGTGAAGAGCATGCATCAGGACCACTCTAAAATTCCTGATAATGAAGTTACTCGTACGTATAAAAGCAATAAGAACACATATAAGGCATGGCGTATAGCACAAAAACAGATACAGCGTACAAAATGCTTGATTGACGGTATCATCGAACAATTTTTCGAAGGAAAAGATAGAGAAAAAGTTAAAATAGTGGGTATTTCTGCTTTTCCTAGCACACCACGTCTATTTCTTCAGACGGAAGGAATTACTCTGTGCAAAGAAGATTTTAAAGATTTCGGAGAGTGGTGGCAGACACATATACTTGATTTGATAACCAGCAATTATGTTCATGACGATTATGTTCATGACGATTTTCACAGCAAAATGGAGAAAGCTAAAGCGATACTACTTGCAATATGGTGTACTGATAAGAACCAGTGTGATGAATTGAAGTGTAGTTTAGGACACAGTATAATGGCCATTGACGAGGATCTGAGACGAGGAATGATTACTTATGCCAGTTACAAAAACCGTTCCAGGAATCCTAGTGTTATAGAAGCTCCTGACATTATTAGTAACTTTGTCGGGATAAAATACTTAACAGCAGAACAATTTAAAGTTTTAAATTCAGACCAGAATCTTCTCTTCATTAACGGACCTGCAGGTTCGGGTAAAACTGTTATTATGTTAGGGAAGATCCTTCAGTTGGCCCTAAATGACAAAGAAAACAAAGTTGTGCTAGTAACTAACATTGGATGGAACAGTTACACAACATTGTATGAAAGTACTTTCAAAAAAGCTGGTTTATTATATAAAGTGGTAGACTGGGATTTCAAGATAGATGAGTTATTGGATAAGACCTCGATTAGCAGGATAGTTATACTGAAAGCAGACTTTATAACCTGTCGTAAACTCCTGCCACGTATTCTGGATTATCTGAAATTGAGTAATGCTCACGTATTTATAGACGATTGTCAAGGAGTAGTTTATCGCAACATTTACTCGGTTGGTAATCTACTAGAATGCTTTAAACAATTATCTGAGATGAAGCATGTCTGGATAACATGTGATTTAACTCAGACGACTCCGTATTCTGGGCAAGATCTAGGAAACAAATTAACTCAATCTTTCATACGAGATGTGGACCCTACAAACATTGTACCTTTAAGCCTTAACTTGAGGAATACTTGTGATGTAACTAATATTTTATCAATATTACGAGGGCTACATATAGCCTCTGATGAAGATTTAGATATTGTTTTACCTGTGCCGAAACCAGGTCATTTTATACACGGTACACGGACTGTAATACACGTTATTAGTGAGCTGATAATTGATAGAGAACACTTAGTTGTGACTATATTAAATAAAGAGCTTGATAAATTAACATTCGGCTCGGATTTTTCACTAGGATTTGAAATAGGGATAATATACAATGGTAGTTCTCGTGCCAGTTCTTCACAATGTATTGAAGAAACTATAGATAAACGATTTGATAGTAATTTGCAGCTTTCAGATAGTTCAAATTGTTATTCAGCTGAATGGCCGGCTGTTATTGTGATACACGATTTTGCACGTGACATATCTGCTCTTTACCTAGAAATTTCTAGAGCTAGAGTACACTGTGTTGTAATCTTATTCTCAACATTAATAGATATTTCTGAGCTTGACTTGTTGAGCGAGCTTAACAATTCAGCTAAAATAATTCGATATTAACAGCTTACAAGTTTTGAACCGAAGATATTCCTCCTATTTATATTGAACTCTCTCTCTATAAGATGCAGCAGAAGGCATTAACAAGACGTATGCAGCATGTATAATGCTGTATAATGAATGGAACTAAATTAGGTTTTTTTGTTCTTATTTAAGCTTTTTGACACCTCAACATTATTTTAAAGTGATTATTTAATCAGTGCAATAACATTGGCCCCTGCTACCCTCGCTACTGGGGGAAAGGGCACCTTAGCTTTGGGGCGGCATTTTTCCGAATTGTTGGTATTTTTAAAAGAAAAACGTCTGATTTGTGTATTATCCGGCCACTTGAACGTTCAGATACAAAATGCTTCCTGGGGGCGGCAAAAAAGAAGGGCTGACCTTTTTTCAGCAGGGGCGGCACATACAGTGTAGGTACGTTTCGCCACTGTATTTTAAATGACTTCAATGTAATTCTCATTCTGTCTATCATAATTTTAGATTTTCTTATTAAACCAGAATGCCCTTCTAAAATATATCATTTATGATTGTATCATAAGGAATTAGAATTTGAGATAACTTTTATTTTTCATTTTTAAGGATTTGAATAAAAATTGATGAGGAAATCTGAAAATACCAGATTGATAGCTGAAATCATATTTATTAACGCTTTTCATATACAAAGGTTACAACGAATTCCTCATGTTATGCATCCTGGGTTTGGACAGGATAGACCCGTTTAAGTTGTAACATATTTCCATCACTTTACATTACATAATTCTCAATAAATGTAATAGATTGGTAGTGTTGTAATTTGTTTGAGACGCGAAGAGTTGATGAATCCGGATTTTTGGAACATTTTTGGATCATGGGACAAAATTGCGACAAAAAAAGGACATGCATTTATTTGCCCTAACAAGCTCTGAATAGTGCCAAAAATAATTGTAAATGATGGATATAGTTGCAGGGGCCATCGAAAGTAGCATAACATTACCCAGGTTCATGGAATGAACGAAAATGAACAAAAATGAATATTCTCCTAAAAGTGCTCAGAACGGTTCAAAATTGGTCGGAAAGTGTTTATATTGGTTTTTGGACCACTCAAACCAAGTTTAGGAATCACTGCATGTCTAGAACTGATGAAACCAATGTTCCAATTTTGTCCCAATAAGGCTCCTGAGTATTCAGATTTTTAGAACAAGGGGACATCGAAGTATTGGATGTATTTGAGTTACGGATTGATCTACTGGACGCGAACGACTGACGACATTCTAATGGAGTGACATGACCCAGCACCGCGCGCGAACCGGCCTACGTACGTACAGCGCATGGTCGGTACAATACCGCGTACGTACGTAGGATACACGGATATAATACAACAAGGATACTAAAGTGATATCTTGTATTTAATATAAAATGTCTCATTAAATACGTTTATAAAATCATCTTACCTTGCCAAGTAAAGGGAGAAGAAATCAAAAAGCAGTACTGTGACTCACAAGAAAACCGTCCGATTATGCTACCTCGAGGTAGCATAATCGGACGGTTTGGGAGCATGAGGCCTCATGCTCCCAAACAGAGTTATATCGATTGTAATCAAGATCCACAAAACATCTTTTGCGACATCTTTAGCTTTGCAAGCGACAAGCATAAACAGTCTTTCTATGAGACGGAGGTACTCGTTTACAGAGCCTAAGAGCCTTAGAGCAGTTGGATGATTTAGTTTAGTGATAACATAATAGTGATTGATTGATTGATTGATTGATCAGTTCTACATAATTTCGAGTTCAGTCACCACCGGTATAGATATACTATACACCATAGAATATGGATGATGATTAAGCACTCTACACTCGACTGTCACGTGACTTTTTCAACCCGTTCTCTAGCTGGTCCTAAACGACTATTAGAAACCCTAACCCTATAATCTGATCCTAAGCCAATGTTTAACAAAAGCATATGCTGAAACACTAACCCTAACGAGAAATTAGACTAACTTCCTTAATATCCTTATACGGTCATACCACGTGATCGAGACAGTTTTCAAATATCTCGTCATTTTATCCATTTTAATCAAATATGTCATTGTCATGGGGGTGATTCGGAATCAGCGTCCAAAAATACATCGATTGAAGCATGAAGATGGTTTCAACTGTCTGGGGCCCTTATATTAAGAACAATCTCGAAGATCGACTGTAGAGAGATTTAGCGCGCTCGATAGGATATGTGATACTTTAGCATTTAGCCAGGTATACATTGTAGCGCGATGCACTACTGGGTCGCGCCGCGCATCAAATAATTCTTCTCGCAACCACGGTATATCGGCGAGATGCACCACTGTGCCTCACCGAGCTGCGAAGGATTGACATCGTGAATCAAGGTATACAAAGCTAAAGGTGTGCAGTGGCGTAACGAAGGGCCTCGCTGACGTGACCCCGCTGTGCGGGGGGGGGGGCGCCAAATAGTCATTTGAATGTGGGACAATTTCGAAAACTTAACTAAAGTACTCAACTAGCAAAACTTTGACGGATGTTACTCGTCTAAATTTCTTCGAAGTAGCGCGCGCCGCTTTCTTCTCGAAATGTTATGGCCCGATGGCAAGTGCTACGCGCGAAGTAGCTCGCGCCGGGCTAGATCATTAACAATGGTCAAGCAAAACTGCGCGCTTTGCTCTTGTAGGTTTACAACCTTCCAGGACGCGCGCCGAGTTGGACTCGTCGACGGTCCAATATATGGAACAGATATTTTACGAGTATCGCCCGTTAAGTTTTGCTCTAGATACACACTTTTTTAGAGATTTTACCGGCGTATCCTCTAAAATCACCTAATTTGTTCAACAGGCAACGTTACGCCACTTTAGGTGTGTAGCTGAAACGTCGACAACATTAACAATTAACGGGTGCGATACCAGATACGCGTAAAATATCTGTTCCATATATTCAATATTGGACCGTCGCGTCGACGAGTCCAACTCGGCGCGCGTCCTGGTAGGTTGTAAACCTAGATAGTACCTACAACGACAACATTTCGTTTATTACATTGACTTTGACATTTGAGTGCGGAGACTCTCACTCCACACTCCCAACATGATAAAATACACAATGAAATTTAATCAAAGAAACTGATATAATCTATCGGATTTTTAAGTTTATCTTTTACATTATTGAAAAAATGTCTCTAAAATGCTAAAACATTAAAAGTAAAACAGATATATTGACATTGTATCTTATGGCGTTTCACTTCCAGTTCCAATTGCAATGGGTTGACCCGGGATTTAATTTCAATTTACTATGTTAGTCTTTTTTCCCGTCTGAGTTAAGCCGTAGTCTAGTAGTAGTACATACATATTGCAATTGCAATATCAAATATTTATGTACTACGACTTACGTCTTACAGCCAGCCGCCAACAGCAAACAGGAAACGTTACGCCACTGAACACACACGGCCACGCATCGTGTGTCAAAGTCAGAGTACCTTATCGGACCTTATTGATCGGAACTTATTTGACCGGACATTAAATTAAATTATGAACGGACATTAAAATGAACGCTCGAACTTCGAAGGCATTCAAAACCATTAAAAATCCAAACCTTTTCATTTTCTGCTTGACCATTGTTAATGGTCTGGCCCGGCGCGCGCTACTTCGTAGCACTTGCCATCGGGCCATTTCGAGAAGAAAGCGGCGCGCGCTACTTCGAAGAAATGTAGACGAGTAACATCCGTCAAATTTTCTGCCCGTTAATTTAATATTTTATCAGATAATTTGTAAATTAATTTTTCATACTATGATTATGACTATGTTCATGAAAGGCAGTCGTTCAGCAGTAAAAAATGTCAAAATATCTGTAGATCAGTGTCTATGATTATAAAATTTGTGTAATAAACAATAAAACAACAGATATGAAATATGACCAGATTTGATGATCATATCGCACCGGTCATCTTCGTCAAACTCAAATGGGTTATCGTGCATTAAATTATTTAATAAATATGTAATAAATATTCCATGCTTAAAGCATCATATCAGTAATACCTGCTTTTTGAAAACAATTTTTTATTTGACCACCTCGGTCCTGCATTTCAGAATCAGTGTAAACTTTTAAGAGATGTGGAGGTAAATAATAACTCCGAAGAAGAAAGAAGTGAACGAGGAAGCCGAAGATCAAGAAATTTATCTACACGCCATAATGTGATACTTAGAATCTTGCTCTAACCAGAGCCCTCTCGCTTGCAGTAGCGCGCGACCGCGTCACGCAGTACCCGTACACACATGGCTATGTGAACTTAGAATCGAATATTTCAATTGTATAATAACTCGTTTTTCATTGATCTAATGATATAGTTTAGTCCGAATCCGATGATAGAATTAATTACAATTGACTGACATTTAAAAGTTGTAATATCCTAAACATGAGTTCGCAGTGGAATAATTTTGGAAAAAATCTCAACAGACTTAAACTTAGATGGACCTTAAACGGACGGACTTTATTTGAACGGACATTAAGATAAAGTTAAACGCTATGACCTCCAGCGTTCAATTAATGTCCGTTCAAATAAGGTCCGATAACTATAAGCTATACTAAATTCTTGAATTGATCTTTCGCTACGCCATACGCTGAAGAAAAATATTGCTCCTGTAGTTTTATAACCATGAACAACATCTGTAGATTGGAATACAATCTAGGTAGTAGGTAGTAGTGCAGGCTAAAAATAGAGTCAGGGAGTCAAAATTGAAAATCCCCCAGATTTTGTTCAAGATTTTTTCGTCTTACTTAGGGAAACCCGAAAGACATCCACATAAAAGTTGGCAGCGTTCCAAGTAACAACCGCCACAAGGACCAGGATTTGCAGAAGATGCAAATAAAAGTAGGTGTAGGTAAGTACAGTTACCCCTGTCATCACCAAAACTATCCCAAATTGTACAATGAGAAATGAGATGAAGCTGGGGTTTGGGCCGAAGATGGCTTTTGTACTTTTCTTTGCCTTCAGGTACCGAAATGAGGTTATGATATTTTCCTTAGGCTTCAGTATTCCATACACCAACACCGTGTAGAAAATAGCATGAGCAGCCGAAAAAGCGAGGGGTGCGAGTATATTCCACTTGACATTCCACACAAGGAAGGTCTGGGGGAAGGCTGTGTGCCAGAACGTTGAGGCTTGCTCCGGGAACCATCTGATGCCGAACACCAACAACACTGGCGCACTGTGAATGTAGGTGGAGGTCATCTTATCCAGACTGTGGAACACGAGAGAGTTTCTGAAGGAGAAGGCCCCAGTGTAGAGCAGCCCGTTAGCAATACAGAACTGGAGGATAAACAACTCAGGATCTCCCGGGAAGAAGAGGAGGATGAGGAAGATTGCCAGGTTTCCAAAGTAGCAGTAATCCAGACAGAAATACTGCCACTGCTGTTGGGTGTAGGTGTACACCCGCCACGCTATCAGAGGTGGCATCGTTAGTACGTAGTACCAGGGTAGAAAAGCGTGTCCAGCTGACACGGCCCACACTTTGAAGAACTGGGCGAGGACTGAGGAGGCAAACTGTAGTTTCAGTTGTGTGGTCTCTGACGCAGAGAAAATTTTGGACATGAATTCAGACAGTGAGGCTAGTAGTCCCAAACCCTCCAGCTGTGAATCTGTCCACCCTGTAAATAAAACTTTATGTAAACGTCCCCAGCATTTGGAATTGGAATTATAAACTGTCAGTGTCAACATAAAACAATTATTCCACCTTTTAAAAGATATTGAACGGGATCCTCTGCTATTGCTAATAGTAATACAGACTTGCGCCAACCAAAACTCTAACGCAAATCGTTTAATCTGATTTGAACGTCTGAGCATGGTTAAAAATGACTTTTTAAACCGTTTTCCTCCTAAAAGTAATTTGTCCACTAACCGATATCCGAAAAGTGAAGCTCCTCTTCCTGTTCTTCGCAAATAAGATCATATCTCACGTTCTTAACAAATCCTGCCACGTCCTTCAAATACTCGTCCGTGTCGGAGTCACTGCAGTTGGAAATAAATCGCTGTGGTCTCAAACTTTCATCCTCTGAGATGTCCCCTGTGGGTGAAGTCCCGGGATCTTCGGACATCCTGATAGAAATAGAGGTTATATTCTAGGAAACAAGACCATGTGGCCTAAAAATACATCTATTTTCAGTGCAAAGAAGACCATTGATGATTGAAATAGAGTTATGAGTTAGCGGCTGCCCAAAACGTAGAGAAACTACAGTTCAATTTTATTTCTTTATTGTGTGGAGACACAGAATCAGCAGACTGAGCCCAAGGCTTGTGTCAAACAGACCAGTTCTCCACGGATCAGGCATCGGTGGCAAACTTTGGCAAGTTCTGCCGCAGAAACTCAGAAAGATCGATTTGTAATTGCAGACTCAGAGTGAAATGTCACTCTTGTTAAGGGCCGGGGGGGGGGGGGGGGGTTCAACCCCCTAAAAAGTTCGGTCACAGGCCCTAGTTTGGTGGTCAATTGCTATCTCCAAATCAAATTTCACAAAAAATCATAATCCCCCCTTAAATATGCTTTCCTCAGCAGGCACAGGTTGATAAGTATAAAGTATGAGGCACACTGTGTCAACAAAACAAATCCGTCAAAAACTGTACTTGGCACAGTCTGCCGTCACAAATCTGTGTAAAGTCCATACTCAATACTAATAGTAATAGATTTTACGATATAAGCTCACTGACGACGGATAATATTCAAACAGAAAGAACACTGGTTACTGGTGCAAACTTTGACTATAATTTTGAACATCTGTTCGTCACAATCTACAACTACAAGTACATAATATAGTATACAATCTTGATGAGCGAATTATCTGACGTTGACAGTTGAGTATGAAATATACATCGACAAGTCAGTATTGAAAGTAATTAGAGCTGCAGTCACCCTAAGATAATCCAAGGTAGAATCTTAAGATTAATGGTTATCATGAAAACGACGTATCTAAAGTCACAGAAGGATCGCCTCGAGATATGTTATTTTTATGTCTTCATTATCACCATTAATCTTATTGTACAATTTAGAATACACTAAAAATATAATGAGTGATTGTAACCGTTAAGATTGTCTCTTATTATGAGATCAGGTGCTCCTACATAAACATGGCTGGTTGTCATTAGTTTAATTTCAGGAACAAACGCTCAGCGCATCACATGATGATAATTTAACACAATATATCCATCATTGTAAGACATACACCTTGTTGCACTTCTGTCGTATACTATTAAAAGTTCATAATTACATTCCAAAGTTACTAAAGTACAAACATTTTAGATAAAATAAAGAAGCAACATACTACGGATAGCAGATACAAAACTAGATACAGGCGTCAATACAATCTCAATCTAAGTACACACGTCACACTACAGACTATACGACAAAATTTGTATTTGGCACGGTGCCAACACATTACACAATCCTGGCAGGAAAGATGTATCATGTATACAATCTATTTGTAGAGCAACGATATACCAACTGAAGGTACTCAACAGTTGGTCGGTTATTGTTATTAGGAGAGGCGGTAGCGGTTTGTGTGTAAGAACTTCCTTCGCAGAAAATATGCTGTGGTGAAAGTATATTCACTCCAGTTTCAGTTTTATAATCCATTAGTGCAGTTACTAATTAACACAATATATGGTTTACGGTAACAGCGTGAAATTACACTGTACACTCAACACTGCTATATTGAAATATTGAGGAAGTGTTGGTTAAATTTACTTTGTAATGAATATTTAACAAAAGCGCGTTAAGTGAACAACTAACAGTAGTTTTGTGTGTAGCCACCTAGCTGATAGTGATAATCGAATATTTCATATAAAAAAGGACTAATGAGGTACAGATGAGTGTAATAGAGTGAGTGTAACTGTAATATATATTATGGAATTATTATCGAATCATTACACGCTCGATACTGGATACGGTTGATTCACGATGTCAATCCTTCGCAGCTCGGTGAGGCACAGTGGTGCATCTCGCCGATCTACCGAAGCGAGAAGCATTATTTGATGCGCGCGCGACCCAGTAGTGCATCGCGCTACAATCACTACTCGTACCTAAACAATACACAAACACATATTACGTAATCATTTTTGGGCCATTTTTTACCCCCCCTCCCCCCTCGTAATCAGCTTTACACATAGCTATTGTATAAAAATTACACTAGCGTATTGCGTAATCATTTCGAAACCCCCCTCCCCCTTCGGCTCATTACGTAATATGTGATCAACGACCTCTAAAACTAAAAGGAAGCCTGACACACACTATACTATTTGACTATAATCTACAGAAAGTCACCAACAGTGAATTCATGCCAGTGTCTGATATGAGGATGCACGCTGGTGAACTATTAGTAAATTATTTAAGGTATTTATGCAAAATCAAAGATCTTCCGTTCAAAATTCTGGGAAATAAGTTTACAAATTAATAACTTAACATCATGTCATGAATAAATTCAATAACTGAAGAGGATTTGCACATCCTATAATATAATAATAAAGCTCGCCTACATATTTATATGTTCGACATAATTCCAGTGACCTACATGATTTGGGAACGAAAATATCAGAATTTTTTCCAAAAACTGCCAAATTTCGTACCCCAAATTAAATCATGGTATTTGCGGATTTTTTCATTTCCTTATTTAAATTTTACAAAAATGAAACCCAATATTTGAGAAAATTAAATGCATAGAGCTTCTCTGATCAGCTGTTTCATCTTGTATGTAAAAAATTTGAAATTTAGCGTCAACCTTACCTGGGGACCTCAGGCTATCATGTTCATAAAAATAAATAGAGATTATCCGGAATAAATAGAGATTCTATTCGGCGGAATGACAGGCTGAGCGCCGCCCAGTAATATAGGACTAGGGGACCGACTAGACGGTGTCTGTTATCTTCCACTATACTACCGAAATTTCACCGCCGTGGCCAATATAGTATACTAGTAGTAAATCATTTTAATTAAAGCAATTCATGGTCGAACATTGGAGGACTTCGCCGCTTCGACGCGCCGCGCAAACTAGCATTCTGCTTCGCAGAGCAACGATCTCGATATATGGATTGACATCGTCAATCAAGGTCGAACACTACCCAGAAAAACCTTATCTGTTCCCGGCTGGGGCCTATCTCAGATAGTAAAACAGATAGACTTCCGGTTTTCAACAAAATGTTCGTCTCGTTGCTCGTAAATTAAAATTTCACTCCCCAGAAGCACAATTTGGGACAACATAGGATTTGAGGTATTTCAAAAAGTCTTATTTCGAACCAAATAAAAGCTCGCAACTTTAACTTTGCGGATGCGTGTCCTCTGATTGGCCGAATTGTGTCACGTACGCGTACAGCGTGGTCAATGGAATGTGCCGAGCGTGCTTATAGTTATATCACAATGCTGGCAAGCATGACCGTGCCTCTTATATTCACAATACTATTTACCCCCTTTACTATTTACCCCCTTTACTATTTACCCCCTTTACTTTTATAACCCTTTATTATTTTTCGGGCATTAAGACTCATCGAAAGTAGTTCAGCAGGTATATTTAAGTTCAAATCATTCTAATTCAATGTTAAAGATGACAGGAACAAGAAATAGTTATGTGGAGGTTTTTAAGAAATTTGCGCAAAATACGCGCCAGCATGTTATACGAAATTCGGTAAAAAACCCAAAATTGCCATATTCAGGTGCCTTAAAAACCATGTTAAAATTGAGTTAGAGATCTGAAACTTTGCAGGGCGTCTAGACGTTGACCAAATCGACTGTAAAATAAATTTCGTGTTTCAGGAGTATCGGGAAATGGGGTTTCTGGAACCCCTGTTTTACGATAGATTGTCGTGATACATATAATTATATTCAGGGATAGACGCTTTGCCAGTCAAATGTAGTCAATTGTAGCCTGAATTTAAGTGTCCGGAGATTCAAAAGTATAAAAGATACAGCAATTTCCGACCACAGGTCTTAAAGATAATTGTTTACACTTCAGTTTCAATTATATCAAAAAATAATTTAACGTCATCATCACCACTTGATGACGTCATCAAATTAAGTGTTTTTAAAACTTGATTTTTGACAAAATAACAACTTTTCAAACTGATTTTACACCATTAAGGAGTAATTTTATTCAAAATCTGAGGACATTTTCCTATTAGATAATTGTTCAAGCATTCTGAAAATCTACCGGAAAGTTTCCCTACTTTGCTCCTTCATAAAGATATTTGCCATTGAAGTTAGTGCTTTTTTGAAGAATTATTTTATAAAAACGTCAATTTTGCGATTTAGTATTCTCTGGTGTTGGGCTATCCCTTGGGTTGTGGAGCTCAGTTCTGCTTCCTATAGGTATAAATTGTGTATTAGTCTAGTTTTAAAGTTAAAAATCTAAAAGTTGCACACGTGGGGACACGCCCAAATTGATTAAAAATTGCTAAAATCACTGAAAATTGCTGTTTTTACCATTTTCTGTAAACGTTGGTGTGCCGTTGTGATTACAGTTCTTCTTGAAATACTTTGAAACTTTGCATGCTTATCAAACTATATATAAAACACCAACACGCAAAAATTTACGGCGATTCAATATTGGATGCGCACGCAACGTCCGCTCATAGTTTGCACGTGCGAAAGGTGATAATTTTGCTCATTCGTGATTTCGATTAAATTCTGCTTTACCACGACAGTTCAATGTCATTATATATAAATTTAATGCCAACTTGAATGAGTATAAAGTGGCAAATTCAGTCAGTGATCGACCGATATGCTTACCCAAACACAAGGAAATGTTTTCAAAGGAAAAATTTCGAAATCGTTGAAACTTCCTCCTTATTAATGAAGATATCAGTTTATATTTCGACTTTATAAAGTACCCTGACATTAATCAAAAAGCGATGATATTTGACCAAAACCCATAATCATGGGTAGAGTGGACCGCTGCCAGTGTCTCTCTTTCCCAAACAAAAGGAAATGATATTAATTTGATTGACCGTTCTCAAATGCAAAATGATACCGAGAATGAAATCGGTCGCTCGCTTTTCCCATTCATTCACGGCTTACGAATTGTAATAAGTTTCGATTGATTACATCAATCAGATGCTGTAAAAATCTCTTTGGGTTGCGTTCGGGTCGATACCTAGTATTTCGGGGTAAGGGTGGTAGTTATTACTTATTGAATTAGCTGAAGTTTATTGAATCTTTTTTGCCGAGTACAGCTGCCTTTGGGTAGTTCTTCTTAATCTATTACAATTGTAAATGAATGGGAAAAGCGAGCGACCGATTTCATTCTCGGTATCATTTTGCATTTGAGAACGGTCAATCAAATTAATATCATTTCCTTTTGTTTGGGAAAGAGAGACACTGGCAGCGGTCCACTCTACCCATGATTATGGGTTTTGGTCAAATATCAAATTCAATATGTAATAAGCGCCATGAGTTGGCACAAAACTTTTTGTCTCTGATTAATTTTTTGATAAATTTGATACCAAAAATTGCCTCTAAGTGTGAATAATGCAAATTCACCGTAATTTTGAATTTAATTTCACCAAATTAATCGAAATCTGAGGAAAAAATTCGGTGCCAACTCATGGCGCTTATTACATAAGACTAATATTGAATATATTCATGTTGCGCGCGAGCTCAAGAAATGCGGCCGCTTTTCTTTTGTGGATGGCCGCTCAATTTCCCGATCCGTGATGGCGTACTTTATCATATTCCATACAACCTGGGGACCCCAGGCTTTATATTACTGTTTATAAGCATGCAACATTGCTGGACCCCAGAATCCACACAAGGTCACCGGTTTGACTGATTTTTTCACTATTGTAAATTTGAAGGAATGAGTAATCGCACGAACATCATCATCCCTCTTACCTCTTATCTCTGGATATGAAGTCATTTAGGTAAGAACTACGATCTCTTGTAGCATGGGATAACTGCAAAATCAAAAAAATAAAAGACGATTATTCGACGGAATTTAAATTTCAAATAAACTTAGATGGTTAAATTTACACATCAGCGACAGAAAACAAACAAAATACACAAATCCTTGTCCGGCCAATTTTTTTGACATAAAGATACCTTGCCAGCAAAAAAAATTAAATTCGGGAACTGTTATAATATTTTTACACAAATCTATTCCATTAATAAATAAGGTTAACTTATCAATTGTACACATAATATGACGACAAAACGGACTAAATAATAGATTAAAAATGGCAATGGTCACATAAAGTGACATTAACTTTAATTTTAATATCATTTTAATATTTTTAACTTTCAAGTTCGCAAACAATAAAGCATCCACTAATGCTGACTTCAGTTTAAATAGCAATCAATCATTATTTAGCTTACAAATACGATACTTTCGCTTACTCTAGTTCTAAATTCTGTCTAGGAATGACAGTACAAATAAAATAGGAAAAACTTTAAACATCATAATAAAATGATTGCGTTGTAAACCCAACTTAAACATCTTCTTACCTACTCTAACAATGAAGGTTGATTATTAATCATTTTTATGACAGATTCTAACTATGTAAACAAGTTAGTAATCGTTAGATCGTAGACAATAAACAAGGACACAATCAAAATGATTGTTCTGATATTCTCAAATTTGAGTCATATCAAATTACGCTCAGGTGCATATTTTTAAATATTTCTATATTTAATGTCAAAGTGAATCAACGGTGGAAGGGGGTCAATTTCAATGGCAGCTTAAAACCGTTTTAATGATTAATGGCACCTATAAAATCTGCCATCAATGCGGGGTAAGAATAAATAATAGGTAATCAAATCAGCAATTTATTAATCATGTCATTAATTTACTGACGAAGTATATTTAATATTATAAGCTTTCAATAAAAATTATGTTTAAACAAGAAGAATAGGAGTCGTGGGACTAACCCTAAAAATAATCAGAAACACATTCAATCATTCAAATATAAGTCATCATCCTCATAAACTGCGGCAAAATTTTCGATCACATATTAATAATAATAATTTAGATTTAAACTATAAACTAGCTGCAATCATTAGGTGCCTCTTCCAGTGTGGCTTCCTGGTTGATATCACATCTTCTGTACTTCGAAGAGTTTTATCGTTGTTTCACACCAGATGGGTGGCGCTGTGTTCCTGTAGATAATGTTGATTATATAACGTTTAGAGGGACTTTAATTTTAGAGGGGGGCCGGGGGGGGGGGGGGGGGGGGGGGTAAATTAGGTTTAACACTGTACTTACAAGAATTTAAAAATATTTTATAATTCGTTGTTCGTAAAGTGAGGGTAAAAAAAACATCAATTTGATAAACTGAAAAACCGAACATAGGAAAAAAGAACGAAACGTAAGAAAAGGGCTTGAAACAAATTAAAAAGCAAGTAATAAGTTTTACCTAAGGAAGACCAGTCCCCACATGTATCGTCTAAACCACACTGAGGTAGCAGCGTTCGGCTGAAATAACAATCAGTAAATCTGAATCAGTGTTACCATGGTAACCACCAGTTTGGGTGGATAGATGAATACCCGACAGTGATTAACCATTTTCTACAGCCAGGACAAAATACCTAACAAAATACCTAACAAAATACCTGACAAAGTACAAGACAAAGTACCTGACAAAGTACCTGACAAAGTACGTTATAAAGTACCTGACAAAGTACCTGACAAAGTACCTGACAAAGTACAAGACAAAGTACCTGACAAAGTACCTGACAAAGTACGTTATAAAGTACCTGACAAAGTACGTTATAAAGTACCTGACAAAGTACAAGACAAAGTACCTGATATTTTCTCATGAGTATGGGGTGGGGTACGGGAAGTAGGCCGACTAGTGTGCCGTTCTGGAGGAATGTTATTATCTCACTCTCGTCCGTTAGGTTCTTATCTATACAGATCTTCTCCACCTGCAGAATGTGGTTATTAACTTGAAATTAATCGTCGTTATTCGACTTTTGTTCAGGAGCGTATCATAGAAACATACATGTTACCATAGAAAACCATTCAGTTTTCAGAACTTCGGATGGCAAAGCGTGTTATTTTTGAAACACAATTATTTATTACATTTCCTCTCTTCAATTAACAATCACAGAATTTGGCTTTTTCTAATAACTCAGTGGGCCCAGACATGATATAGAGAAACAATATTTAGAAGACCTGTGAAATAGTTACTAACTTGGTTACTAAGTGGTTACTAAGTAGTTATTAACTTGGTTACTAAGTGGTTACTAAGTAGTTACTTACTTGGGGAACTAAGACCTGTAGAAGTCTCATTATTGTCTGTAAAGGAAGTTTCTTTCTCCACGACGCAACCTGAAACCAAATATTCAGTCTTTCTGATAAAGTGTGCCCGAAAATATAAGGTCATCGTCAATTGTCAAATATAGAAAGATTATATTTGATTTTTTCCATTCACACTTTTTTTCGTAAAAAAGTAATAGTGAAAGGTTACGAATGGACGTTTTTGCAGAAAAACGTGGATTTTGGAGAACGAGGTAGATGGATTTAAAAATGTCGTGTTCCTTCGGTCCGTTATCATGACAACTAGCCGCGCGCAGTGCAGCGCGCGAGTATTGGTTGTGGAGATGTGATGTATATAGCTAGCCTGTGATAATGAATGCGCGGCGCGAGTGTATTTTAATGTATACTATGTAATGTATAGTATTAGGTAATAAGCCCAATTTGTACGTGGCACGCGTAGTGTACTGATGTGTATCAATATAATTATTATGAAGTGAGCTGATTAGAGCTTATAGTTATAGTGAATGGAAATCTAGCGTCCGCCAAAACGAAACAACGGGCGCAATTCTTGTTCAGAAATCAACCCTCAGTCATTTGTGAAAAATCACAAAATGACTTCTTGACTATTAGAAATTTCGTCAGAATTTCTGCCAATCTCCGCTAGATCCAAGCGTGTTGGAAATTCCAGTATTTTGTAATTTGCTCGCGTCCTCATGAACAACTTTAATTAAATAAGACAATAATAAATACAACATAACATGTATCGTCACTATTTACACTAAATTGAGTTGCATATGTCAACCGGTCAGACTTGTGATGGTTAGTAACCGATCCATCTAGCTGGCTGTCAAGCGGCAGAACGCGAACCGAACCGAAATTTAGTAGTGAGTTAGGCGGTCTCTCAAACTTGAAGTCTGTGGTTGCAGCTTGCAAGTAAAAATTAATTTTTCCACGAAAATGCAGCTTAACTAGTTTAGCTGACAGCTGACTTATTGAGTGTAACTGTTAAAACGAAAATTTGCCTAATGTACGAAAATAACTAAACTGAGTTAAATATGTGAATCAGTGACTTACTTGATAATAATTTCATTAAATTTTGATCGTTTGAACTGCTGAACTAGTTATATTTTTCGTAAAAAATTATTAAATGTAACTGCAAGCTCTGCAAGCTCTGCAACCACAGACTTCAAGTTTGAGAGACCGCTTAACTCAACAGTAAGTTTCGATCCGTTTGTGTTCTGCCGCTTGACAGCCAGCTTGATGACAGCCGATTGACAGCCAGCTAGATGACAGCCGCTTGACAGCCAGCTAGATGACAGCCGCTTGACAGCCAGCTAGATGACAGCAGCTTGACAGCCAGCTAGATGACAGCCGCTTGACAGCCAGCTAGATGACAGCAGCTTGACAGCCAGCTAGATGACAGCCGCTTGACAGCCAGCTAGATGACAGCCGCTTGACAGCCAGCTAGATGACAGCAGCTTGACAGCCAGCTAGATGACAGCAGCTTGACAGCCAGCTAGATGACAGCAGCTTGACAGCCAGCTAGATGACAGCCGCTTGACAGCCAGCTAGATGGATATTGGATCGTCACTAACCTCACCATCACAAGGCTGACCTTTTGAAACGCAATTCAGTGTAAATACTGAAAACTTACATAATATGTGTATGTCAGTGATATGATTAATATCACTGATATTTTTATGTCATACATAATGTCATACATAATGTGTAATTGGCAATTGTCGTATTTAATTGAAATTGTTCATGGAGACACGAGCAAATTACGAAAAACTAACATTTTCAAAACGCTTGGTTCTAGTGGAGATTGACCAAAATTCTGACGAAATATTTTATACTCATTTTGTTAATAATATACATCAGAACGGTCTATGTAAGGCTGGTTAGCGAGAAATGGTGAATTTTGTTGACTGAAGTTACACAACGTTTAAACGTCCTACAGCTCCAACTGGATTGACTTGTTACGAAGAGTGGGCTCACTTGGATAATCAAAGTGAGTTTTGCTATACGTGCAAAACTAGAGAGTAACTGAATAGCGAAATTCTTAATATTAATAATCATTAATCATCATGTGGAAATTTTAGCTAGCAGTAATTCCTGAGTCTCAGTTGCATATTTCGTCCTATGGTATAACACAATTCACCAATTATTTTTAAGCACTATATGAACTACCAGGAACCCGTCTAAGATACTGGCCAGGGCGTGGTTTGATTATTTTTAAGAAGGAAAAAGGAATTCCGGTCATTTCTAAGTTCTTTTATCTTCTTATTTTGTAATTGTATACATTTGTCGGTGCAGTTTTTTCTGCTCATTTTGGGTTAAATTGATTACCTTTCTTAGATTCAATATTAAATTGCAGTTAAATTGTAGCTAAAGCTGCCAAATTGTAAATTTTTAACAGTGTTAAAATTTTAAAATGAAAATTAGGCATTACCCGGAAAATCGGTTAAGATAAGGAGGACATTTTTAGATAACATTGTTCATGAACTAATTTTTTCTGCACGATGTATTTAATCAAAAGTAAGGACTTTTGTCAAATTTAAGAGTGCTCCATTTTACCAATTTATAAGAATTTCACATGAAACGAACTTAAATCACGATTCTAAATTGTGTGTGCAATAGCATTACACATACGCGCTGACCTTAACATACCCACAATTTTGGCCAGGATCAATATTTTGAGGTAAAGAGCATCTGATGGCAAAATTTGACATCATGTCATAAGTTATGTCACATTTTGTGTCGGATGATACGATTTGAGATCAGTATTCCATCATCATGGGATATGAGCCGATCAAATTGAATAGTTAACGAATATATGACATCTAACTTAGGACTGCAAATACATTATCTTTCGCCGCGATTTTGCCTACTTTGGCTTGTCCTGGCGCCGCGATTTTTGACCTAAATAAGCGCGATTTTCTTTTGTCCTTGCAGTCCTATATCATAATTCATAATATATGTAATTAACCCATAATGTTTAAGCAACATATAAATGTCACCCTATTCTATAAAATATAATTCACCCATTCTTTAGAGGGTTGCCACTCGTCATTACTGAACATTTGTTGTTCAGCCTCCTGGTCTGTTCGCTTCCTGCTAGGTTTGGAAACTGTGGTCGGATCCTCTGGGAGGTTGCTCAGTTGGTGGAACACGTGCCTTTTACGTATTATGCTGTACATCAGGTGAGCGTTTCCTGGGAGAGGTGTTTTTTTTGTTAGGATTTTAGGGGTTAGGGAAGGGGAGTGCACTTTGGATTTTATTTGATTTTATTAGACCTGATCAATTTTTCTTCTTTATTTAGAAAGTAAAAACGCTTTACCATGATATTTGGATTGACATAAGAGGGACACAAGAGAACATACACGTTTTTTGTCAAATTATGTATCTACTACATTTTCTTTTAAAATTTAAACGTCCCATTCTTGATGTCATATCAATTTAAACTGTCTACGGCAAATTATTTCGACGGTTATTTACCTCTTAAACCATTTACGACTAAGACCGTGAGGACTGATAAATACCAATATAAATAAAAATTTAACAGCATAATATCTGATCTTTTTTTATAGTATTTGAGTTCCACCGTTATTTGATTGCAACACAATCCTCCCCATAACACATAATAGTCTATTTGTGTCCTGCATTGTGAATACATCCTTTCACAATACTCAAAGGTGTTGTGTTGCAGACACCATCTAATATCCATCTCAACAGTAACCTGGAAACAAAATACTAAGATTTGCTCGATCCCACAAGTCCATTTCGCAGTACCTCAGGTGACGAGACATTTTCCCAAGCATTTACAAGCGACACAGCCACCGTCTCATTATTAACAATACCCTCCTCATTTTCACTAAACCTTGATTTATTGTCCACAGGGGCCACTGTCGCAAAACCAGCGAGGATGGTATCAAGATGGCTAAAACAACTGGCAATACTGGCGAACAGACTGGCAGTAGTTCGGAGACAAGGCCTGGTTATCTTCTCCTCGACACACTTCCGGAAACTGGTGATGGATGCCTTGTAGATGAAGAAGTTGACAGCCGAGTTGAGCAGGGTCAAGAGACAGGAGATAAGGTAGAAGTAGTTGTACATAAAACTAGAGACGGGGGACTGACTGTCGTCATACTCCACCAGCATTCTTCTCTGATCTGTTCCGTTGTTCATCGTCGGAGAGGGCAGTTCAAACCGACTGTCACTTACAATAAACACATTGTACACAAAGGACACCGAAAAGGGAAAGTGTGACAGGTAATGGGCGATGGCGATTGTGATGGCAGTAACTATACTTTGAATTTGAAGAGAGTTCCTGTTGTGTATTTTAGCCTGTTCGTGCGCTATGTAAAGCAGCCAGGCAGTTGAGATCATAATCAGAACCCCGGGTATCCCCATACTGAAGACGATAGCCACCAATCTGAACCATCTCAGACTCTCAGACTTCGTCACGAACATGCAGCTCCTAATGCGGTGGTCAAAGTAGATGGTATCCCCGTTAAACCCCATGGAGATGAAGACAGTTAGAACGGACAAGGCCCAGGGGAGGCTAGCCACAAAGTGAGCAAACCTTCCTCTCCATACCTGACACCTTAACGGAAACTGGACAATAACCAACTTGCAGAGATTTAGAACACAGACCAACAGTAGACTGGAAGTGATAAACAGTCCCAAGGCACAGCACGATACCATACAAAGCAGATCCACAGATCCACTGTCACCCATCAGAGTGAATACCAACATGGGCCCGATCCCAAACACTGCCAGGCACAAGTCCGACACCGTGATGTGGCTGATGAGGGTTGTTGTGACCCGACCCAGTCTGATAGCCTGGTGTTTGGTGATGGCTATCATGATAACGATGTTGCCGAGGAGGGAGGCGACCAGCATGGTGCATCTCCAGGTGAAGACGAGAAAGGTTCTCACGGTACACCAGTCTCCGAACAGGGTCCGGTTGTTCTCCGGTAACATCAGTCTGTGAACTTAGTGTTCGTGTGTTATTTATATAGTCACTTACTTCCGACATTCAACGTAAAAAGCTCAAAAACTATAAATTCAATTAATCGGCAACATCTCTATAATGTAAATGCATATTATCATGACTGTATAGTGTATAGTACAAATTTCTAACAGACGAGTGGTTTCATTGCTATGGTTTTGGCATGAGGTACTCATAGCAAAATCAAATCATGCCCCACTTTATGTTTAACAAGATGGTACCCCAAAGATAGCTCTTGTATTTCTAATAGAGACGGGATTTAATATGGGACGGTTCTTTGACGTACTTCAATCTTCAACAACGATTAGGCTGACGGGACGAACAATTGCATCGTAATATTCCTTATACCGGATAGAGACTTAACTACTTGTAGTTGTGGAACCAAATTTATAACACAGATCCACATTACATTCACGAAACTTATTTGTAAGGATTAAGCAGGTTATAGGAATTATAACGGTAGAAGAGATACTAAAAACTGGGTAAACCTATTTTATCTGGAACATAACTCATGCAATGACTTTATACGATATTTTAATGCTACACGCTCCGCTAAGATACTACTGAGTTGCAAATTTTATATCGAGTCGAGCAATCAAAATTTAACAAAATTACTAACGATATACCTCACCAGATTATAATATCAAGAAGTTTACTCAACAATTTGCGTCGCAACGCAGAATACGATGCTACGTGCTGAGCAATTTAATGAGCAATTTAAATGAAATCTGGACCAGGCGAGAGTCGTTCACATTAATTTCATTCACAGTTATGTGGTTTAATTTAACTATAAAACACGCTGAGTTATATAATTATAGTCGTCTAGGGGAGGGTTGAGTTGTTAGCATATTAAACAGCGAAAGGATTTAATACGATGACATCTTTGACCACAATTACGGTAATGTACTTTATTCACAGCGACAAAAAGTCATAGAACGTTTTAATTGTCAGAATTTTCGTCAAATCAAAATTTGGCAGGACAGATCTTCTCTAAATATTCTTTAGTTTGTGCCTGACTAGTTTTAGGGTAACCCGGCCCCATAACAAATGTGGAAGGAGATCCAAGATAGATTTTGAGCTACGTAAAATGGCCAGTTTCGGTAAATCACGATTCAAAATTGTGCGTGCAATAGCATTACACAATACACATCGATATTCATTAGTCATTAACCTACGAGACTTCCTACTCCTCAGTCCTCAGCTGAAAACGATTTACACATGTATTTTGAAAGCTCCTGCTGAACAAACATTTCGTATCTTTAAACAAACGGCCCCTCTAGGTCCTACTCCTCATAGTCGACAAAATTTGTCCCAATTTATGTGGTTTGTCAGCTGTCGCTAGAACACTATCATTTCCATTAATCCGAAAGATATCCTTCCCCTAGTAGTGAAAGAGCAACGGCTCAATCTTAAACAATAATCTCAGAATGTCTGTCTGTCTGTCTGTCTGTCTGTCTGTCTGTCTGTCTGTCGGTCGGTCGGTCTGTCTGTCTGTCTGTCTGTCTGTCTGTATGTCTGTCTGTCTGTCTGTCTGTCTGTCTGTCTGTCTGTCTGTCTGTCTGTCTGTCTGTCTGTCTGTCTGTCTGTCTGTCTGTATGTCTGTCTGTCTGTATGTATGTCTATTGTCTGTGCGCGTGTAATTTCCGAGCGGCTTAATCAAGAAAACGGTAAGATTTACGGAACTGGTTTTTTCGGTATAGTGCCGAGAATCTTCTGACAAAGCCAAATGATAAAGGTTTTTTTAAATCGGTCGTTGGTTTAATTGATGGTTTTGTACCACAAATGTGACATAACATGGATCACGTTTTCTCCCTCCTCGCTCTCTGAATAGGCAGCGTTGGTACATAAATCATTGCAGAGTAAAAACAATAGAAAGAGCACCTTTGATCTAGGCGAGATACTGGCCGAGGCGGGGTTTGATTAGTTTTAAGAAGGAAAGTCTTTTTAAAATTATTTGTCAGTGCAGTGGTTACTATTACTAAACGATATTTTAATGTTACACGTTCCGATAAGATATCACTGAGTTGAAAATTACCTAAAGTTTAGGAGTCAAATTTAATGTATAAAACTTTCTTAGATTCAGTATTAAATTGAAGTTAAATTGTAGCTGAAGTTGCCGAGTTGTAAATTATAATAGTGTTAAAATTTGTAAGTGAAAATTAGGCATTACCCGGAAAAGGAGTCTAAGATAAGGAGAAAATGATTACATAACATTGTTCATGAACTAATTTGCGTTGCAAACTGTTTTTATCAAAAGTAGGTACTTTTGTAAAATTCAAGCGTACTCCATTTTACCAGTTTATAAGAATTTCACATGAAACGAATAGAACTTAAATCACGAATCTAAATTGAAATAGCACTACACATATTACACGCTGACCTCCACAGACCCACAATTTGGGCAGGATGAATATTTGTTGGTAAAGACTTAGAGGTATCGAGCATCTGCACTGGTAGATCTCTTTAGAAAATGTGATAATTTCCGTGATCCACCAAATCGTAACTCCCGGCCCCCTTAAAGGCAAACCTCAATTAGGTTGATATAGTCCAACTGTGAATTATTTTATTTGGGCGATTTTCTTAAAGAAGGAGGTGCGATTCGAAATCAATTTTTTCATATAGAATTTGAGACAGTATATTGATTAGTGAATGCTGAATAGTAGTAAAACGCCTCCGATTAGAAAGAAATATTGCAGGATTTGAAAGGATTGCTCGAAGGATTAAACGTGTCAGAAAGGTTGATTTAATAAGACCTGTTATCGCAATTTTTATTTTCAACTTGAATTCAGTTAGGGTTCTTTGTATAATTTGGTTCTTTATATAATTATTTTCGCACTAGGTACTGAGTATAAGCTCCACTAATAGTAGAAGTGTTGTGAACACCGCTGATAATTGCTATTTTTGCCCTATTTTTTGTTCAATAGTCGTCAAAATATTCCGATCATATTTATAAGTTGTTATTTATAAAATTTCGATTGTCGAACGTGTTTAGATCTTTTGACAGTGCAAATATTTGTTAATGCTACTTTATTATAAGTTTGTAAGAAATGAGAAATATTAATTTATAACAACTTCCCATTGAGTCAATGTTCGGAATCAAACTGTATTAATTAATCTTTAGTGTAACAATTGTACATCAAAATAGGTATGTACCATTCAACTCTGAGCTATAATTATTGAAAATTTCTAACATTTGACTCAGAATCAATTTCACGTTAGTGCTGATGTTTTGATGCAGTATGAATCATGCAATAGGGTCACTGTTATTCCATTTCAGATAATCATTCAAAGAACTCAAACCCTTGGCGATTTAATGATTAGTTTAGACAAGTTATGCTAATTCTAACAATTTCCACATGTGTGAGCATGACACAGTTTTTCATTGTAGAACATGATGTTGCTTCAAGAGCACGAAGGTTCAACCGTATTAGACTCTTAGTAGCCATTTAAACATGAGCATTAGAATTAGGATAAAACACATGAAATTTAGACATTTGACAGCTGTTACAGTGTTTCACTGAATCAGAGTCTCAACCCTGTTAGCGTAATGAAAAAACAAACAATTTAAAATTACGAAAACCGAACCCAACTTCTAGTATAACCTAGAACTCTCGTATATACCCTAATTCTATCGTCCCCTAAGTTCAGCTCTGAATCAATTGCATTTAATTTCCATCTTTGAGCATAATAAAATCCATTGATCACAAAACCCTCAGACAATATATAGTTATTGTGATTACATAACTGTCCACTATCAATTAAGGAATACTGTTTCAACCAGACCTATCCTGACCAATCTGCATTAAGAGGTAATTGATTTAATCAAACCTTATTCTGGTCAGAACTCCAATTGTAATTATTTATTTTAAACTCCAGCCAAAGATCCAAATGTCTTGCATTCGCCATATATCAGGTAATGGTTTCATTCTAGGTTGAATGGTCCACAAATTTCTGAAGCAATAGTAAAAAATGACATGTGTCTCCAACTTGACCATAACGTTATAGCGAAAAATTGGATTTTTGGCTTTGCAGATATGTGAAAATTCACATAATATTATACATGATATTTTGGGCAGGGGCGGTACTAGAAGCCTTTCCGTGGGTGCAATATTCTCGCAAAACCACATTTATGTACAATTTATGATGCAATATAAGCCCTGAAATGCTCATATTCAGTATCTAGACTATCGGAACGGACGGATTCGGCTGTGGTTAAGATTTTTAAATTATCAGTTCACAATAATTCGCATCCTTGCCAAGGTTCGGATATAAATGGGATGGTAAACACCACTGTCTCAAAATACGTCTTTATTTCAGATCTGAGCTCTGGAGTGAGGGAAAAACGATCAGCTGGTTACGGTTTTGGGGGAGGCTACGATTTCGGTTGGAAGAGGTCCCTCACTGACTTTGATGGATTTAACTTTAATCTATCCGATATCGAGGTAACAGAAATTAAAACAGCAGAAATCACCACTTCTTCTATACTAGAGTTCCAGTTCCACCACTATATCCAAATCAGATTAATAATGCAAATTCTCTACTATACCTTATCTCTAGGATATTACCCTTGTAATACATATCTACAATCCGCAGCTGCTGCAAGACGTAGCGGAGAAGCTGGTAGACGGTGAGCAAGTAATGACAGAGCACGTCGACAGTGCAGAACACTGGAAGCTGTGGAGAAAGATGGTGAAGCACGGTATGGAAGAGTCAGGATACTATGACCTGGCCGTGTTCATGTTCTGTATGCTCAACTAGACCGGAACTCTGTGGTTTGATCTGATGATGGGACTCGGACATTGTTGTAAACTGTTGTAAACTGCTGTAAGCTGCTGTAAACTTTACCGATTCGTTTTTGTAAACTAACTTTGACCCCTGTTTAAGATTTCGGGGATATTCGCTTGATGCTTGAACTTTTTTTTATTTTGGTCTTAAATGTGCAAATGCAAAAATTATTTAATTTATGAACTTATTTCACTTGTTTGATTCCAAATGGGGCAAATTTGCCTGAAATGTATATGACCTAAAAGTCCTAACAAATACTTGAGACGGAAAAATTCGTATTGTTTATTAAATTTTACGATAATGATCTTTGACTAATGTCCATTGTCCAGACTCTCTGAGCAGCAAAATATTATATTATTTAATTAACATGTCCCTACTATTATAGGAATATCATGTTGATAACTCTGATTTTCCTGATCGGATCTGCAAGTGCAGGTAATGAATTCTAGTCGCCGAATTATGTCAGTCAGAATTAGTCCATTGTAAATTTATATTTATTTTAACTATGCAAACACCAAAGTTCATCGCATAATGGTTATGTTTCAGTTCCTACCCGACAAGAATGCCCCAGAATCCTGGAGACAGCCGGAGTATCCGAAACCTTCGCACAGATGGTAGCCCATAGCATCCATTCTTTGACTTTAGAAGACATCCGATACTTCTTCAAGGAGAATGCTACGGAAGAAAACGGCATTCCAACCGGTTAGTTGCAGCCACTGCTTAAGATGCTGAGCTATTGGAATGTAAATTCTTAAAGTCATTTTTATTAATTGTAGGATTCATAGAATGACAACAGGAGACAATATAACTATAAGAATATAACTATAAGATTATAATGAACTATTTCAGTGAACACGGATTTGGCGACTGACATCAGAGTTCTCCCTAACGCACCGTTAGCTGGGTATGATGACGACTTTTCAACAAGGAGCATGAAAACCTTTGACTTGGTGAGTTTGATATTAAATAATCTACGGCAGATCCCGTAACCCTAAACTTATCTATTGTATTGATTAATAGTGTCGTGCTCTGCGGGGATATATTACCCGTACCACAAATAAGAACTGACCGGTCGGTCCCTATCTACAAGTTATGCCCCTCATTCCACGAATCAGACTCGTTTGCGATATATTACCAATTATTGTGCAGGTGATGAGGAACATGAACCGAACTTGGTGGGGTATCACGAACTACGACACCCTCGACAAGCTGACCCATGCCTTCCACATGGCTGAGATCTGGGACAAGACCGCCGAGCAGTATACAATGGTAGAGAAACTGCTAGACCCACAGTCTGACCTATGCGACTGTGTGACCGACATTGAAGACAACGATGTGCTGAACTACCTGAATCTTCTGGCTTTCAAGATCAAGTACCCTGGTATTACTTCTGGCAACAAGACTCTCACAGATAATTGTAAGTGTTATAGTGACTCATGCACCAAATCTGTCCAGCCCAAATGACTTCACAGCTAGTTCAGTGACCATCTTGCGCACCATTTTCAGACCAAACCAAATGTTTTTGAGAACATCTAATATTCATAATTGCAGATTTTTCTAAAATTTCGATAGGAATGTGTTAGGATCTTTTGGACAAGTGCAAAATATTTGTAACTAGCACATTTATATATAATTTGTGAAGAAACTGAGAAACATGTACCTTAAAATACTTCCCATAACGTTATAGCGAAAAATTGGATTTTTGGCTTTGCAGATAATGTGAAAATTCACATAATATTATACATGATATTTTGGGCAGGGGCGGTACTAGAAGCCTTTCCGTGGGTGCAATATTCTCGCAAAACCACATTTATGTACAATTTATGATGCAATATAAGCCCTGAAATGCTCATATTCAGTATCTAGACTATCGGAACGGACGGATTCGGCTGTGGTTAAGATTTTTAAATTATCAGTTCACAATAATTCGCATCCTTGCCAAGGTTCGGATATAAATGGGATGGTAAACACCACTGTCTCAAAATACGTCTTTATTTCAGATCTGAGCTCTGGAGTGAGGGAAAAACGATCAGCTGGTTACGGTTTTGGGGGAGGCTACGATTTCGGTTGGAAGAGGTCCCTCACTGACTTTGATGGATTTAACTTTAATCTATCCGATATCGAGGTAACAGAAATTAAAACAGCAGAAATCACCACTTCTTCTATACTAGAGTTCCAGTTCCACCACTATATCCAAATCAGATTAATAATGCAAATTCTCTACTATACCTTATCTCTAGGATATTACCCTTGTAATACATATCTACAATCCGCAGCTGCTGCAAGACGTAGCGGAGAAGCTGGTAGACGGTGAGCAAGTAATGACAGAGCACGTCGACAGTGCAGAACACTGGAAGCTGTGGAGAAAGATGGTGAAGCACGGTATGGAAGAGTCAGGATACTATGACCTGGCCGTGTTCATGTTCTGTATGCTCAACTAGACCGGAACTCTGTGGTTTGATCTGATGATGGGACTCGGACATTGTTGTAAACTGTTGTAAACTGCTGTAAGCTGCTGTAAACTTTACCGATTCGTTTTTGTAAACTAACTTTGACCCCTGTTTAAGATTTCGGGGATATTCGCTTGATGCTTGAACTTTTTTTTATTTTGGTCTTAAATGTGCAAATGCAAAAATTATTTAATTTATGAACTTATTTCACTTGTTTGATTCCAAATGGGGCAAATTTGCCTGAAATGTATATGACCTAAAAGTCCTAACAAATACTTGAGACGGAAAAATTCGTATTGTTTATTAAATTTTACGATAATGATCTTTGACTAATGTCCATTGTCCAGACTCTCTGAGCAGCAAAATATTATATTATTTAATTAACATGTCCCTACTATTATAGGAATATCATTATCATGTTGATAACTCTGATTTTCCTGATCGGAGCTGCAAGTGCAGGTAATGAATTCTAGTCGCCGAATTATGTCAGTCAGAATTAGTCCATTGTAAATTTATATTTATTTTAACTATGCAAACACCAAAGTTCATCGCATAATGGTTATGTTTCAGTTCCTACCCGACAAGAATGCCCCAGAATCCTGGAGACAGCCGGAGTATCCGAAACCTTCGCACAGATGGTAGCCCATAGCATCCATTCTTTGACTTTAGAAGACATCCGATACTTCTTCAAGGAGAATACTACGGAAGAAAACGGCATTCCAACCGGTTAGTTGCAGCCACTGCTTAAGATGATGAGCTATTGGAATGTAAATTCTTGAAGTCATTTTTTATTAATTGTAGGATTCATAGAATGACAACAGAAGACATTATAATGAACTATTTCAGTGAACATGGATTTGGCGACTGACATCAGAGTTCTCCCTAACGCACCGTTAGCTGGGTATGATGACGACTTTTCAACAAGGAGCATGAAAACCTTTGACTTGGTGAGTTTGATATTAAATAATCTACGGCAGATCCCGTAACCCTAAACTTATCTATTGTATTGATTAATAGTGTCGTGCTCTGCGGGATATATTACCCGTACCACAAATAAGAACTGACCGGTCGGTCCCTATCTACAAGTTATGCCCCTCATTCCACGAATCAGACTCGTTTGCAATATATTACCAATTATTGTGCAGGTGATGAGGAACATGAACCGAACTTGGTGGGGTATCACGAACTACGACACCCTCGACAAGCTGACCCATGCCTTCCACATGGCTGAGATCTGGGACAAGACCGCCGAGCAGTATACAATGGTAGAGAAACTGCTAGACCCACAGTCTGACCTATGCGACTGTGTGACCGACATTGAAGACAACGATGTGCTGAACTACCTGAATCTTCTGGCTTTCAAGATCAAGTACCCTGGTATTACTTCTGGCAACAAGACTCTCACAGATAATTGTAAGTGTTATAGTGACTCATGCACCAAATCTGTCCAGCCCAAATGACTTCACAGCTAGTTCAGTGACCATCTTGCGCACCATTTTCAGACCAAACCAAATGTTTTTGAGAACATCTAATATTCATAATTGCAGATTTTTCTAAAATTTCGATAGGAATGTGTTAGGATCTTTTGGACAAGTGCAAAATATTTGTAACTAGCACATTTATATATAATTTGTGAAGAAACTGAGAAACATGTACCTTAAAATACTTCCCATAACGTTATAGCGAAAAATTGGATTTTTGGCTTTGCAGATAATGTGAAAATTCACATAATATTATACATGATATTTTGGGCAGGGGCGGTACTAGAAGCCTTTCCGTGGGTGCAATATTCTCGCAAAACCACATTTATGTACAATTTATGATGCAATATAAGCCCTGAAATGCTCATATTCAGTATCTAGACTATCGGAACGGACGGATTCGGCTGTGGTTAAGATTTTTAAATTATCAGTTAACAATAATTCGCATCCTTGCCAAGGTTCGGATATAAATGGGATGGTAAACACCACTGTCTCAAAATACGTCTTTATTTCAGATCTGAGCTCTGGAGTGAGTGTTGGCTTTGCAGATAATGTGAAAATTCACATAATATTATACATGATATTTTGGGCAGGGGCGGTACTAGAAGCCTTTCCGTGGGTGCAATATTCTCGCAAAACCACATTTATGTACAATTTATGATGCAATATAAGCCCTGAAATGCTCATATTCAGTATCTAGACTATCGGAACGGACGGATTCGGCTGTGGTTAAGATTTTTAAATTATCAGTTAACAATAATTCGCATCCTTGCCAAGGTTCGGATATAAATGGGATGGTAAACACCACTGTCTCAAAATACGTCTTTATTTCAGATCTGAGCTCTGGAGTGAGGGAAAAACGATCAGCTGGTTACGGTTTTGGGGGAGGCTACGATTTCGGTTGGAAGAGGTCCCTCACTGACTTTGATGGATTTAACTTTAATCTATCCGATATCGAGGTAACAGAAATTAAAACAGCAGAAATCACCACTTCTTCTATACTAGAGTTCCAGTTCCACCACTATATCCAAATCAGATTAATAATGCAAATTCTCTACTATACCTTATCTCTAGGATATTACCCTTGTAATACATATCTACAATCCGCAGCTGCTGCAAGACGTAGCGGAGAAGCTGGTAGACGGTGAGCAAGTAATGACAGAGCACGTCGACAGTGCAGAACACTGGAAGCTGTGGAGAAAGATGGTGAAGCACGGTATGGAAGAGTCAGGATACTATGACCTGGCCGTGTTCATGTTCTGTATGCTCAACTAGACCGGAACTCTGTGGTTTGATCTGATGATGGGACTCGGACATTGTTGTAAACTGTTGTAAACTGCTGTAAGCTGCTGTAAACTTTACCGATTCGTTTTTGTAAACTAACTTTGACCCCTGTTTAAGATTTCGGGGATATTCGCTTGATGCTTGAACTTTTTTTTATTTTGGTCTTAAATGTGCAAATGCAAAAATTATTTAATTTATGAACTTATTTCACTTGTTTGATTCCAAATGGGGCAAATTTGCCTGAAATGTATATGACCTAAAAGTCCTAACAAATACTTGAGACGGAAAAATTCGTATTGTTTATTAAATTTTACGATAATGATCTTTGACTAATGTCCATTGTCCAGACTCTCTGAGCAGCAAAATATTATATTATTTAATTAACATGTCCCTACTATTATAGGAATATCATTATCATGTTGATAACTCTGATTTTCCTGATCGGAGCTGCAAGTGCAGGTAATGAATTCTAGTCGCCGAATTATGTCAGTCAGAATTAGTCCATTGTAAATTTATATTTATTTTAACTATGCAAACACCAAAGTTCATCGCATAATGGTTATGTTTCAGTTCCTACCCGACAAGAATGCCCCAGAATCCTGGAGACAGCCGGAGTATCCGAAACCTTCGCACAGATGGTAGCCCATAGCATCCATTCTTTGACTTTAGAAGACATCCGATACTTCTTCAAGGAGAATACTACGGAAGAAAACGGCATTCCAACCGGTTAGTTGCAGCCACTGCTTAAGATGATGAGCTATTGGAATGTAAATTCTTGAAGTCATTTTTTATTAATTGTAGGATTCATAGAATGACAACAGAAGACATTATAATGAACTATTTCAGTGAACATGGATTTGGCGACTGACATCAGAGTTCTCCCTAACGCACCGTTAGCTGGGTATGATGACGACTTTTCAACAAGGAGCATGAAAACCTTTGACTTGGTGAGTTTGATATTAAATAATCTACGGCAGATCCCGTAACCCTAAACTTATCTATTGTATTGATTAATAGTGTCGTGCTCTGCGGGATATATTACCCGTACCACAAATAAGAACTGACCGGTCGGTCCCTATCTACAAGTTATGCCCCTCATTCCACGAATCAGACTCGTTTGCAATATATTACCAATTATTGTGCAGGTGATGAGGAACATGAACCGAACTTGGTGGGGTATCACGAACTACGACACCCTCGACAAGCTGACCCATGCCTTCCACATGGCTGAGATCTGGGACAAGACCGCCGAGCAGTATACAATGGTAGAGAAACTGCTAGACCCACAGTCTGACCTATGCGACTGTGTGACCGACATTGAAGACAACGATGTGCTGAACTACCTGAATCTTCTGGCTTTCAAGATCAAGTACCCTGGTATTACTTCTGGCAACAAGACTCTCACAGATAATTGTAAGTGTTATAGTGACTCATGCACCAAATCTGTCCAGCCCAAATGACTTCACAGCTAGTTCAGTGACCATCTTGCGCACCATTTTCAGACCAAACCAAATGTTTTTGAGAACATCTAATATTCATAATTGCAGATTTTTCTAAAATTTCGATAGGAATGTGTTAGGATCTTTTGGACAAGTGCAAAATATTTGTAACTAGCACATTTATATATAATTTGTGAAGAAACTGAGAAACATGTACCTTAAAATACTTCCCATAACGTTATAGCGAAAAATTGGATTTTTGGCTTTGCAGATAATGTGAAAATTCACATAATATTATACATGATATTTTGGGCAGGGGCGGTACTAGAAGCCTTTCCGTGGGTGCAATATTCTCGCAAAACCACATTTATGTACAATTTATGATGCAATATAAGCCCTGAAATGCTCATATTCAGTATCTAGACTATCGGAACGGACGGATTCGGCTGTGGTTAAGATTTTTAAATTATCAGTTAACAATAATTCGCATCCTTGCCAAGGTTCGGATATAAATGGGATGGTAAACACCACTGTCTCAAAATACGTCTTTATTTCAGATCTGAGCTCTGGAGTGAGTGTTGGCTTTGCAGATAATGTGAAAATTCACATAATATTATACATGATATTTTGGGCAGGGGCGGTACTAGAAGCCTTTCCGTGGGTGCAATATTCTCGCAAAACCACATTTATGTACAATTTATGATGCAATATAAGCCCTGAAATGCTCATATTCAGTATCTAGACTATCGGAACGGACGGATTCGGCTGTGGTTAAGATTTTTGGCATGTCACTTCGCCATATTTGTATGTTTATATAAACAGTAAAGACTGGGCCGTCCCCAGGTTGTATGGAATATGATAAATACGCCATCACGGATCGGGAAATTAAGCGGCCATCCACAAAAGAAAAGCGGCCGCATTTCTTGTTAAATTATCAGTTAACAATAATTCGCATCCTTGCCAAGGTTCGGATATAAATGGGATGGTAAACACCACTGTCTCAAAATACGTCTTTATTTCAGATCTGAGCTCTGGAGTGAGGGAAAAACGATCAGCTGGTTACGGTTTTGGGGGAGGCTACGATTTCGGTTGGAAGAGGTCCCTCACTGACTTTGATGGATTTAACTTTAATCTATCCGATATCGAGGTAACAGAAATTAAAACAGCAGAAATCACCACTTCTTCTATACTAGAGTTCCAGTTCCACCACTATATCCAAATCAGATTAATAATGCAAATTCTCTACTATACCTTATCTCTAGGATATTACCCTTGTAATACATATCTACAATCCGCAGCTGCTGCAAGACGTAGCGGAGAAGCTGGTAGACGGTGAGCAAGTAATGACAGAGCACGTCGACAGTGCAGAACACTGGAAGCTGTGGAGAAAGATGGTGAAGCACGGTATGGAAGAGTCAGGATACTATGACCTGGCCGTGTTCATGTTCTGTATGCTCAACTAGACCGGAACTCTGTGGTTTGATCTGATGATGGGACTCGGACATTGTTGTAAACTGTTGTAAACTGCTGTAAGCTGCTGTAAACTTTACCGATTCGTTTTTGTAAACTAACTTTGACCCCTGTTTAAGATTTCGGGGATATTCGCTTGATGCTTGAACTTTTTTTTATTTTGGTCTTAAATGTGCAAATGCAAAAATTATTTAATTTATGAACTTATTTCACTTGTTTGATTCCAAATGGGGCAAATTTGCCTGAAATGTATATGACCTAAAAGTCCTAACAAATACTTGAGACGGAAAAATTCGTATTGTTTATTAAATTTTACGATAATGATCTTTGACTAATGTCCATTGTCCAGACTCTCTGAGCAGCAAAATATTATATTATTTAATTAACATGTCCCTACTATTATAGGAATATCATTATCATGTTGATAACTCTGATTTTCCTGATCGGAGCTGCAAGTGCAGGTAATGAATTCTAGTCGCCGAATTATGTCAGTCAGAATTAGTCCATTGTAAATTTATATTTATTTTAACTATGCAAACACCAAAGTTCATCGCATAATGGTTATGTTTCAGTTCCTACCCGACAAGAATGCCCCAGAATCCTGGAGACAGCCGGAGTATCCGAAACCTTCGCACAGATGGTAGCCCATAGCATCCATTCTTTGACTTTAGAAGACATCCGATACTTCTTCAAGGAGAATACTACGGAAGAAAACGGCATTCCAACCGGTTAGTTGCAGCCACTGCTTAAGATGATGAGCTATTGGAATGTAAATTCTTGAAGTCATTTTTTATTAATTGTAGGATTCATAGAATGACAACAGAAGACATTATAATGAACTATTTCAGTGAACATGGATTTGGCGACTGACATCAGAGTTCTCCCTAACGCACCGTTAGCTGGGTATGATGACGACTTTTCAACAAGGAGCATGAAAACCTTTGACTTGGTGAGTTTGATATTAAATAATCTACGGCAGATCCCGTAACCCTAAACTTATCTATTGTATTGATTAATAGTGTCGTGCTCTGCGGGATATATTACCCGTACCACAAATAAGAACTGACCGGTCGGTCCCTATCTACAAGTTATGCCCCTCATTCCACGAATCAGACTCGTTTGCAATATATTACCAATTATTGTGCAGGTGATGAGGAACATGAACCGAACTTGGTGGGGTATCACGAACTACGACACCCTCGACAAGCTGACCCATGCCTTCCACATGGCTGAGATCTGGGACAAGACCGCCGAGCAGTATACAATGGTAGAGAAACTGCTAGACCCACAGTCTGACCTATGCGACTGTGTGACCGACATTGAAGACAACGATGTGCTGAACTACCTGAATCTTCTGGCTTTCAAGATCAAGTACCCTGGTATTACTTCTGGCAACAAGACTCTCACAGATAATTGTAAGTGTTATAGTGACTCATGCACCAAATCTGTCCAGCCCAAATGACTTCACAGCTAGTTCAGTGACCATCTTGCGCACCATTTTCAGACCAAACCAAATGTTTTTGAGAACATCTAATATTCATAATTGCAGATTTTTCTAAAATTTCGATAGGAATGTGTTAGGATCTTTTGGACAAGTGCAAAATATTTGTAACTAGCACATTTATATATAATTTGTGAAGAAACTGAGAAACATGTACCTTAAAATACTTCCCATAACGTTATAGCGAAAAATTGGATTTTTGGCTTTGCAGATAATGTGAAAATTCACATAATATTATACATGATATTTTGGGCAGGGGCGGTACTAGAAGCCTTTCCGTGGGTGCAATATTCTCGCAAAACCACATTTATGTACAATTTATGATGCAATATAAGCCCTGAAATGCTCATATTCAGTATCTAGACTATCGGAACGGACGGATTCGGCTGTGGTTAAGATTTTTAAATTATCAGTTAACAATAATTCGCATCCTTGCCAAGGTTCGGATATAAATGGGATGGTAAACACCACTGTCTCAAAATACGTCTTTATTTCAGATCTGAGCTCTGGAGTGAGTGTTGGCTTTGCAGATAATGTGAAAATTCACATAATATTATACATGATATTTTGGGCAGGGGCGGTACTAGAAGCCTTTCCGTGGGTGCAATATTCTCGCAAAACCACATTTATGTACAATTTATGATGCAATATAAGCCCTGAAATGCTCATATTCAGTATCTAGACTATCGGAACGGACGGATTCGGCTGTGGTTAAGATTTTTAAATTATCAGTTAACAATAATTCGCATCCTTGCCAAGGTTCGGATATAAATGGGATGGTAAACACCACTGTCTCAAAATACGTCTTTATTTCAGATCTGAGCTCTGGAGTGAGGGAAAAACGATCAGCTGGTTACGGTTTTGGGGGAGGCTACGATTTCGGTTGGAAGAGGTCCCTCACTGACTTTGATGGATTTAACTTTAATCTATCCGATATCGAGGTAACAGAAATTAAAACAGCAGAAATCACCACTTCTTCTATACTAGAGTTCCAGTTCCACCACTATATCCAAATCAGATTAATAATGCAAATTCTCTACTATACCTTATCTCTAGGATATTACCCTTGTAATACATATCTACAATCCGCAGCTGCTGCAAGACGTAGCGGAGAAGCTGGTAGACGGTGAGCAAGTAATGACAGAGCACGTCGACAGTGCAGAACACTGGAAGCTGTGGAGAAAGATGGTGAAGCACGGTATGGAAGAGTCAGGATACTATGACCTGGCCGTGTTCATGTTCTGTATGCTCAACTAGACCGGAACTCTGTGGTTTGATCTGATGATGGGACTCGGACATTGTTGTAAACTGTTGTAAACTGCTGTAAGCTGCTGTAAACTTTACCGATTCGTTTTTGTAAACTAACTTTGACCCCTGTTTAAGATTTCGGGGATATTCGCTTGATGCTTGAACTTTTTTTTATTTTGGTCTTAAATGTGCAAATGCAAAAATTATTTAATTTATGAACTTATTTCACTTGTTTGATTCCAAATGGGGCAAATTTGCCTGAAATGTATATGACCTAAAAGTCCTAACAAATACTTGAGACGGAAAAATTCGTATTGTTTATTAAATTTTACGATAATGATCTTTGACTAATGTCCATTGTCCAGACTCTCTGAGCAGCAAAATATTATATTATTTAATTAACATGTCCCTACTATTATAGGAATATCATTATCATGTTGATAACTCTGATTTTCCTGATCGGAGCTGCAAGTGCAGGTAATGAATTCTAGTCGCCGAATTATGTCAGTCAGAATTAGTCCATTGTAAATTTATATTTATTTTAACTATGCAAACACCAAAGTTCATCGCATAATGGTTATGTTTCAGTTCCTACCCGACAAGAATGCCCCAGAATCCTGGAGACAGCCGGAGTATCCGAAACCTTCGCACAGATGGTAGCCCATAGCATCCATTCTTTGACTTTAGAAGACATCCGATACTTCTTCAAGGAGAATACTACGGAAGAAAACGGCATTCCAACCGGTTAGTTGCAGCCACTGCTTAAGATGATGAGCTATTGGAATGTAAATTCTTGAAGTCATTTTTTATTAATTGTAGGATTCATAGAATGACAACAGAAGACATTATAATGAACTATTTCAGTGAACATGGATTTGGCGACTGACATCAGAGTTCTCCCTAACGCACCGTTAGCTGGGTATGATGACGACTTTTCAACAAGGAGCATGAAAACCTTTGACTTGGTGAGTTTGATATTAAATAATCTACGGCAGATCCCGTAACCCTAAACTTATCTATTGTATTGATTAATAGTGTCGTGCTCTGCGGGATATATTACCCGTACCACAAATAAGAACTGACCGGTCGGTCCCTATCTACAAGTTATGCCCCTCATTCCACGAATCAGACTCGTTTGCAATATATTACCAATTATTGTGCAGGTGATGAGGAACATGAACCGAACTTGGTGGGGTATCACGAACTACGACACCCTCGACAAGCTGACCCATGCCTTCCACATGGCTGAGATCTGGGACAAGACCGCCGAGCAGTATACAATGGTAGAGAAACTGCTAGACCCACAGTCTGACCTATGCGACTGTGTGACCGACATTGAAGACAACGATGTGCTGAACTACCTGAATCTTCTGGCTTTCAAGATCAAGTACCCTGGTATTACTTCTGGCAACAAGACTCTCACAGATAATTGTAAGTGTTATAGTGACTCATGCACCAAATCTGTCCAGCCCAAATGACTTCACAGCTAGTTCAGTGACCATCTTGCGCACCATTTTCAGACCAAACCAAATGTTTTTGAGAACATCTAATATTCATAATTGCAGATTTTTCTAAAATTTCGATAGGAATGTGTTAGGATCTTTTGGACAAGTGCAAAATATTTGTAACTAGCACATTTATATATAATTTGTGAAGAAACTGAGAAACATGTACCTTAAAATACTTCCCATAACGTTATAGCGAAAAATTGGATTTTTGGCTTTGCAGATAATGTGAAAATTCACATAATATTATACATGATATTTTGGGCAGGGGCGGTACTAGAAGCCTTTCCGTGGGTGCAATATTCTCGCAAAACCACATTTATGTACAATTTATGATGCAATATAAGCCCTGAAATGCTCATATTCAGTATCTAGACTATCGGAACGGACGGATTCGGCTGTGGTTAAGATTTTTAAATTATCAGTTAACAATAATTCGCATCCTTGCCAAGGTTCGGATATAAATGGGATGGTAAACACCACTGTCTCAAAATACGTCTTTATTTCAGATCTGAGCTCTGGAGTGAGGGAAAAACGATCAGCTGGTTACAGTTTTGGGGGAGGCTACGATTTCGGTTGGAAGAGGTCCCTCACTGACTTTGATGGATTTAACTTTAATCTATCCGATATCGAGGTAACAGAAATTAAAACAGCAGAAATCACCACTTCTTCTATACTAGAGTTCCAGTTCCACCACTATATCCAAATCAGATTAATAATGCAAATTCTCTACTATACCTTATCTCTAGGATATTACCCTTGTAATACATATCTACAATCCGCAGCTGCTGCAAGACGTAGCGGAGAAGCTGGTAGACGGTGAGCAAGTAATGACAGAGCACGTCGACAGTGCAGAACACTGGAAGCTGTGGAGAAAGATGGTGAAGCACGGTATGGAAGAGTCAGGATACTATGACCTGGCCGTGTTCATGTTCTGTATGCTCAACTAGACCGGAACTCTGTGGTTTGATCTGATGATGGGACTCGGACATTGTTGTAAACTGTTGTAAACTGCTGTAAACTTTACCGATTCGTTTTTGTAAACTAACTTTGACCCCTGTTTAAGATTTCGGGGATATTCGCTTGATGCTTGAACTTTTTTTTATTTTGGTCTTAAATGTGCAAATGCAAAATTTATTTAATTTTATGAACTTATTTCACTTGTTTGATTCCAAATGGGGCAAATTTGCCTGAAATGTATATGATCTAAAGACTAAAAGTCCTAACAAATACTTGAGACGGAAAAATTCGTATCTGTTTATTAAATTTTATGATAATGATCTTTGACTAATGTCCATTGTCCAAACTCTCTCAGCAAAATACTATATTATTTAATTAACATGTCCTTACTATTATAGGAATATCATGTTGATAACTCTGATTTTCCTGATCGGAGCTGCAAGTGCAGGTAATAAATTCTATTCGCCGAATTATGTCAGTCAGAATTAGTCCATTGTAAATTTATATTTATTTTAACTATGCAAACACCAAAGTTCATCGCATAATGGTTATGTTTCAGTTCCTACCCGACAAGAATGCCCCAGAATCCTGGAGACAGCCGGAGTATCCGAAACCTTCGCACAGATGGTAGCCCATAGCATCCATTCTTTGACTTTAGAAGACATCCGATACTTCTTCAAGGAGAATACTACGGAAGAAAACGGCATTCCAACCGGTTAGTTGCAGCCACTGCTTAAGATGATGAGCTATTGGAATGTAAATTCTTGAAGTCATTTTTTATTAATTGTAGGATTCATAGAATGACAACAGAAGACATTATAATGAACTATTTCAGTGAACATGGATTTGGCGACTGACATCAGAGTTCTCCCTAACGCACCGTTAGCTGGGTATGATGACGACTTTTCAACAAGGAGCATGAAAACCTTTGACTTGGTGAGTTTGATATTAAATAATCTACGGCAGATCCCGTAACCCTAAACTTATCTATTGTATTGATTAATAGTGTCGTGCTCTGCGGGATATATTACCCGTACCACAAATAAGAACTGACCGGTCGGTCCCTATCTACAAGTTATGCCCCTCATTCCACGAATCAGACTCGTTTGCAATATATTACCAATTATTGTGCAGGTGATGAGGAACATGAACCGAACTTGGTGGGGTATCACGAACTACGACACCCTCGACAAGCTGACCCATGCCTTCCACATGGCTGAGATCTGGGACAAGACCGCCGAGCAGTATACAATGGTAGAGAAACTGCTAGACCCACAGTCTGACCTATGCGACTGTGTGACCGACATTGAAGACAACGATGTGCTGAACTACCTGAATCTTCTGGCTTTCAAGATCAAGTACCCTGGTATTACTTCTGGCAACAAGACTCTCACAGATAATTGTAAGTGTTATAGTGACTCATGCACCAAATCTGTCCAGCCCAAATGACTTCACAGCTAGTTCAGTGACCATCTTGCGCACCATTTTCAGACCAAACCAAATGTTTTTGAGAACATCTAATATTCATAATTGCAGATTTTTCTAAAATTTCGATAGGAATGTGTTAGGATCTTTTGGACAAGTGCAAAATATTTGTAACTAGCACATTTATATATAATTTGTGAAGAAACTGAGAAACATGTACCTTAAAATACTTCCCATAACGTTATAGCGAAAAATTGGATTTTTGGCTTTGCAGATAATGTGAAAATTCACATAATATTATACATGATATTTTGGGCAGGGGCGGTACTAGAAGCCTTTCCGTGGGTGCAATATTCTCGCAAAACCACATTTATGTACAATTTATGATGCAATATAAGCCCTGAAATGCTCATATTCAGTATCTAGACTATCGGAACGGACGGATTCGGCTGTGGTTAAGATTTTTAAATTATCAGTTAACAATAATTCGCATCCTTGCCAAGGTTCGGATATAAATGGGATGGTAAACACCACTGTCTCAAAATACGTCTTTATTTCAGATCTGAGCTCTGGAGTGAGGGAAAAACGATCAGCTGGTTACGGTTTTGGGGGAGGCTACAATTTCGGTTGGAAGAGGTCCCTCACTGACTTTGATGGATTTAACTTTAATCTATCTGATATCGAGGTAACAGAAATTAAAACAGCAGAAATCAACACTTCTTCTATACTAGAGTTCCAGTTCCACCACTCTATCCAAATCAGATTAATAATGCAAATTCTCTACTATACCTTATCTCTAGGATATTACCCTTGTAATACATATCTACAATCCGCAGCTGCTGCAAGACGTAGCGGAGAAGCTGGTAGACGGTGAGCAAGTAATGACAGAGCACGTCGACAGTGCAGATTGTAGAACACTGGAAGTTGTGGAGAAAGATTGTGAAGCACGGTATGGAAGAGTCGGGATACTAGACCGGAACTCTGTGGTTTGATCTGATGATGGGACTCGGACATTGTTGTAAACTGTTGTAAACTGCTGTAAACTTTACCGATTCGTTTTTGTAAACTAACTTTGACCCCTGTTTAAGATTTCGGGGATATTCGCTTGATGCTTGAACTTTTTTTTATTTTGGTCTTAAATGTGCAAATGCAAAATTTATTTAATTTTATGAACTTATTTCACTTGTTTGATTCCAAATGGGGCAAATTTGCCTGAAATGTATATGATCTAAAGACTAAAAGTCCTAACAAATACTTGAGACGGAAAAATTCGTATCTGTTTATTAAATTTTATGATAATGATCTTTGACTAATGTCCATTGTCCAAACTCTCTCAGCAAAATACTATATTATTTAATTAACATGTCCTTACTATTATAGGAATATCATGTTGATAACTCTGATTTTCCTGATCGGAGCTGCAAGTGCAGGTAATAAATTCTATTCGCCGAATTATGTCAGTCAGAATTAGTCCATTGTAAATTTATATTTGTTTTAACTATGCAAACACCAAAGTTCATCGCATAATGGTTATGTTTCAGTTCCTACCCGACAAGAATGCCCCAGAATCCTGGAGACAGCCGGAGTATCCGAAACCTTCGCACAGATGGTAGCCCATAGCATCCATCAAGACGCCTGATACTTCTTCAAGGAGAATGCTAAGAAAGAAAACGGCAATCCAACCGGTTAGTTGCAGCCACTGCTTAAGATGCTGAGCTTTTGAAATGTAAATTCTTGAAGTCATTTTTTATTAATTGTAGGATTCATAGAATGACAACAGGAGACATTATAATGAACTATTTCAGTGAACACGGATTCGGCGAATGACATCAGAGTTCTCCCGGCTGTGGTTAAGATTTTTAAATCATCAGTTTACAATAATTCGCATCCTTGCCAAGGTTCGGATATAAATGGGATGGTAAACACCACTGTCTCAAAATACGTCTTTATTTCAGATCTGAGCTCTGGAGTGAGGGAAAAACGATCAGCTGGTTACGGTTTTGGGGGAGGCTACAATTTCGGTTGGAAGAGGTCCCTCACTGACTTTGATGGATTTAACTTTAATCTATCTGATATCGAGGTAACAGAAATTAAAACAGCAGAAATCAACACTTCTTCTATACTAGAGTTCCAGTTCCACCACTCTATCCAAATCAGATTAATAATGCAAATTCTCTACTATACCTTATCTCTAGGATATTACCCTTGTAATACATATCTACAATCCGCAGCTGCTGCAAGACGTAGCGGAGAAGCTGGTAGACGGTGAGCAAGTAATGACAGAGCACGTCGACAGTGCAGAACACTGGAAGCTGTGGAGAAAGATGGTGAAGCACGGTATGGAAGAGTCAGGATACTATGACCTGGCCGTGTTCATGTTCTGTATGCTCAACTAGACCGGAACTCTGTGGTTTGATCTGATGATGGGACTCGGACATTGTTGTAAACTGTTGTAAACTGCTGTAAACTTTACCGATTCGTTTTTGTAAACTAACTTTGACCCCTGTTTAAGATTTCGGGGATATTCGCTTGATGCTTGAACTTTTTTTTATTTTGGTCTTAAATGTGCAAATGCAAAATTTATTTAATTTTATGAACTTATTTCACTTGTTTGATTCCAAATGGGGCAAATTTGCCTGAAATGTATATGATCTAAAGACTAAAAGTCCTAACAAATACTTGAGACGGAAAAATTCGTATCTGTTTATTAAATTTTATGATAATGATCTTTGACTAATGTCCATTGTCCAAACTCTCTCAGCAAAATACTATATTATTTAATTAACATGTCCTTACTATTATAGGAATATCATGTTGATAACTCTGATTTTCCTGATCGGAGCTGCAAGTGCAGGTAATAAATTCTATTCGCCGAATTATGTCAGTCAGAATTAGTCCATTGTAAATTTATATTTATTTTAACTATGCAAACACCAAAGTTCATCGCATAATGGTTATGTTTCAGTTCCTACCCGACAAGAATGCCCCAGAATCCTGGAGACAGCCGGAGTATCCGAAACCTTCGCACAGATGGTAGCCCATAGCATCCATCAAGACGCCTGATACTTCTTCAAGGAGAATGCTAAGAAAGAAAACGGCATTCCAACCGGTTAGTTGCAGCCACTGCTTAAGATGCTGAGCTTTTGAAATGTAAATTCTTGAAGTCATTTTTTATTAATTGTAGGATTCATAGAATGACAACAGGAGACATTATAATGAACTATTTCAGTGAACACGGATTCGGCGAATGACATCAGAGTTCTCCCGGCTGTGGTTAAGATTTTTAAATCATCAGTTTACAATAATTCGCATCCTTGCCAAGGTTCGGATATAAATGGGATGGTAAACACCACTGTCTCAAAATACGTCTTTATTTCAGATCTGAGCTCTGGAGTGAGGGAAAAACGATCAGCTGGTTACGGTTTTGGGGGAGGCTACAATTTCGGTTGGAAGAGGTCCCTCACTGACTTTGATGGATTTAACTTTAATCTATCTGATATCGAGGTAACAGAAATTAAAACAGCAGAAATCAACACTTCTTCTATACTAGAGTTCCAGTTCCACCACTCTATCCAAATCAGATTAATAATGCAAATTCTCTACTATACCTTATCTCTAGGATATTACCCTTGTAATACATATCTACAATCCGCAGCTGCTGCAAGACGTAGCGGAGAAGCTGGTAGACGGTGAGCAAGTAATGACAGAGCACGTCGACAGTGCAGATTGTAGAACACTGGAAGTTGTGGAGAAAGATTGTGAAGCACGGTATGGAAGAGTCGGGATACTAGACCGGAACTCTGTGGTTTGATCTGATGATGGGACTCGGACATTGTTGTAAACTGTTGTAAATATGCTGTAAACTTTACCGATTCGTTTTTGTAAACTAACTTTGACATCTGTGTAAGATTTCGGGGACTTTTTTATTCACGTTTAAATTGTCAAATGAATTTATAGATGAGGTCTAGTTTTCTTATACTTTATAACTTACGATTATCTTCGCTTGATGCTTGAACTGTTTTGATTTTGGTCTTTAATTAAATAATTTTTGCATTTGCACATTTAAGACTTAAATGTGCAAAAGCAAAAAATTATATAATTTTATGTACTTATTTCACGTTAATTTATAGATGAGGTCTAGTTTTCTTATACTTTATAACTAACGATTATCTTCGCTTGATGCTGGAACTTTTTTTATTTTGGTCTTAAATGTGCAAATGCAAAAAAATTATTTAATTTTATTATTTCACTTGTTTGATTCCAAATGGGACGGAAAAATTTGAATTTGGACATTCTAAATCATATTTAGGTAATTTTTTATCACGAACTTGTCACCGATTAATAGAAAAAGTTAACCTACCTTTAATATCTGTTTCAAACTAAGATAAAGAAATTATATCCAACAGGAAAAAAACTTACCATCGAACTGGTACTGGATAATATTGTTGAAGATCTCGAGAAGGAAGAAGACGAGGTGGTAATTAGTATGATTTGCAAACAGGAACCATGGTGTCGAGAACGCCTGAAAAGATACGGTTAAAACACTAATACCAAATTGAAATATGGCAGTTAAATCATGTCTTCAATACGTTTTTTGTGCCACCACACTGGTGAGAAAGAGGTTTTAAACAATAACAACCCTGCTAAAGTTTACATATTTGTACTCAAAATTCTGTAAAAGTTTCACAATCCACAGTCCACACATTACTTTAACAAATCGTATCAGTATTTCTACCCAGCCCAATAGTGGAGCTAGTATCTGAGTATCCGCTGTTTAATAGGCAGGTAATGGGTCTACCTTTAAACCACAGAATAGTTCTGTACACTGTACTGCACATTTACATGTATTTGTTACTTGTATTATTTGCAGCCCCTGATAATGCAAGTTCTGAAGTTATCTGAGGTTACCCCTAGTTACCCCGGTTAGTTTTGTATTTTTTAAGTGCGGATTAAATGAGACGATTTCGCGAGCTCTCCAAATTTGGTAAGTACAAATATCATATTTTCATATTTTTGACAATATATAGTAATATTTTTTTTTCGTTTTTAATACTATTGTATTGGTTTAACTCCAGTATCGGAAATTCGGATACTGATGAATCATAAATACAAATACCAGACGCTAACACAGGGGGAGCAGGTAAATTAATTTAGCATAATTATAGAATTAGCATAATTATAGAATTACCAAATTATCATACACTCTGGTTAGATAATAATTGATCACATGTAATAATTACAGCTGTCGTACTATGGTGCACTGTTATGTGTGTTTACCATGATGAGGCTATCTGCAATATTAGCAGCACCCCCACCATAACTAATATAATATATACTACTACGATAACTACAATTATCTTGTACGTACAAATTACAAGGTGCCCACTACCATGATGGTATGATGTGTAGTTGGTGCGCTCGAGAGAACAGTGAACAATTAGACCCTATTCTTGGTCTTTATCAGTGATTTTATTGACACAGGTACATGGTAACTTCGAATCGTAGCTCTTTTCATCTGCTTTATAGAGATGCTGTTTGGGTTATAATGATTGTTGCTCAGTGAAATGTGGTTACCCGTATTTTCTGATCAATCATTTCGATTCTCTGGAATAATACTCCACAGCTTATAATATAGCTTGAAATATCGCTTGTAATTTCTCAACAATGTGTTCATTTTCTCCGACGAGCGTCGAACGTAATTCTTATTTTATGTTTTATCTTTCGTAAACTAACCCGACTGCAACAAAGAGATTACAAGGAAATTCATTTTTCTTTATCCTAGATTATCCATACTGTCATCAAACTAAAATTACATTATACACAGCCAACTGATTGAAGTCTTTGAGCTGACCATGAGATTATAAGTTTGTTTGCCAGAGCAGCACCAGGTTACCAGGTTTCCAGGTTACCAGGTTTCCAGGTTACCAGGTTACACACTCTACACTGCATGAAAATACGCAAATGCCAGGCCCATTATAAGTCACAGCGAGCCAGGCAGTCTATTAGTCCCACAGAACAACACTCCTGATGCAAGGATTATAATTATTTTAAAAGGTAGGGTGTACTACAGGTGTCATATGATATTTTGGTCGACTCCTTAGTCGTCGAAAGGGTGATGATACTAATCTAGCATGTTGTCGGTGTATTACCTGGGCGATCATTGATCGTCCTTTTTAGAGTTAGAGCATACGTACGCTAGCAAAAAGTAGTCAGCATAAATAATCCCGCATAATTTAGATGCTCGAAATGAACCAATGACTGGTATGTACTAGGTCACGTGACCTCTTCTCTTGCAAACAATTAGTTTACTAGCGGGAGCACACAGGATCTTAATGTTATCGATTTGACCATGTTTAAATCCTCATCGTCTTGATTGAGATTTGATAATAGTTGTGGAGTTCTCGGGTGTTTACATCGTGCGTACAACATATGAACCACTTTAGGTGAATGGTTGAAATTTTGAAGGCTTTTAATTTTTGATTTGGTTACCACAGATTGGCCACACGTCATGGTGTTATGGTTTTACTATGTACGTTTGACAAGAACCTTACCATTTTGCACAATAATGCTTACTTGATTCGCAAGAACCGCACCGCTGTACCGCACCGGTATCCACAATATATAATAAGCTGCACAATATCCTTCCACAAAACTAGATAGTCATCACGGTGCTAATGTTATCAAATATAATGTTAGCTCCAGGTTGGTAGTTGGTCATGGCCTTGATACAGTATTTTTGTTACACGACGTTTTCTGCAGTCTCCGTAGATCGCCACAACAATCGAAATGATCGCATTGATTAATATCTTCGGAGGCGATCAATCATCAAATATATAAAATGAGAGCTGCTTATCTGGGACCAATGTATTATGTACGGCTCATATTAGGATGATTGGCTACATTGGGTTAGAGGCGTGAGCTAGCTTACTCTAATTGAAGAGCTAACGTTGATATACATATTAGTGTTCATTATGCAATCTCACGAACACACCTTGACCCTTGTTCAATGTCATCAGCCTGACCTTACGTCTTGCTTATCATTGGATGAAAATAATAATAGGCTTCAATATACCGTTCCAGCAATCATTTTTTAAATCATTTTATAATTTTTTAGATGTCACAGTCAGTTAGCCAGCCGATTTTTTCTTAGCCAGCTGGTTAGAACCAGCTAACCGGCTCGAGCCTCGAGATCAGGTTACTGGGGTGTAGCTCCGTAGTTACCGGAGTGTAGCTCCGTAGTTACCGGAGTGTAGCTCCGTAGTTACCGGAGTGTAGCTCAGTAGTTACCGGAGTGTAGCTCAGTAGTTACCGAAGTGTAGCTCAGTAGTTACCGGAGTGTAGCTCCGTAGTTACCGGAGTGTAGCTCCGTAGTTACCGGAGTGTAGCTCCGTAGTTACCGGAGTGTAGCTCAGTAGTTACCGGAGTGTAGCTCAGTAGTTACCGGAGTGTAGCTCCGTAGTTACCGGAGTGTAGCTCCGTAGTTACCGGAGTGTAGCTCCGTAGTTACCGGAGTGTAGCTCAGTAGTTACCGGAGTGTAGCTCAGTAGTTACCGGAGTGTAGCTCAGTAGTTACCGAAGTGTAGCTCCGTAGTTACCGGAGTGTAGCTCCGTAGTTACCGGAGTGTAGCTACCGTAGCATCTCGAAACCAACAATTTGTTATCTGACAAACAACATGGTTTCAGATCGAACAGAAGCTGCTTGACCCAAATGCTCGATCACTTTGATGACATCTTTGAAGGGTTTACTCAGGGGAAAGACACAGACTCCATATACCTCGACTTCGCCAAGGCGTTTGACAAAGTTGACTTGGACCTTCTCTTGTTAAAGTTAAAGAGATACGGATTTCACGGCAAACTTCTAAGCTGGATCCAGTCATTTCTCTCTGACCGTGAACAGGTTGTAGTCCTAAACGGTGTTCATTCGGACAGTGCCAGGGTTCTAAGTGGTGTCCCTCAGGGAAGTGTGTTAGGACCACTATTGTTCATTTTGTTTATTAACGATCTAGAGCTAGCTGTTACCTCTTCTAAGGTAAGCTTCTTTGCTGACGATACTAGGGTCTCCAAACGTATCGATTGCTTTGAGGACTGTCTGCTGCTTCAGGCTGATCTGTACGGTATTCTCGACTGGTCACGCTGCAACAACATGAAGCTCCACGAACAGAAGTTTGAGCTCCTGAATCATCTCCACGATAGAAAAAGTACCTTTTCTGAACTCCCTTTTTACGTGGAAACTCTACTTTACAAGGTCTCCAGCGAGGAAATACTACATCCCGTTGAGAACGTTAGAGAGTTATGGTATCAAGCGATCTGAACTGGTCCAAACAGATCGGTAATATGGTCAAGAAAGCTAGAAGCACACTGTCATGGGTGTTTAGTGTCTTCAAAACTCGTGATAGGACCGTAATGACTACCCTATATAAGTCTTTGGTCAGAAGCCTACTAGAGTACTGTTGTCCGCTGTGGGACCCTGTTAAGGTGACTGAGATCCAGCTTTTGGAGGGGGTCCAGCGAACATTCACCGATCGTATATGCGGTCTGGAAAATATGAACTACTGGGAGAGGCTTTCACATCTAAAGCTAATGTCACTGCAGCGCAGAAGGGAACGGTACACTATTCTGATGATGTGGAAGATCCTTCACAATGTTGTCCCCAATTGCAGCAATATAAGGTTCACAAAAACATCCAGACATGGTACCCGAGCAATCATCCCTTCCCTGTCTAGGTTGAGTTCCTCGAGCAACCAGACACTCTATGACAGCTCATTTGCTGTAAGAGGACCAAAACTGTGGAACAAAGTGCCTGATAATATTAAAGGGGGGGGTGTCATGTCCGTCTATGTCCGCCTATGTCCTGTCCTTTTTGGATTCTATGAGACAACGGACGTGTTTTTTGGGACATAGGCGGACACGGACGGACATTGGCGGACTCGGACGGACATTGGCGGACTCGGACGGACATTGGCGGACTCGGACGGACATTGGCGGACCCGGACGGACATTGGCAGACTTGGATGGACATTGGTGGACATTAGCGGACATTGGTGGACATTAGCAGACAAACATTTTTAGGACTGAAGAGTACTGAGGAGGATGGCTGAGAAGGATGGCTGAGGAGGATGGCTGAGGAGGATGACTGAGGAGGATGACTGAGAGGGAGGAGAAGGATCAGGAAGACCCAGGAGGAGGAGGAGGAGGAGGACCCAGAAGGATGACTCAGGAGGAGGAGGACTCAGGAGGAGGACTGAGGAGGACTGAGAAGGAGGAGGACTGAGGAGGATGGCTGAAGAGGATGGCTGAGGAGGATGACTGAGAGGGAGGAGGAGGAGGAAGAGGAGGAAGAGGACTGAGGAGGAGGAGGAGAAGGACTGAGGAGGAGAAGGAGGACCCAGGAGGAGGAGGACCCAGGAGGAGGAGGGCCCAGGAGGAGGACCCAGGAAAAGGCCCCAGAAGGGGGAGGAGGACTGGGGAGGAGGAGAACTGTTGAGGACTGATGAGGAGGACTGAGGACGAGGAGGAAGAGTAGGAGGAGGATTGAGGAGGGGAGGAGGAAGAGGACTGGGGAGGATCAGGAAGACCCAGGAGGACCCAGGAGGAGGAGGAGGAGGAGGAGGACCCAGGAGGAGGAGGAGGACTGAGGAGGACTGAGGAGGAGGACTGACGATGACTGAGAAGGAGGAGGACTGAGGAGTACTGAGGAGGATGGCTGAGGAGGATGGCTGGGGAGGATGGCTGAGGAGGATGACTGAGGAGGATGACTGAGAGGGAGGAGGAGGAGGACTCAGGAGGAGGACTCAGAAGGAAGAGGAGGAGGACTCAGGAGGAGGACTTAGGAGAAATGAGAAGGAGGACTGAGGAGAACTGAGGAGGAGGAGGAGGAGGACTGGGGAGGAGGAGAACTGTTGAGGACTGATGAGGACTGAAGACGAGGAGGAAGAGTATGAGGAGGACTGAAGAGGGGAGGAGGAAGAGGACTGGGGAGGATCAGGAAGACCCAGGAGGACCCAGGAGGAGGACCCAGGAGGAGGAGGAGGACTGAGGAGGACTGTGGAGGAGGACTGACGATGACTGAGAAGGAGGAGGACTAAGGAGTACTGAGGAGTACTGAGGAGGATGGCTGGGGAGGATGGCTGAGGAGGATGACTGAGGAGGATAACTGAGAGGGAAGAGGAGGAGGACTCAGGAGGAGGACTCAGAAGGAAGAGGAGGAGGACTCAGGAGGAGGACTCAGGAGGAGGACTTAGGAGAAATGAGAAGGAGGACTGAGGAGAACTGGAGGAGGAGGAGGAGGAGGAGGACTGAATAGGAGGAGGAGAAGGAGGGGGACTGGGAGAGGACTGGGGAGGAGGAGGACTGATGAGAAGGATGAGGAGGAGGACCCATGAGGAGGAGGACTGAGGACCGAGGAGGAAGAGGAGGAGGATGAAGAGGAGGAGGAGGACCCAGGAGGAGGAGGACTGAGGAGGAGGACTGAGGAGGACTAAGGAGGATGGCTGAGGAGGATTACTGAGAGGGAAGAGGAGGAGGAGGAGGGGGACTGGGGAAGGACTGAGGAGGAGGATGGAGGACTGAGAAGAAGGATGAGGAGGAGGACTGAGGAGGACTGAGGACTGAGGAGGAAGAGGAGGAGGATGAAGAGGAGGAGGACTGGGGAGGAGGAGGACTGTTGAGGACTGATGAGGAGGACTGAGGACGAGGAGGAGGAGTAGGAGGAGGACTGAGGAGGGGAGGAGGAAGAGGACTGAGGAAGATCAGGAAGACCCAGGGGGAGGAGGAAGAGTAGGAGGAGGAAGCATCTAAATGTTATTTCCATTTTTGTCCGTTTTTGTCCATTTTTGTCCGTTTTTGTCCGCTCTATTTTTTGTCCGTTTTGAAAATATAGGGTACCGAACGGACAAAAAACATGATCCCCTATAACAGCAAAAATTGAACATTTTATTTAGCAATTTAGGTGTCCATTAATGTCCGCCTATGTCCGCCTATGTCCGTCTATGTCCGCCTATGTCCGCCTATGTCCGCCTATGTCCGTCTATGTCCGCCTATGTCCGCCTATGTCCTGTCCTTTTTGGATTCTATGAGACAAGCGGACATAGACGGACGTGACACCCCCCCATTAAAGCTGAAGCTACGTTTGAGTCGTTTAAAGTTAGTTTGTCCAAGTTTATTGCTTTGATACCGGACAACCCTCCGACTTCCGGTTATAGCTGCAGCTGGTCTAATTCCCTGGTAGACTACTCGCCATCGAGGTGGTCAGAAATCTGATGACCCTTCCTGCTACGAGGATAAACACAACCAAAGTAACCAAAGTAAGAGTGTAGCTCAGTAGTTACCGTAGTGTAGCTCCGTAGTTACCGGAGTGTAGCTCCGTAGTTACCGGAGTGTAGCTCCGTAGTTACCGGAGTGTAGCTCCGTAGTTACCGGAGTGTAGCTCCGTAGTTACCGGAGTGTAGCTCAGTAGTTACCGGAGTGTAGCTCCGTAGTTACCGGAGTGTAGCTCCGTAGTTACCGGAGTGTAGCTCCGTAGTTACCGAAGTGTAGCTCCGTAGTTACCGGAGTGTAGCTCCGTAGTTACCGGAGTGTAGCTCAGTAGTTACCGAAGTGTAGCTCCGTAGTTACCGGAGTGTAGCTCCGTAGTTACCGGAGTGTAGCTCAGTAGTTACCGAAGTGTAGCTCCGTAGTTACCGGAGTGTAGCTCCGTAGTTACCGGAGTGTAGCTCAGTAGTTACCGAAGTGTAGCTCCGTAGTTATTCTAACATTGATGACGTTAATCATAGAATTCTTGGTGGCTAACAGAGCGAAACTTCTACCATCCTCAACATGGGATTTCAACTTAATTATTTGATAAAGGAGGATATAAATGAAGAAGAACAACTAACAAGTATACACGAAAGTGGTGGAACAAACAAAAGGCAACTTGCCACAACAGGATTTGTTTTCAAGGACCTAGTTGACGATGGCTCTATCTTGACTATCAAATTATTAACAATAGAAAAATCTAGAGTTCTGTTCTGTTGACGTTGTTTCAATTGTTGCAGAATGTGGGTTGGGTTCAGAGGGCAGCTTTGAATTGTATCTGTGCCTGATCACACATAACTCAGTGAGGTTAAGGATAATTTCACCCTCACTTACCCTTTGTAGCCGCTAGCTAGTTTCACGAGAAGTGAGAACATCTTCAATAATTTGATCGTTACTTATTGTCGGCACCCTCAATAGGCCCGGTTTCCTGGGTTTGTACATAATTTCCCGTTAAAATTCCAGGAGTTTAATGTTTCACAGTACATAACTGATGTCCACCGTTTAACACAATAGTTTGTTAGCCCCGTACCTTCTGCCGGCATCGATGTTTCTATACCATACATATACACTACAACATATTATCCCCACCTACTGCCTAATTCACAGTATCTAGTTGAGAGGTATATTTTGGTGAGATATTGTACGGATGATGATGGCAGGGGTTAACTGTTACGACGGAGGATAACTCTTTGTGATCTTGGTGACTTTGTATCTTCGCAATTCGTAACGGTTGACCAAATTCTGCACATCTGGTCGATTGTCAAGGTTACTGACTGTATGGTGAGCGCATGATTAGATTTGGCCTTTTTATTTGGACCGTATACTTTATGACGATCCAGGCTGTAATTTCAATTAAAGTTGTTCCCATTTTGATCATATTCCACCGAAGAAAATAATTTTAATCGCGACTTTACTAGGAGAATTGAAAATATCGTTAGTTCTTATGTATTGAAGTCCAGACGAACGATTTACAATGTTCCCAAGGCAATTTATAATCATCCATAATTTTGAAACAATTATTCATATTTCACGTAAATAATTATCCATAAATACACATAGATTATTCAAATCCATACCAGACGCACCATCTACAAGCTCACCAATTACTAGATAAATTACAGATGACAGACGACAATGTGGACTTAATTAACGCACATTGTAGAAACAATCAAATTCCAATTGTATATATTACTTATAGGTACATTTATTGTCACATCGTTAAAATTAGCCAGTAAATTTGGAGTAAACCACACGAACCCAGAAATGTCGTATCACATGTTTGCATTTTTAATTAATAACGGGTAAATTTCTGTTTTCTTTTCGGCCGATTTTCTGGTGACATTGTTTGGCAGCTCCTGTGACATTGCGTGAAGTTATACCAGTTATCAGTTATCAGTTACCAGTTATCAGTTACCAGTTATCAGTTACCAGTTATCAGTTACCAGTTACCAGTTACCAGTTACCATGTTTTGTTGAAAGTAGGGACGCACTTTAGGTGATCCGAACTAGTTTAATCAATCAATCATTCTACAGTGCTTTATCAGTTATTTATAGTTGTTTATTAGGCTTTAATTAGTAACGGGTTGGAAATACAAGTTAACACTCTTGATAACCACGTGACATGAATAATTAAGGTGATCTATAAATGGTATAAACTAGTTGGTGATATGAATGGGTCCCCATAGACTGTGGTATGTGATAAGATAACTTTGTTAGTCATATTAACCTTACCATATTATTTATTAACCTTACCATATTATTTATTAACCTTACCATATTATTTATTAACCTTACCATATTAACCTTACCATATTAACCTTACCATATTAACCTTACCATATTATTTATTAACCTTACCATATTAACCTTACCATATTAACCTTACCATATTATTTATTAACCTTACCATATTAACCTTACCATATTAACCTTACCATATTTCCAATATAAGAGGCACTAAAGAATGGTCTAGACTCCTGACTAAAGAACATCGTAGAACGTTATAGTCAGGCGTTAAGTATTTTCTCACAATTCATTCAAAACTTGCAGCTCCCAGCTTCCTTTAATATAAATATGATAATTAGATACAGAAGATTAAATCGTGTAACAGTGCAATACTGATAATTGATATGTATACAATAAACACATGCTTGCTACACATTATAAAACATATACATATTGCAAAATCGTATCTGTTTATGGTAATTATAACTCATTACCCTAATTATCCTCTAATTACAGCTGAAAGCGGTAGAATGACCCTGAAGAGCGTGGAGGAAGTACAAAGGTCTGAGTCACAAGACACCGGCTCTCCAGATGGTGACACGGTCGGGGACATTCTGCCAGCCCTGCCTTCTGCGAACAACAACAAGGGACGTAGAGGTAGGTTCACGACACTTTCCAATGTTTTACCCTTTAGCGACCCATACGTTTCCGTGCGTTAAGTATGAGTTAACTGTGCCTTAAAGCGACCATCGACGGATAACCAAGGACCAATCTCAAGATTCTGATGCACAAGGAATTTGGGCAGGAGGGTAAGACCCGATCATTAAATAGCTAGAGTGAGCATATGAAATCAATCACGTGCACAAACACGTGCCACTGTCCAGGTAGCGTACTACGCCGGATAAGTATGGGGACGATAGGACTGTTCCAGCCGAAACAGGCCACACAGGAGGAGGAGCCCCTGATCAACCTCAGAGACGTTTCCAGGGCCAGGAACAGAGTCCAGGACTACATTCATCAAACACAGATACTGAGTTCCAGTAATCTGTGCTCCATGTTAAAGGTATGTACATACCTACCTACACTATGTAGTATGTAGGAGTCAGTGAAATGTAGTGAGTATGTAGGAGTCAGTAAAATCTCCTAAACTCACCTTTAATCTGAAACACCAATCAGTCGATCTGTGTTCGAAGATCCAACATTTTCCATATCAAAAGATGCAAAAATGGAAGGGTTGAAAAACTTAAATAACATCTACTTTAACATCTACTTTAGGTGAAGGTATTGTTCAAAGCGGAGAACTTCCAAAAGTCGGGCAGCTACAAAATAAGGGGAGTGCTGAACCACATCATTTACCAGCGTGAACAGAGACTACAGAAACGAGTAAAGGCCCGGAGAAGTAGCCTCCCTCAGACAGTAAGATTTTTCAGTATAAGTATAATAATTCAAAGTAAACCATTTTATTGCAATGAATTTGGACATGTTGTTGTCATTTAAGCCACTATGACGTCACTTCAGTCCCTATGATGTCATATTGACGATATCACCACAGTTTGCAGTGATGACGTCAGGAGCTGGCGAGTTCGCGGAGGCAGCAGCTTGTGCAGCTAACATGGCAGGAGTAAACTGTATCAGTGTGGTTGCTAAGAGCACTTGCAGGGCTTCATTGGAGGTGGGTCATTACTCATCTGTCTAAAAAAGACTTTTTATCAATGGAATATCTCAGTTTCGTAGACTTTTTAAGGTCAGAAAATCGGAAGATTTTTAACCATGGATAATATAAATTTTGACGATTGAGGACTAATTACCAGTGCTCAAACAGTAACAATCACTTGGATCCCCCACCAGATCCTGCACCACTACAAGTCAAGGGTGCTGGTTCACACAACAGACAACCCGGAGTCAGTGAGGGACAGAGCTGAGAAGGAGGCCGAGGAGACAGGGTACAAGATGATACTGCCCTACGAGCCTACAGTCATAGCTGGATACGGTACTCTAGGTCAGTACGAGTCTAGTGGTGACAGCAATATTGCCACCCCCTCCCCAATACACGCCGTTTTGATGTCATAAATAACACTGTTACAATAACGTCTTGGCGAGGTGACCGTGATGAAGTGTAGATCTGAGCATCCTATCACAAGCAGGATTTTCAGTTCTATCACTTTTGTAGTTAATTAAGCCAGTAAGAGACAATTAAATTTAAACCATAATTCGAACTAAATAGCATTTATTTAAAACTCCAAGCTAAATTCAACAGTGTCCACAGGTCTTCTTACAGTCAGTCTTGTAGTTAGGATAAAAGCCACAAAAGTAGGTCAGACAACTCTCAATCCTGTCTCTGCACACATCTCCACTGGACGTAGTAGGAGCAGATACAGTAGGCATGGGAACTGTAGGAGGTCGCACTGTCGGCTGTCTCTCGTACACCAGGGCTTCGTCCTCCTTGTCATCGTCAGCTTCACCAGTCGGTTCCATCTGTACCATGAAGTTGTTGTCAGGGAGATGGATCCCACACGCGTAGTTCTCTCTAGCGAACTTGAAGAGACCCTGGTCACCCCAGTCACCACCCCAGCTGTTCTTGATGAGGATGTAATGCGGAGAGTAAGCTACAGCTGCTACAGCGTGATTAGCAGCCCCGTTACACTTGTCACTCCTGTAGATCCCACTCTCGTAGAAATGTACGGAGAGAACAGCGTGAAATGCTACTGACAGAGGTCCCTGAGAGAGTCGGGATATGGTACCAGCCTCACTTCCATCATTCCTTGAGAAACCGGTAACTTTAGCTCCGATGAGACCGTCTGGTTTACCAGCACTCCTGCACCGCTTATCTACTGGCTCGTAGGGATAGTCCCGCCACATTCCCAGTCTTTTCCGACTCATTACAAACTGGATAGCTCGACTCTCAACGCCACCATGACATGCGTTGTAGGTGTGTGCATCATAAACACAGTCCAGTAGTTCCTGATTAGAGAACTGCTTCAGTTTACCTGTCAGTGTTTTGTAGGCTCCCTCTATTGCTACTGTTGGTCCAAACGTCCAGCACGCTCCGCAGCCGTCCTGGTTCTTTACAGATGTCACGTGACCAGAGTCAATCCATGACACACTATCAGGGAGTGCAGTGACGTCATCAAGAGTGACGTCATCAGGAGTGTTGTCATCAGGAGTGTTGTCATGGTTACTGACAGGGTGGAGTTGATTTTCCCTTGTTTTGTTGACCCCATGATATAACTCAATCTCCTGAGTAGTCATTACAGCGAACTTGTTGGTGGTTGTCGTGTAGCCCAGGTTCTGGGAGTTCAGGTCCTTGATGACTGCCAGGTTTTGGGAGAATATCTTGTACCGTAGGACTCTCTCTTTTGTTGAGACATACTTGTTTCCGGATTGCTTTAAGAAGTTCTGGAATCTTTGAGAGGGTGATGGTTTGTCGTCAGAGCAAGCCAAAGCCGGGCCTAATAAACTCGTAATTAAGATCAGAGAAAGCATGGTTAAAAAGAGCTCCAATATTTCTTGTTGAGTGCTTCTTACAACGAGGTAGTGAGAAAAATAGCGTCCTACAAATCGTGAAAATCACGGAAAATACCGAGCAGGTGTCAAGTTTGAGAATGGTGCTAATTTAATGTTATCAAACTTGAAGCTTAATTAGATCAACCATTCAATCCTCAACTCCGAGCCTTTGAGTATCTCAATAAAATTATCCTGTTAAATATCATAATGACATTTTCAAAGTTTGTAAACCGGACTATAATATAATGAATAAAAAATCATTCACTTATTACGGGCGATATACTTAAAGACAAGTCGTCGAATGCTTTATAGCATGGTGTTATAGCTCAAACAAGGTCGAACCACAATTGTTAAATCAGGAATGTTCCTCCACCTTTTCAAAGTTTCATAGGACACCATACAAAATTTGTGATGCAACACTTAAACATTTCCAGCATCGGAGTTCATGAAGCAAACCAACAACACTCTAGAAGCTGTTCTGGTGTTAGCTGGAGACGGAACTTTAGCTGCCGCTACCGCTATCACCATCAAAGAGGTTAGTTTGGTAAAGGTGTGTTACTTGCTGTCCTTGCTGCTACCATTATCACCACCAACGTGGTTGAAATTTAATACTTTTATCTAATGAGATGCAGCTATAATATGTACTATATAATATCATCTACGCCTGAGTAATGAAAGTAACCTCTAAACCTCAGATAGACGACACAACAGACGTGTACCTCGTGACACAGTCAGGTGACCCGGTATCTGTTGCCCTGGCAACCGGGGCCTGGCCAGACGAATGTACGGAGAGAGCGGAGGAGAGTGTCGCTTCAGCACTAAACCTGACCGTGCACCCTTCCACCCGACCTGCAATACTTAAACACTGTGAGAAAACTACCATAACTGTGGACAACAACGGGATAACAGGTTAGTAACTTTGTGGGAGTACTCGAGTTTAGTAATTATTCTTATTTCGTGGGTGAGTAGTGTTTGCAAACCCGGTTCTTGTCAGCCAATCCAGGGTCTTGAAAACATAAACGCCCTCTTATAAACGCCCTCTGTTGTCAGATGCAATGAGGTTCGTGTTCGAGAGACTGAAGATAGTGGTAGACGAGAACGCGGCTGCCTGTGTAGCTGCTCTCTTTACTGAACACTTTATGCACATCTGCGATAGCCACGACTACAGGTCAGACCCAGTTGCATCAACTATATTTAAATATCTAAGTGCCCCCCCCCCCCCCCCCCCCCGGCCCCCTCTCACACGCTATATCTTCAGGAGAGTGGGCGTGATGCTGACTGGAGGTAACTGCAACCTACTGACCCTGCCCTTCGTTTTACCAAGCAAATCCCACGATTCTACACGTTGCAGAAACAAGTGATGGATAGATCAGCGACGTCATAGTACACTGGTGACGTCAGAGTTGCAGAAATGACGTCACGATGTTTTGTAAGCAGCAATGACTAACAATATAAATGAGATTTGATTCGTATTTGAACTTGACAGAGAATTGATATTTTTGTAAAACTGATCATTCAGTCGATACAGAAATAACCTGATATCAATAGTACTGACATTTTCCTACACAACGCAGATAGCAGCTGAATTTCTTCTTCATACTTTCATATACTCTGCATAGTAGTGCACAACTGTTTTATCCAAGATTAAGGCGATATTTCATGCGATGCCATGTTTCATTTTTACTTTTTCTAGATGATTTACTGTTTTTTTGAAAACCAGAAAAATTATGAGCCCCAGCACTTACTTGAATGACACAACTAGGGTTTGTTTGTGTAAATTTATTAAAATTAAAATACTTTTAATTGTGCAATTAAATTAATCAATTAGTTAAAGTCACAGAATGTTTGAATCTAACCTCGAGAAGGTGCATCAGTTTACTTGAGGAAACCATACACATCTGTTTCAGGTAGGGAGAAACTGAAATAGTCGTGGTTGAAAAAAAAATTGAAAAATCGAACGATCGGGCTGTTATCTTTTAGCCAAATGCAATTGTCCTGAATTTTTTTGGTTAAGTAAATCATAAAGACATCAATGATCAATCATAGAATATTATTCTTCAGGGAATGGATGTTAAAGTAAATATAAACGTAATTTTAATACCTCGGCGAATTTCACCATCGGAATTACTCATTAAAATGGTGAATGTTGCTGTTTTTTGTTAAATGTTTGCTCAAAAGATGAGACAAATGGTCGGATGATAACCCCAAACCAATGAAATGATTTAGTTTTTGCGATTGTTCACATATAACCCCTCCCCTGGACGTCAGTATACACATAGCTATTGTGAAGAAATCAAAGATTTTCTAAACTCACTCTCTTTTACGTAATATGTGAACAATCTATGATTTTGCGATGTATTTTTTTGCAAAACTCTGTGTTTTATTCATCAAAATCAGGTAACTAATTAATTAAATTAAACTAAATTAAGGTAAAAAATTAATTAAATTAAATTAAATTAAATTAGGTAATGTCAACTTACTGTTCACTATGATGGTGAGGATACAGTCGAAGAGAGGCTGAAGTCTGTGGTGGCCACATGTTATTATCTTGTGGAAAACCTGTTAATTTTAACAATCAATAAAATTATTAGAATTAATAAAATTATTAGCTTCTGTAAACACTGACTGATACTTTGAAGTTTTGATTTGTAATGTTACAAATTCAGATAGGCGTAAATCGCATGGATTACATGATTTTTAAATACCAATTCACTTCGATTTAACAAATAAAGTAAAATGAAGGAAATAGTGAAATAGTAAAATAGAGAAATAGTGAAACCCACCAGTATAAGAAGGTCAGCATGGTTTCCGGTGAAGATGGGGAGGTCCATTGGAACTCTGGTTAAATACAACTTGTTAAGTCTCACCCCAAAGTTACGTTCTCCACTTAGCAGGAGGAGGATAAACACGCCAACGTGCATCAAACCTACTTTACCTGAAGGAGTGATAAGTTTGTCAAGTTTAATACTTATAAATTTTACAATTAAATGGGGAGTATTCGTTTTTGTTTGATCAGAGAGAAGCGGTCCACGGCCCAATCGTCTGATCGAAATTCAAATATCTGATTTTTTAATCATCATTATTATTAATTGTTAATCGATTCACGTTTCAAGGTAAAATTACGTGATCATTAAGTTTTACTACGAGTCCGTATGAAGGTCTGTATGCCTATATCTCAACTCAATTTATTTGGTATGCACCTATGCCGTAGGCATAGGTGCAATAAAGAACTTCACTTACAAAATATTTTAGGGAATGAGGGACGACAAACCATAATAGTAACGTAATATCCGTGCCGTTTAGAGGATACGGAACAATGAACATGATAAAATGATCAACAGAAATTTGAGATAATTTGAGATATAAGACAGGAAACATTCCTAAAGAGTAACTTAACCTCTAAATGGCCCTTTAGAGGTTAAGTTACTCTTTAGGAATGTTTCCTGTCCTTAAGGGGTTAACAATAGGGCCAGTGTAAAGAGAAGTTATAAGCGTTACAAGCGTTACAAGCGTTCCATAATACAAAATGTGCATCAGCTCTGTCTTGTGCTGAACAGGTACTTACCCTTAAATCCTTCTAAGTAAACAAATATGTCTCACCTTGCCGCATATTCTCATTATGCATGCTGTTAGTTACATTATTTCAACCAAATAACGTAAGTTTTACCAATAACTTAGAAGCAAACCTCTTAATAATCCAAGAAATAACGTGACGTGGTATTTACCTAGCTACCGTACAGAATTAGTGACAACTGATGTATCGAACAGTTCCATTAGCAAGTAGGTGCTAGGTTCTCATTATTATCGGATAAAGGATACGTCTGCAAAGTGAAATGTTGGGGCCACGCCGATCTATCGTTGACCGATATAAAGTTATCTTTGAAATTTAGGTTCTTAGCCTTGCTGGTAATTACTTTTTTTGTTGTAATTAGTAACGGCGTCTGTTGTAGTCGGTTTAGCATTTCTATTCTGTAACTCTGTTTTCATTCTTATCTAGGAATTTTCTTTAAATATCGAACTTAAATCAAGTAAGATCCGAGAATATGGAGTAGCAAAGTAGGAGACTCTCAGGACTGATCCTCGGTAACGTTACGACCTAGTTGTGTTTTCTGCTTCACGTATAAAGCCAGGTCGGTCTGGTATAATTTGAATTTGATTGGAACCGTGTTTGGTGAAGATCTGTTCAGATCTAAGATAGGCGGGGAAGCTCGGTCGCTTTTTCCATTTTATACATATGCCGAGCCCTCTTCTTAATTCTCTGGGACCTTCACCACGTTTCATAAAAATTGACGCGAGGAAATGTATTTAATCATTTAATGCTAACTTTAACTACTTTATATTTATATTTTGGATTGCTTTTCTGATATTTGATTTGATATCTTTATGGCCGATAGTGACTTTATAACCAAACTGAGACAAAACTATTGCATCTGGGAACGTGATCTCAGAACACACATTATTTGTTAAGAACGTGAGTACGTCCCCGCACATGTGATTATATGTCCTGATTAATGAGTCAGATGTTCAGCTGCACGGTGTTGACTTCCACAGTTACTTTATAACAGTGTGTCCGGGCACCTGGACAGGTCCTCCTCACTTTTTGTCATTTGTAGTGAAAATAGGTTTAACGATTTCTGGCGAATATTATTGGGTTAGTACACTACTCTTTGAGTGCATTTTGCCAACAATTTATTTCTGGTACTCCCAACTTACGTGTCACGGGAGTGGCGAGCTTAGTCGAACTAATTCATTACCGGCCACTAAGTTCGTGTTTATAGTTCAACATAGTACTTGTTTTATTGAGAACACATCATTACATCAGTGTTATCGCTCTTTCCTTAGTATATTTTTGTCTTGTTATTGAGACATGAATGACTGACACTGATGACTTTTCGTTTGTGTTCTAACTTTTAGTTCGATGACCGGCTCTGAACACCAAAGACCAGGTTTGATTCCGTTTCTTTGTCCTAAGTTTATCAAATTCACACTAAGCGATCCTTCTGCTTATATAATTCTTGGTATCTGTTATTTTAGAATTTCAAACTCAAAGTTCAACATGCAAATTACTAGACGCTACCCTTTTTTAAGTCAACAAAAGGAAAACATCAGACCTAGAAAGTTGAGATAATTGTGTTCAGGTAGCAGAGACAAAGGAGGACAAGGCAGGAAGCTAAATGTACTGAACTCGGTTAGTGAGAGGGTTGCTCGAGGGAGGAATGATAAACTAGAAGAGGATCTCATCAGTACTTACGCAGCACTCGAACACAATAAAGGTACCTACTACATAATATATAGTATATAATTATTAGTTTATAATTCTATAGTATATAATATTCTATATAATTCTATCGTTAGTTATCGTCGTATCTTATCGGTTTTAGATTTGTAATGCAGGGTCGAGCAAAGATGGCCGTCCCTCGTCCTCAGGGGCGTGCGCAGGGGAAGGCGATGCGCCCCCGCCCCTGCTCGTCCTCAATCACGTCCACTGATATGTTCAGGGAGAAAGAAGCAGCTGCTGTCACAAGAACAGTTCAAACTGAGGAAGCTGATGTCGGTAAGGCTGTGTCCAGTGAGTGTTATCAACACAGCAAGGCACGAGCTTCACAGTCAAGGTAGTCATATTAGAGAGATATCTATGAGGTTATCTTTGTTAGCCCTTTGGTTTTCTAGCACATTGAGAAATTTTAGTTTAAACTTTCAAACTACAAATACATAGATTCACTTACGACGTCTATCATGATATTGGTTGGGGAAGTGGGAACTTTAATGTACCGGAAAAAAGGTCGATATGGTATGAAAAGTTAAGGGCATTACTTCTATAAAATGTGTATTACTATTTGTAGCAACCCAAACTCTAACTTTCACTGCAGATCTTCTAGGTTTTAGTCCCCGAGCACCAGACTCTATTAAGACTACCAAACAAATACGAGACTTCTACAGGAAACAGCTTCATAGACAGGTGCTTTTAATTCTTATAAATTTGATGACAATTTGGGATAAATATTTGTTTCAAAAAATTGAGATAACCGTCATCTCTGAACTTCTCTTTTGATTAGGGAATATGAATTATGGAGTAATATCCGAACAGCTATTTATCTTATTGCATTGAAACTTGTATTTTGTCTGCATATAACTAATCTTATCTTCCCTCACTCACAAAACCTCACAGTTATCACCAGACGTGAACCTGCGGTATCCCGAGGAGCTATTTGAACGTCACCTCCACAAACCGTGCCGTTTTGTGAGACCCAACATTCTGCCCGATATTGTACCGACCATATACAAGGTATTCAGTTACTATTTACATGTAACATTGTAACCAATCAAAGTAGAAGAATTTATCGCGTTGTCAACTTATTTCATGATCATTGTCAACTTATTCTATAATCACTGATTGCTCGGCGAATATAAGAATTCTCGGTATTTCAGAAGCCGGCCCAGCCGAACAAGCTGCTCCCCTGGTGCCCCGAGAACTACCTGCCACATTCCGTTACTGAGAGTGATCACCGAGAATCAGAAACAGAGTCCAATCATACAGCTGATAACGCTGATCAATCCGAACTTATGGGACCGTCTTCCAAACATCGCACAACAAACAAAAACTCTGTAAAAAAGCGAGAGTTCGTTAGGAAAGACTCTTTTGGGCCTTGCAAAGCGTTTAAAAAGTACGCGAACCCAACGCCTAAGATAGTTCAGTACTGCACTCAAAAATTTGCAAATACTTGGGAACCAAAGGAAAAACAAATTAAAGGTAAGACAAACAATCCGGCTAACAAAACAGTGCACAAAAAGTTGGGACCGTTGAACTCTGTAACGGATAAAATTGACAAGGATCTACAGGAGCGAATGAAGTACTTTTTAGTCAGATTACGATGATGCAGTCTATTGAGAGATAGGGAGATAATCTTAGCAGGTTGTTACTACAAAATATCTCTAGGTATTCACTGCCCCTTCACGGTTTGAAGTGGCAAACTGAAACATATTTAATAAAGCCTTGTAAGAGCTGATAAAACTAACCTGGAGGGGGTTGTTTAAAACATGTAAGTGATACAAAATAATCATTAAGTAGGAGCTTTCAGAATACATGTGTAAATCGTCTTGAGAAACTAACCAGGATCATTGCGAGACTCGGTCAGATAGTAAAGTATCGGAACTAGAACATCCAACACATCACTCGTCTTCAACACGTAGAAGAGAAATTTCTGAAAAAGTTTTAATTTTAATTAATAATTAATTAATTTATATTTTAATTAATGGGGATGAGATTCTAGCCACAGGCGTATTTCATGCCATGAAGGTTATATTTTAATTTGATGGAATAACAAGTTGAACTCTTTTCGGAATTATATTTGTTCACTATTGTTCAATGTTCAGGTACATTGAAATACGATAAAATGATGATATTCGTACTTCGTAGTGTGTTTCATTTTTTCCCGATCCATGACTCAAAGTGCCGAAGGCACAAAAGAGTCAAGTACAAGGGTTAGCGAACGAGGTTTTTTTTTGTATATGGTAGCTTGCGACCGTGCGAGCGTGCGACCGTGCGTGCGTACGTGCCTTCGCCCCAGCGGCCCAGTCTATAGTTATCGCCCACGTGTTTGCCTGCGCAAAGTTATTTTGCGGATAATCTGAATTAAACAATTGTTGGCGCGCGTTGCTGAACTGTTCAAGTACATTGTTAATTAATTTCACCATGTACCATCCTGCTAGGGACTAATTGATAGCATATTATTATTATTTTGACTTAGTGTTACTATTTTGCACAGATCCGTGTCAGGTTGCATAAATAATAAACATATAAAAAAATGTTTAAAAATATACACGATTTTCAAATTCAATATGGAATTATATTAACTGGGCCGCGCTCGGCCTGTCACTCCGCCATATCTGCATGCTTATAAACAGTAAAGACTGGGGTCCCCAGGTGGTATGGAATATGATAAAATACGCCATCACGGATCGGGAAATTGAGCGGCCATCCACAAAAGAATAGCGGCCGCATTTCTTGTTTACCTTATTATAATCACACATCTTCCAAAACAGCACCAGAAGCTCCTCGTGAAAACCAATCTTCTTGCAGCTGTTTGGCAGGTACGTCTGGTATAGAAAGTCAAATTCAGCACAGTAATAAACAATATATTGCGTATATACCGGCACGGTAAGAAATTGGTGGATTTTCATGCCTTTACCTTTAAGGCATGGAAAATGAATGACAGTTTTAGTTGACCATTGTATATCGTACACAGTACAGTACATTTTACATTGACACATTATACACTACACATTCAGATAGTATAAAACAGAATTCAGACCTGTAGAAGAGGGTTATTGAGAAGTTTTATAAGACCACAGAGGATGAAATGAAAGTCCTCCTCCCGATGTATTCGGGAGAGGAAATATGTGAAGTAGTTGGTTGGGGTTGATTTCTCGTCTATTGACTGCATGCTAGCTGACTCGTGGTCCAGAATCACCATCAGGACCTGTGCGCTAACCTGGGTGGAATGGTAAGTCACTCAAGATAACTCATTAAATACAAGTAAAGGGTTTTAAGCTTACAAATATGTTCACATTTGCATTAATTTGACCTCATAGAACGGCAAAAATCAGTTTGTAATCATCCACCCTTGACACACCACATACTTATTATGAGATAACAGAACCAAATTGAACCCCTGAGCTCACCTCGACAAGCTGTTCCCTGTGGTCGGAGAACATTACATGCTGGTATGGTAAACCGTACCCCTGCGGGTCGTACGCACATATCACATTGAGCAGTGAGGTGAAGAGAGGTAGTGCATGTTTGTTCTCGATGGACGTGAAGTAGGATAACCATAGGTTCGGCTGCGAGGAGTCTGAAGGGTTAGAAAGTGATATTTAGGACTACTACCATGACCGCTACTATACAGTCCAGAGATAATTTATCCTGATTATTTGATCTGAAGTTAGACCGTGTAAATATATAGGGAATTCTTAAGCACATTATCTCACCAGAGGGAACGTAGTACATGGTCTCCGAAAAACAAGTCAGTAACAGTTTCAATATCTCGGTCCTGTTGCTGTCGATTTGGGGAGGTGTTTTCCTCGAGTAGGCGAACCCGACACCCTTCTCCCAGATATGTTGGATACTCTCAATACTAAAATCTTCTAACGTGTCCTGAGGTCTCAAATTAGTGGTCTGAAGGTTTGGTTTATTAGCTAATTGACCAATTCTTAGTTTATTTTCAAGGTATTGCCAGACATTTAGCTCGAGATAGGAAGTTTGATAAGTAAAATCAAGGTGACTTACCGGACCAACTGTTGCAGGGGCGACTATAGTGAAATCAGGGCAGAATAGCAAATCCTGAAGGAAATTTATGTTAAAATGAGTTTTGCCGTTGCCAAAGTCACAGTATGTGCAGCAGCTGATTGCCAAAATAATACAACCGTTTATACGATTGTTGGTGATTTTATTCTGTTTTCTCGTTGGTCTAATGCCATTAAACCAACGAGAAAATAGAATAAAATCCCCAACATTAGACTAATGGGAGTCGGAGTGTCAAGATGTCATGGTCGGTACTCGGTTTATTAATCGCCTTTTATCTAATTTAATTCATCGTTTCGATCACGCGCACGCACGCACAATTTTATTGCTTGCTGCGCTGCGCTTGAAATTAATCGTTTTTCTTAGGCTTGCAACTTGACTTGGCTCGAAAGAACTGCATCGCGCGTCACTGTAACGAATCTCTAAAATAGTGACCGGCCATAGGAGACTGAGTATCGGGTAAGTTGGCCAAAACGATATAATATTCCGGCGAATCTTCAATTACAACAATTTCTATGTTGTACAAATACCATGAAATGATATGGCTTACGGATAGCTTTTTGAGGAGTATCTGAGCTAAAGGGGCGTTTCCGCAACTTTCTCCGTGTAAAGAATCCTCTAGATCGATCGAGTTCTTAGACCAGAAGAATGACCTCCATTCCTCACTTTCAAATACGAACGGTATAAGCCTTGTCAGTAATCGTACACAATTTAACACTGAAACAGTTTTGATGGAATACAATGATAAGGACAAACTATTACCAATCAAAATGATGATGAATCAACTTCTGTTTACTTAATTAAAGTAATAATTATGCAGAAGCAATTAAGTGAGCGAAATTACCGATAGCTTGTTCTGATAAACTCATGCTTGGACCAGCAATTACAGAACTGTCCAACTTCTCCACAGCCTGATGGGGATAATCACGCGTTACAAAGCCTTAATATTATGTTAAAATGAGAGTTGTATTCGGATACCAGTTTAGAAATGAATATTCGGGTTGTTTTAACACATTCTCAATCGTAACCAGACAAGACTACAAAACACGTAGATTGGCTGCACAGTATGCATCTGCAAGCTGTTTGGTTAACTAGTTTTGTTTTCCTTAGTGCTGACGCTACTTGATATAAGTCCACTCCCTTCAATATTATGGTTTTATCGTGGTCACGTGCCAAAACAAACTCACATCACCTCCCCACCAGTAACCAACTTTATAATTACCTTGTAAATAAGCGTCATGAAGTTGGCGGGAGATTCTTCGCGTAGGGTGTGGATATCATCAGCAGTAACGAGAGCGAATATATCGCTGATGTTGTTCACAGTTCCACTCCAGAACTGATCCCAGAACGCATCATCTGATGTATCTATTGTTTGCTGGAATGTGAAGAATTTGGAGACGGGATTATAGATGCACACCAAATAAAATTCAATCGAAATGTACCCGAAGTTAAGGGGAGATACACCAAAAACGTTTTTGCTCCGAACATCGATTTTATTTTATATTATGGTTAAATAGACAAAAAGAATAAGATTGCACACCTTCAAAATTTTCTAAAAATACTCCCTCATCGAGAAAAAAAAATTTTTCTTTTTCGACAATTTTTAAAATTTGGAGAAGTCTGTCAATGTAATACCGATAGTTCGGCCATTTTAAAAGTTTTTTGGCTGATTTTTTTACTGAACATTACTTACATTCCGTACAAGACAACCCTTTAAAGCATTATATAATTGAACAATAAATGACCAAGTTACAGACCGAACAAGGTGAAAAAAGAAAAATTGGGATTTTTGCCTACCACCAAAGTTGTACATTTTACCACTCGCCCAGGTCATCAGATATCGCTTTAAAAATTCTTGTGAGTGTAGCCGATGATCATATCAAACTTTTTGGAACAGGATTTCTCTCAGTTTTGAGTTTTAAGGTATGAAATGTGGCCTCAAACGACTTAGTAAAATTCATCGTAAAAAAGGGCCAAACATGGCAGATTTAAGGCTTAAAATGCCTATAACTCAAAAAAGTATAATTTTTTTTGAAATAATTTTTACAGAATCGTAATCAGCTTGAGAAAACGAATCTTTTAGTACCAAATAGGTGATTTTACAAGACAAATTGTCTTAAATAATTTTCCAGCTCGAACACAACCTTGTATAAAACACCTTGTATAAATTTTGTACAAATTGTACACATTTTTTTACAAATTTTGTGTCTTTAACTATTATAAATTTGATACTAAAAGATTTGTCTTACCAAGCTGATTACGATCCTGTAAAAATTATTTCAAAAAACCTAATACTTTTTGAGTTACGGGTATATGGCCCCCAGAATATAGGTCGTTTTTTGAGCACTTAGAAACAGGTGTTAAAACTACTTCTAAGCATGTTTAGGGCTGTAAATATGTACATAATAACCCTTTAAATGTTTCTTGGGTAGTTGAAAATAATTATTAGGTTTTTAAGTGTACTTTTTTTTCACCTGTAAAAATACCATTTTTTAACAGGGCCCCCAGAATATAGGTCCAAACATCTGTTCCTAAGTTGTTCTAAAATTGTCACAGACAGTTATATGCAGTCAGAATATGTTGCTGAGACTGTATTGATGATGCCAATGGCTCCAGATACTAAATTGAAATGGTTTAGAGTATACTTAATAGCAAAAAATCAAAAACTACGGCCCCCAGAATATAGGTATGCAAAAATCGTCCTCAAATACTCCACCTTCATACATTTTGAAGATGCCATCTCTTCAGCATATGTTCTTTAACTGTTTCTCATCACTACCCCACATTCCTTAATGCTCAGGGTGACAGAGAAAATGCAGAATCTTGGTCGCTATTTTTTTTTAAACCTATATTCTGGGGGCCATATACCCGTAATGAGTAAAATCTTTAATTTTACTAGTTAAAAAGCATTCATGCACTCATTTAGTAGGGATCTTAACTAAATACTTAAATAAGATTGAAGGAGTGTCCCTAGATATGATTGAGGGGGCTGTTTTTATCTGTATCAATACAATGTGCACCTCAATGACTGTAAATCAGACATTTTTGGCCGCCAAATTTTTTTAAAGGCCTAACTCAAAATTCTGTCCCAAAACTTAGGGTCATGAGACAATTCTACGTTGATTCTGAAAATTTCATGTGAAAATATTGAAAACCTATTGAGTTCTATTGTTTTGAGCTAAGTCAGTTTGAGATATGGGCGATTTTGTTCATTTTTTGCGATTATTTGAACACAGAATCCACAGTTAGGTAGATATTGAGCTGATAATCATAGAGAATGTGTAATATATGCTTACCTTCCATATAAAGTTGGTTTCATTCAAAAATATTGATATTTGACCAATTTATGGACCAAAATCGATCAAATTAGGTGCGTATGCCCAAATATGGGCATATGGTTTTTGTTTTTATCCCATAACTCGGCCAATTTTTATCCAATTTTGATAAAACTTGATATGTGGGTTCAGGAGACTAGTAGCTACAAGTAGAGCATCCCACAGCATGGTTTTGGGCATGTTCAGGGTTTTTGACCAACCTATATTCTGGGGGTCGTATGGACCTATATTCTGGGGGCCCGTAAAATTGTGATGGCCATAACTTTTTTCCAAATTGTCAGTTTGAAGATGTCTCGATGAAAAGATAGCTTAAAATAATACTTATACTCATACCAGTAGTCTTAATGGCATGTGTTGGACAGATTTTTGTCATGACAATTTTTCGCCATATTTACCCCTCTAGAAAATGACAACATCGTTTAAATTTTTCGCTGTCATGACCAAATATACCAAAATACCTCATGTAGGTCCAAAATTTTTATCCAGAAACATTAGTTACATGTTTTACTCCAACCTAGCAGTAACAGATCCCATTAGTATCGCTTATCTTGGTTAGAACTGTATCCACTAACATGACCTATATTTTGGGGGCCACCTATATTCTGGGGGCCATATACCCGTATAGGCATTTTAAGCCTTAAATCTGCCATGTTTGGCCCTTTTTTACGATAAATTTTACTAAGTCGTTAAGGCCACATTTCACACCTTAAAACTCAAGACTGAGAGAAATCCTGTTCCAAAAAGTTTGATCTGATCATCAGCTACACTCACAAGAATTTTTAAAGCGATATCTGATGACCTGGGCGAGTGGTAAAATGTACAACTTTGGTGGTAGGCAAAAATCCCAATTTTTCTTTTTTCACCTTGTTCGGTCTGTAACTTGGTCATTTATTGTTCAATTATATAATGCTTTAAAGGGTTGTCTTGTACGGAGTGTAAGTAATGTTCAGTAAAAAAAATCAGCCAAAAAACTTTTGAAATGGCCGAACTATCGGTATTACAGTGACAGACTTCTCCAAATTTTAAAAATTTTCGAAAAAGAAAAATATATTTTTTCTCGATGAGGGAGTATTTTTAGAAAATTTTGAAGGTGTGCAATCTTATTCTTTTTGTCTATTTAACCATAATATAAAATAAAATCGATGTTCGGAGCAAAAACGGTTTTGGTGTATCTCCCCTTAATGTATGAGGAGAATAGTATTTATTGGCTTAACATCAAGTTTACGTGTAATCAAAACATTTAGACCAACAACGTTACTCCCAATAAATACTACAATACTATAAATAACGAAACAAGGTAAGTGTACATTTCCCTGGATCACGCTACACATACATCTACAACTTACATTTACAAAAGTAGACTTGGTCCTGAGATTTTTAACTAGATTGAATAACCTGTTGTGGTGGCTTGAATAAACCGTGAATTCTGTAATATGTACGACAATTCACGACAATATCAAATTTCAACCCAGATAACAAACCAAGCGGCACGAGAATCACAAACTTTCTTACTCGTATTAAAGTCGTGTACTTGGGGTAAGAAGTAAGGACATTTATTCTAAACTAATAAACCGTTATCATTCTCAGTAAATATAAAAGGAATGTTACATGCTGCGCATTCAAATTTAACTTGAATATTCGAGACAGAACAATATTTCTGAATGTAACTTACGTTAGTTCGTCCAGTTAAGTTGACGATGGCCCGTCGGAAACCGACTTTACTCTCCGTACCTCCCATTTAGCCAATCGCGATGAAGTACCTCACAGAATGAACCAATCAAAGGATCGTATTCGAATCACGTGACAGAGTTTGGCCAATCAAGGAGAGCTGTCTTTGACACAAATGTCAAATGAGCTTGTTGGATGTTGCTCAGGTTCTTCTTAACATAGCTTCAACCTTTAGCTACACGTTATGAATTGTTAGATTTTTAGTATAGTTAAATTAAACAGATTGTTAGATATTCAATCTAGCTAAATTTAATAGATTGTAACATGTTAATAATTAAGAATATCAGAACACGTTGAATATGACATCATGTCAAACTAGGAGGTGAAACTGAAAGATGATATGAAAGTGACAGGGGACCCAAACACTGAGCTCGATATCGCAACGCGGCTGTATTGTATTTCAATGATAGCTTATCGTTCGTACATTTGCTTGCTTTTCCTAACACTTTAAATACTAGCGTAAAAGCACACGAAAACGTGGATTTGATCGTTCTTAGGTTGTCATAAATTAGTCTTAAGTTGGAATCGTTCATATCTTATCAATTATTGCAATTATTCCAATTATTGCAATCATGCTTATATGAGTATTAGGATTCTATGATGCAGTTGATATCAAATTTAAGTTAGTTTGATAACTAAAACATTGTATTGGAGTACAATATGTATTGTACAAAGATAATTCTCTGAATTATATATACATATTATTGTACTCCAATACAATGTTTTAACGTCATTTTGATCGGTTTTGTTGATATTACGCTGTGTTTAGTAAGAGCAACATTTTAATTGGCTGTATCTTCGGTTGTGTAGGATATTTTTTGACGCGATTTAAACTTACTAACAAAAAATACTATAAGCTTCCTCCCTATGACCACGGGTTTTCTAGTATGTATATAAAGTAATCTTAACCTTTATGTTGAATAACGAGTCTATTACATAATTAACAAATTCATTGTAAACGTGTATAGTAGCTAGTATATTGGCTAACAAACACATTGTAACAGAATGATTATAGTAGTCGTAACATTGGTATTAATACAAATCTCACACTGCAACATATCCCTCTATCTGCTCAACTTGGACACAGGTAAATAACGTGTTCTGAGCTTGTTGTAACATAAGAAATGGAATTGTTTAATCAGAGTGGAATCTGTTCTGAAAGAATTCGTTAGATACTGTATGTGATCTGACCTCACCTGCTTCTAAGGTTTCAGTAAACGTGTTTCCAGCTTACTAACAGGAACAACTGATCTGAATATTAAGCTAAGTTTGATATCTTATAACAGTACTCGGAAATGGATTAATTACCTCAGGGAAAGCATTAACGTCAGGAGGATCAAAAGTGCAATTTAGTGATGTTGATTTTGGGAGTCCTAACCAACTCTGGCAGTAAGTAATGAAAGTTTATCTCAAGAAACGGTATTTCAACATTAGTTTATTTCAGACATTGATGGTAAATAATCAATGGTGTAAATCACCACTGAAACTTAAGTTCTTGAGAATAAATGCCCCTCACACAAAAAAGTCATTAAAAAAAACTTTAACGGCCATTATCTCGAAAGTTTTTTAACATTCGCCCATGACGATATGTTTTGAATAGCTTAAAACCATATTATTTAATAATGAAACTTCACACAGGTTCACTTCAGACGGGAGTCTGATCGTGTCACAAGATGACAACTATCTGGGCTTCGACCACGTGACCAAAGACCTGGAACTGAAACAAACCTCAGATGTGACATGGTCCTGGGTGGATATGAAGATACAAGCCACTGATCAGAGTCCAGCTCAGCTGGTTTGTCTCGGGCCTAACGCTAATCAGGTGAGATGGAATTTTCATGCCCCTAAAAATATGTTAATTTATCGACCAGATTCTTTTAATCTACTCTTTATGAACATTTTCATTCATGACCAAAATGTTGGCATTTAGACAGTCCTACCTCTGTATACAAAGATACAATAGTGGATTTGGCTGCGCTACAGCTACGAGAAGATTACCACTCAGCGCATTTTAATCACATTGTACACTTCCTAAGTTATTAATCGTATTTTACCAATATTTTCACAGGTGGTTTCATGTGACAAAGGAGCAAACATCACACTCCAAGTTCATGAGGTAGAACTCTACAATTTGGTCAAAGATATTAGATCCTCTATAGATAACGCTACCAACGAGTTAAAGAGCAATTTGACGAGTAAGTCGTGTCGAGAATAAAATTACAGTTCTAAAACTAAACCAATCAGCAAAACGTCACTTCAGCCGCAGTTTTAAAAACTGGAATATTATTATCAAAATGCGCCTTTTATTTGTCTGATATCCACTTCTGAAATCAGCGTTATTCCATATTGATCATCAAGGTTGCAATTTTATCTATAATTACAAAAACTGCAGAATTTAAGAGTACCACTTTATACCCAAGGTGTTCAACAAAAAACAAGTGCAATAGAAAAGAAGATAAACGAAACTCAGGGGCACCTGGACCAATGGGACAAAGACCTGCCAAAACATATAGAGGACTTTGAGGAACATTCTAAAGTTGTGTCAGACAACATTACTCTCACTAAAGGCCATCTGGAGGAGGCCATGGACCTAGTTAAAGGTGATTGAATTCTTCAAATACCTGTTCTTAAACAAGCTAATTTCATAATTGGGAGAGGGGCAGGTGGGGGGGGGGGGCAATCCCATCGATGCTAATGTCCATTTTACCAAAAGTTGAGCAATAAATAGACAACATTTAAATGGAACATTTTTATATTATTTATATCAAATTACCAACTAACTAACTCTCCTTAGACGACATAAAGACACTGAGCGTCTCAGTCGAGAACATAACCAACCACCTCAACTCAACTAAAGTCAACTTTACAGCACTTAACACAGCGCTGATCACCTACAAAAACAACACCAACACGACCATCAACCAAGAAATGGAGAGGGTTCAGGAGGAACTGAAAACTAAATCTGCTAACGGTCACATCATCCCGGACAACGTGTATGAGTTCAGTGTTTTGTTCTTACTTGCGCTGGGCATTGTTAATGTTATGGACATTGGACGTAGACTCATTATCTATTCCATCAATCAGAGAGCCCCTGACAAATACGGCACTGAGTAAGGTTTGAACTACCATAAACTTCTATGAAATACTATAAACTACTATGAACTACCATAAACTACTATACTATGAACGGACTATAGGGGGGGGTGTCACGTCCGTCTATGTCCGCCTATGTCCTGTCCTTTTTGGATTCTATGAGACAACGGACGTGTTTTTTGGGACATTGGCGGACACGGACGGACATTGGCGGACACGGACGGACATTGGCGGACTCGGACGGACATTGGCGGACTCGGACGGACATTTGCGGACCCGGACGGACATTGGCGGACTCGGACGGACATTGGTGGACATTAGCGGACATATAAGAGGTCTAAAAGTCTAAAGAATAAAGATCTCACAAATATTCCCAATATTTAATTAAATCCAGTCACCAAATCCGGTCGCTAAATCCAGATCTATTTGTGTCGTCAACATATCTTTGAAACAGTTACACAGGGTACACAGTAGGCACAGTACCTATTCAACGAAATATAGGGAATATAACTTATTAATCACACTAAAGCTATTAATAGCTTTAACTTATTTTATCAAATTATATAGGGACCCAGGAAAAGGCCCCAGGAGGAGGAGGAGGAGGAGGAGGAGGAGGAGGAGGAGGAGGAGGAGGAGGAGGAGGAGGAGGAGGAGGAGGAGGACTGGGGAGGAGGAGGACTGTTGAGGACTGATGAGGAGGACTGAGGACGAGAAGGAGGAGTAGAAGGAGAACTGAGGAGGGGAGGAGGAAGAGGACTGAAGAGGACTCAGGAAGACCCAGGAGGAGGACCCAGGAGGAGGACCCAGGAGGAGGAGGAGGACTGAGGAGGATGACTCAGGAGGAGGAGGACTCAGGAGGAGGACCCAGGAGGACTGAGAAGGTGGAGGACTGTTGAGTACTGAATAGTACTGAGGAGGATGGCTGAGGAGGATGGCTGAGGAGGATGGCTGAGGAGGATGACTGAGGAGGATGACTGAGGAGGATGACTGAGAGGGAGGAGGAGGATCAGGAAGACCCAGGAGGAGGAGGAGGAGGAGGACCCAGAAGGAGGACCTAGGAGGAGGAGGAGGAGAACTGAGGAGGATGACTCAGGAGGAGGAGGACTCAGGAGGAGGACTGAGAAGGAGGAGGACTGAGGAGGATGGCTGAGGAGGATGGCTGAGGAGGATGACTGAGAGGGAGGAGGAGGAGAAAGAGGAGGAAGAGAACTGAGGAGGAGGAGGAGAAGGACTGAGGAGGAGAAGGAGGACCCAGGAGGAGGAGGACCCAGGAGGAGGAGGACCCAGGAGGAGGAGGACCCAGGAGGAGGACCCAGGAAAAGGCTCCAGGAGGAGGAGGAGGACTGGGGTGGAGGAGGACTGTTGAGAACTGATGAGGAGAACTGAGGACGAGGAGGAGGAGTAGGAGGAGGACTGAGGAGGAGGAGGAGGACTGAGGAGGACTGAGGAGGAGGACTGACGATGACTGAGAAGGAGGAGGACTGAGGAGTACTGAGGAGGATGGCTGAGGAGGATGGCTGAGGAGGATGGCTGAGGAGGATGAATGAGGAGGATGACTGAGAGGGAGGAGGAGGAGGACTCAGGAGGAGGACTCAGGAGGAAGAGGAGGAGGACTCAGGAGGAGGACTTAGGAGAAATGAGAAGGAGGACTGAGGACTGGAGGAAGAGGACTGGGGAGGATCAGGAAGACCCAGGAGGAGGACCCAGGAGGAGGCGGAGGAGGAGGACCCAGGAGGAGGAGGAGGACTGAGGAGGACTGAGGAGGAGGACTGACGATGACTGAGAAGGAGGAGGACTGAGGAGTACTGAGGAGGATGGCTGAGGAGGATGGCTGAGGAGGATGGCTGAGGAGGATGAATGAGGAGGATGACTGAGAGGGAGGAGGAGGAGGACTCAGGAGGAGGACTCAGGAGGAAGAGGAGGAGGAGGACTCAGGAGGAGGACTTAGGAGAAATGAGAAGGAGGACTGAGGAGAACTGAAGAGGAGGAGGAGGAGGAGGACTGAATAGGAGGAGGAGAAGGAGGGGGACTGGGAGAGGACTGAGGAGGAGGAGGACTGATGAGAAGGATGATGAGGAGGACTGAGGAGGAGGACTGAGGACCGAGGAGGAAGAGGAGGAGGATAAAGAGGAGGAGGAGGACCCAGGAGGAGGAGGACTGAGGAGGACTGAGGAGGATGGCTGAGGAGGATGACTGAGAGGGAAGAGGAGGAGGAGGAGGAGGACTCAGGAGGAGGAGGAGGAGGACTGAGAAGGAGGAGGAGGAGGACTGAGAAGGAGGAGGACTGAGGAGGAGAAGGAGGAGGAGGAGAACTGAATAGGAGGAGGAGGAGGGGGACTGGGGGAGGACTGAGGAGGAGGATGGAGGACTGAGGAGAAGGATGAGGAGGAGGACTGAGGAGGACTGAGGAGGAAGAGGAGGAGGATGAAGAGGAGGAGGAGGACCCAGGAGGAGGACCCAGGAGGAGGACTCAGGAGGAGGAGGAGGAGGACTGGGGAGGAGGAGGACTGTTGAGGACTGATGAGGAGGACTGAGGACGAGGAGTAGGAGTAGGAGGAGGACTGAGGAGGGGAGGAGGAAGAGGACTGAGGAAGATCAGGAAGACCTAGGAGGAGGAGGAGGAAGAGTAGGAGGAGGAAGCATCTAAATGTTATTTCCATTTTAGTCCGTTTTTGTCCATTTTTGTCTGTTTTTGTCCGCTCTATTTTTTGTCCGTTTTGAAAATATAGGGTACCGAACGGACAAAAAACATGATATAACAGCAAAAATTGAACATTTTATTTAGCAATTTAGGTGTCCATTAATGTCCGTATATGTCCGTCTATGTCCGCCAATGTCCGCCTATGTCCGTCTATGTCCGCCTATGTCCGCCTATGTCCGTCTATGTCCGCCTATGTCCTGTCCTTTTTGGATTCTATGAGACAAGCGGACATAAACGGACGTGACACCCCCCCCCCCCACTATAATAACAGTCATTAAATAACTCAGCGTATTCTAAAATATGTTGTTTATTTGGGAATGCTAACTTCAACTCATTCTGATTCTGTATGTGAATTTTATTTATTTGATTTTAGGGTAAACCTTTTGTAGATATGAGAGATTTTTCCGTAATCAATTCAAAATGTAACAAAGACTGCCGGCGGTCGATAATACCGTAGGTGAGTTGTAAAATTATAATATACATATCGTACTCGTTGAGTTAAATCTATTGTCGGCTTTACTTCATTGAATAATTAATCTAAGTTACAATGGAATGTTTGTATTATATATTTGTTAAGTGATTTAAATTCTGTGAAATCAATATTTTTGAAAATCGAACTTCACTTTCAAGACGCAATTCAGTGTTTATTGTGATTTGTGGGTACAAACTCGAGATAAAGCAATCCGTGGACAAACAGAGTTTCTTACCTATAAAATAATTAAAAGCAAAACATATTCTCAAAATTTGTCCCCGATTTGTGAAAGAAAACCACGAGGAGCATATCCAAATGATGTCCTCCTCACGAACCAGGTGATGGTGATAACTTCTAATGTCATGTTGGGAACTGACTTATCTTCACGTGGAGTGAGGAGTGTCAGAGGGAGTGAGCCAAGACGCAAGTTATCACTCGTGAAATTTAATAAAAATGTCAAACTAATAGCATGAAGTAACCACCTTTGAGAGGTTTTGACGACCAATATAGTATATCTTGAACGCAGTTGAGATCAAATCTTAATTAAATGTCATAAGTTAAAGCACCGTATCTCTGAGCAATCAAAAGAATTGACAAGAACCCCGAACGAAATTGGAGATCACAAAATGTGACCAATCTACGAATACTTCATTAGTGCTTATTAGCCCTACTTAATTTCTCGTTAGGTGAAGCCACCAAAATGGAGGCTGTTTCGTAGGTCACGCTTAACAGCTTAACTAATTGATAAGGGTTGTGACAGATGTTCCTTTCAAAACGTGACAACGATTGACCAATCAGTTTACATCAATGATCAAACTTTGGTTTATGAGCGATACCGCCTTGGCAAAACCCCAGCCAAGCCATAGACCAATCAGGGAACATAGTATCGTGAGAAAGACAGCTGATTGGTCAATAGTTTAGTATTCTAACTTTCTAACACATTTAATAGTCTTAAATGATCTGTTGAGAAAATCGAACCTTCATAGTTAAAGCAGAAAATAAATAAATAGCATATATAAGTGCAGCCTGTTCGGTGTTCAAACGAATAAAAATATACTTCGATTCTAGTTCTGGATTTAAACTTGAAAATTAAATGTGCTGATATTGACCACATATAAATACTAATTATAGCAATTAGTTAATTTATTTATTAGTCCGAAGAGGAGGACGATGAGGAGGAAACTGATCTTTTACGTCGGGGGGATTTCTTACGGTCAGCTGACGACTTGGACCTGAGAAGAAAAAGTTATTCTCACAAGATGTTACATATTCTGTACTCAAAATATCATCGTTAAAATTTTCAAATTATTTTATTTCATATTCTCAAATCATTGATCTCAGGTGACAACTGAAAAGTCGTCAGCATGATAAAATGAAAATGTTCATAGTTTTAATTAACTAATTTATTCTCCAACTTCCAACTACCAATTCTGACCTGTTTCTAGTGGCTTTAGGAGAAGTTTTAGCCGGAGATTTCCGTGGTGACCTGCGTCTGGGAGGAGATGATCTCCTGACAGGAGAGCGGCGCGGAGGACTGCGCTTACGGGGTCCCGGACTGACGCGACGCGCAACCACGCGTTTAGGTGAGACCTGTCGTTCCAGTGTGAACTGTACAGTAACAGGCTGTCCATCTATTTGACCTGTCATTAGCGCTATTTAATAACTATATACTAATTATACACGAATATGTATTTAGGAATGCAATTGAGCTAAATATTTGTATTTTGCATGTACTGATTCTAAATTTTCAGAAAGCTATAATAGTTTTTACAAAAGATACTATACTAGTACATGGCATATTTGAAAGACATGCCACCCACGTCATGCCGCCCCCCCCCCCCCCCTCCCACGTCTGGAAGATAGAAACTCTATTATACCTCCATCCATATATTTGACAGCATTCTTAGCATCGTCGTTAGTAGCAAAGTCCACATACGCTACACCTTTGTGGAATGAGGTGACTTTGTCAATCGCTACTCTACAGCTGTTTACCTGGACAGATAATAAAGTCAGAGTTAACAAGAATTGCGCCCGTTGTTTCGTTTTGGCGGACGCTAGATTTCCATTCACTATAACTATAAATATTAGCTCTACTCAGCTCACTTCATAATAACAATATACACAGAGTACACTATACTACGCATACCACGTAAAAATTGGGCTTATTACCTAATACTATACTATACATTAAAATACACTCGCGCCGCGCATTCATTGACATGCTAGCTTATATATACATCACATCTCCGCAAGCAATACTCGCGCGCTGCACTGCGCGCTAGTTGTCATGGTAACTAACGGAAGGACTGACGACATATTTAAACCCACCTATCTCGTTCTCCAAAATCCACGTTTTTCTGCAAAAACGTCCATTCGTAACCTTTCACTATTGTCTTTTTACAAAAGAGTGTGAACGGAAAAAATTCCTATCTTATAACATTTGATGCAATAATTTGTAATATTTTATCACAGAACAGCATAGGAACAAACATAGAAAGCATTAACAATAAAATTAGCAACATTTGTTAATTCACCACCACAAGTGATATATACCTTGCCATAGTTGGTGAAGATTTCCTCTACATGACCTTCCAGCACATTCCTACTGAGCTGACTGATAGCTATTCTAGTTTGGGAAACAGCAGGACTCTTCTTTCTCGGAGATGGAGTTCTCTTGCGAGCTGGACTCCGTCCGCGGCGGGGGCTCCTCCGTGGAGGTGTTCTGCGTCTGGGAGAGTTGCGGCGGCGTGGAGGTGATCGTGGTCGCCTAGCTGGTGGTCTTCGAGGACTACGGCTCCGGGACTTCCTTGGGGGTTTGCGGGCAGGAGAGCGGGATCGCTTGCGGGACTCGTTGGTGGAGGTGGGTTTGGGTTTGGGTGGTGGGGACTTCTTCTTGGCTGGACTTTGTGCTGGACTCTTTGACTTACTACTCGCACTGAGATATGTTAATTGAACTAATTAATTAATCATTTAATTGAGTCATTTACTAGCTGGACGGATTGAAGTAATTCAGTTATTTGCTGGACGGAATGAATCATTGCAGTTGACTCAGATTATAATATTTGTTCAGATAATCTGTACTTTTAACTTATTATTATGCATAAACGTCAGATTTAGTTTTTAAATTATATATCTTATCCCTTTTGCAAGTCTAACAACTTGTCTTACCTGCTGCTAGACCCGCTGGAGCTGGAACTGGAGTCACTGGAGGAGCTGCTGTCCGAACTGGAACTGTCTGAACTGGAACTACGCTGTTTAGCTGGCGCCCTGTAAAGAGACACGTTAGGTATGTTAGGTATGTTAGGTATGTTAGGTATGTTAGGTATGTTAGGTATGTTGCTCTGGTTATTCATTGTTATGAGAGACAGAATCTACTGATCAGAAGATATGCGGAGTGATATGTTGAGATGTGACTGGTCCAAATTGAAGCATCATCTTAATAATATATACCAATTATAAAAACAAACATACTTACATTTTGAAATGAGGTTCTAGTGGCTGGATACCCTTGCCTTGCTAAAAACTATGGAATGGAAATAGTAGGATTAACATTAAGTTTCTGATTACAAATAAACTAAAAAAACATAAACTTTCATTGTGCGGTTTTGCAAGTTTTTGAATATTTATCTTGGCACTTTTTATTGTGAGGTGTGACAATTAGAATCGCAGTTAAATCTATACTACTCATTCAAGTGATATTGAATTTTTAAAGCAGTAATTCAGAAATATATAAGTAGTGTTATCAAACAAAATTAAATTACAATGACATTTACAGTTCTGTCACTTTGTGCAGTAAACCTGTAACAATTAGCACTTTTAATAAACAATAAAAAGGATGTTTAAAAATGCTTATAAATTAATGAAAAAAATAAAAAGCCTCCCTAACTATGGAGCACTTCTGAACAGCAGCACTCAGCAGTGCATCATATATATGAAGATTTACGGCATGAAATTTACTGTTAGTTACTGTAAAAAAGCTATAGGAATAACTTAATAAATTAAATAAAAGAGAAAGTTCGTGTCACCAACAAAATCATGAATAGCTAACTGTTTGAGTTTGACTATAAAATTCTGTGGATCATTCATAATGACTTAATTTTTGGGTCACGTAGGAACACGAATATAATATCAATATAATCACCAAAATCAAGTACAGTACCAATAAACAAATAACAATTAATGTTGATTTTTTACTTTTGTTGAACACTTGACCCTTTCTCCATCACAAAAAAGACACTCCATTGCTCAGCATGACATTGTCTTCTTCAATTTTTACTTCCAGAAGGGTTTAGCAAGTAATTGCAGTACAGGGACAATAAGGACAGTCTGAAGCCATGCCATTCGAGCTCTTTTACTGAATGCTAGTGGACTGCACAGCAGTAGAGTGTAGAGAACCGGGATGAGTGTTTCCTTGTATACTGACCACTGGGTAATGATACTGGTTTATCTTTTTGTTGTGAAGCAGAACTAAGTTCATTGCTTTATTGTTCACTGTGTATTTCCGTAAATCTTATGAAAATTTTCAATTCAAATTACAATTAAATAACGTTTCTGACTCCGACTAGCTATAAATAAGGAGTACTGATTTAAATGTACAGAAAATCTTACACTGTAGATATTGTTAGTCACTGCAGGATTGGGGAAGGAGTTAGTTTTCTCAAACTCAACCAACATTCGTTCCTTGTCTTTGAAAGAATCGAATAACCAGCCCTCATTTTCTCTTGCTTCGTTTATCTGAATTAAGTTAATCGTCAGAGATATGACTACACGATAAGCAGTTAGCTTTAGTAGCAGGGCTTTACAAGTGATTGTACAGCAGGGTGTCATAATTATTGGCGCGTAGACAATTTTGCGTAAAATTTTAGCTTACCCAAGCTTTTAGAAACAATCATTACTTAACTTCTGAGGGTCATTTTCCTATGGAGTCTTGATCATTCGAGAGATAATCCTTCATCCTACTACAGTTCAGTTTAAAAACGAAGTCCGAAAGAAGTTAAATTTCCTTGATAATCACGACGAAAGAGAAAAGTTTGGATTATTGGACTTGAAGCCTTCGGCTGCTTCCCCTGAATTCCGGGATGAGTTTCGTTATCGCCTGAAGAGCTGTGCACTTTAGTCTAAAGAATAGTATGGAATTGACCCTTTAAATAACGGCCTAAATTATGGGTTTTGAGGTACATCAACACATAATTCTGAACCGGTTTTTGAATTTTGTAATTTCGATATTCAGAAGTAAAGTTATGACCTGTCGAAAAATATTGATTTCATCATAAAATACACATAAAATTTCAAACACGCCAATAATTCTGACACCCTGCTGTACATACTTAGCCCAAAAAACGTATCACTCTTGATTTTATAAATTCAAATTTTAATTTATGTCATTTGAGCTCAGGAACCTCAACAAAAATTGAAGAATTTCTATTCTTAGGGCAAGCATAAAAATCGGCATATGTTAGTAAACGACATACCGTTTTCTGCTTGAAGTGTACATGAACTGTTTTGACGTTGTCAAGAAACTCGAGTGTGTCTGGACGTAACATTTCACCAGTTGTGCCTTCATATGCTATTGTTATGTCGAATATCTTCTTTAAGTGATCACCTGAGAAATAGGTTTATGATAATAAAACTGATTCCATATACGACTCATTATAAAACAGGTAATTGATTTTTAATCAGAATAATTAATGATCTAGTCAAATCAAATGATAATCCAATAATATGCCAAGAAGATCTTAAATTGCTTTAATTTTAGTTCCAAACACAATATCCTACCGAGTTCCTCCACGAAGATGTTAGCTCCGGTTATACGAGGGGTAAGAACTTTGGTGCAGGTTGGAAAATCGATACTCCGAGCAAAGGCATTACTTTTGTCAACCGCTGACTTGTTGTTTGGATTAAACCTGAAACAGGGTTTAAACATAATATTGAAATGAGCCTAATGTATGTTTCTCATATCACTAATCGTATATGACAGTTTTCTTGAGTTGGTTACACATCAAAATGAGGATGGTTTGTTTGTGCCAATATATCTCTCGAATTTACATGAATATTATATATAATTTGTGAAACCTTAATAAAGGTTGGTAAGTCGTAATTACCTGGTGCCCTCTGGAAAGAGTGTCATCATCATAGGTATATTATTCTTCTTCTTTGATTTTAGTTGCTTTCTGATGAACTCCAAATTGTTGTTACCTTAAAGCAAGAGACAAGTTATATTAGCGATGTATTTGTACCAACTGATAAATAAATAGAAGTAAGATGTACATAGAAAAGAATCCAGTAAAGGCAGCTTGGAATGTCTATAATAAAGAGATAAACGAAAATTATATGACAAAAAATTTGCAATCTTTAAAAACTAAAATCATGAAAATCAGATGACGTGCTATCAAATAAGATGAGGTGAATTGGCTCGGTAGTAATCCAGCTTGCATGTATTGATTGAGAAATGACAATTTATTTTAGAAATAAGACAACATTATAACTCATGTGAATGCATACCATGACCAATCTCTAGGTCACAGAGGATGGAACGACCTATGGATCTTTAGAGAGATAAGTTTGTCAAAACCAACAGTCAGAATATATGATATAATGACTAAAGCAAAGATCAAGTTGTAAAAATTTCTAAAAAGAAAACTGCGTCATATGAGCTTCAACTAGTACACTTACCACGTTTAACAAATATTAAGCCATGTTGGTGCCAGTAGATACCAAACAGAGGAACATATTTGAGAGCGTTCTTGGCAAAGAAGTGTATGTAACCTGAGTGCAAATTATTGTATTTCTGTTTCTATTACAATTAATTTGAAATATTAGTCATCTTTCTTACAACTCTTTTTATACTTAAATCACATAGATGTTTCAAAAGACGATTTTTAATTTTAATTGACCTGCATTGCCAAGACGCATAGCAAAACTGTCAATTACAATCCAGTCTGAGACACACTGATGATTTGACACCAACAATGCATTCACAGGGTCTTTCTTAGTTGGAACATCGCCATAAACTTTGAATTTAACACCACTGAGCCCTTCCATGAAAAACATGCACATTCTCTGATAAGGTCCCCAACATAAGAACTGTTCAAGTTTGTGGTACCTGAAACAAATTACAATTAATCATATACATAAACAATACAATACTAGGTAAGTGAAATCTAATGTACCCAGTGCAGCTTACTGTATATTGTATAAGTACAACATCAAGAGAAATAAAAGGCATTCTTCGAGTGCTCTATTTTTATAATAGCTTAAGAAAAAAAGGCTTTTTATTACTTTAAAACAATAATGGCTGAAAGACATCTTTAATTGCTATTTACCATCTTTTTGGCAGAGGTAATGTAAGAACTCTAATACAAAACCAAAGCCATAAGTAATTTGGACCAGATCCAATCAGAACCACAGCAGGTACAGATGGAGCCAATGATCGTAACGTTATCAAAGAGCCTAACATACTAAGAAAAATACCAGTGAGTTGTTTAGTAGAGGAAGATCAACGGCACAGTATATCAAGAAAACAACAATTTCAATTAAAGCAGACAAAAATATATTTCATATATATATATAACTAGCACGAACTTTAGATCAGATATCCTAGGGCACTTGGAGTAGCAAGAGATTGACTAGAAGGCATATACCTTTTACAAAGATACCTTGAAAAGAATCCAGGGTGATACAGGATCGGAGAGTGCAGACCATAAAGTTTACGCACCCACCTTTACCTCCTGAATTCTTGGTTGGATAGAAATTTATGCAAACTTGGTCGTTTATACTCAAAGTCCCTTTGTTAAAAGAAGTAATATTATTGATGGAATTATGGATTTAGCTTCACTCAATAATAACAATATCAATATAATCAATATCAATATATATACCGGACTGCAGACATATTCTTTAACCTCATCCCCGAAGCAGACGAGCTTTAAAGTCTCTTAGATTTGTTTGTGTAAATTTTCCAGATAATTAATAGTCCAAAACCAGGATGCACTACATGAAGAGTTCGTTGTAACTTTGTTTGAAAAACATGAATAGTAAATATCATATAATTTTGTGGGACTCTCAACCCACTGCATGGGCGTATAGTTGATGCACTTTTGACAAACATGAGCCACTTCTAATTCTGTGAGGTGGCTCAGCTCTATGGGTTGGGGTCCAACTTTTAAAACAAGATGTTCAAAGATGATGCACCCTGTAAAAATATGACTACACTTGATAAGGATATTTGAATAATTGTTTAAGAAACACTAATCCAGCACATTGGCGTAACGAAGGGCGCTTACATGCAACATTACGCTACTGATCCAGCACATGAAATCAAACAGCTTTTTTACAACACAGTTTCTGAATAACGCAACATTTGGATTAACATTAATGCGCATGGAGATTCTGACTAATTTTGGTACCAATCGACCATTTCCTTTACCAGTGTCCTGTACTGTACTCTGCCAATTGCATCACGTTTATGCAATTGGCGTTTATTATATTATTATTATTAATATTATAAAACAGGATCTTACCGACAAAAATGATTCTTAAAAATACCTTAATGCGGTAAACTGTACCCTTGAAAAAGATTTTCCCAACATCTGTTGCATGCAGCTATATCTCTAATTTCGTTAAATTCATACAAGTTGTCCATTTGCAAATTCTCAGAAGAGACATGTTTCATCATTTACCGGAATTGCAACCAAATATACACAATAAGGTTTGGTACTTTATCCGTACATCCCCTTTAATAGCTACAATAAATTGTCTATAAAATTTACATAAACAAACTTAAGAGACCTCAAAGCTCGTCTTCTGAGGAATGAGATTGAAGGATACGTCATCCAGTCCAAGGTGCTGGGCTTTTTGTCTTCCTCTGATTCCCCTGAGTGCTATGAGTGTGTTTCGTAGCAGATCAAACCTGAATCGTGTTCTGATGTGATTTTTGACCTGGCTCTTAGCTTCTTTATTGTGGTCAGCTATCCTTTCAGAAATACGATCTACAAACACAGTGCAGAGTGGGCCCATACCTCCGGATGTTGTAAAAACTAGTGGGACAAAGGACCCTTTTTCTGACTGAAGTACTCTCTCCTCATATAGATCTTTCTTCTCTTTCTCATGCGCACTGTAGATTTTATCTAGTGGCTTAAATGTATTGGAGTCGCAATTAGGATGAGTGACCCTGATGTCAAAGAATGTTCTTTCGAATGGTGCATACAGTCCAACAGCTGCTACGTCCAGACGGGCTTCATCCTGGGTGTTGGTCTTCCTGGAGAATGAAGTTGGTTGGACAGGTAGGAGTGCAGGTTCTATCCTTACATCCTTACACTTTGCTTCTTGAAGGAAGAAAGCTGCAGTGTCTCTAATGGCATTGTGGCGCATGCAAACGTATCCACCTAATTTACAATCAAGGGAGTGGTAGACACTGTTTGCATGTCCGCAAGCACATTTAGAGGGCACTCCTTGGATCTTCCATCCATAGCGTAGGCGTATGCTGTCTTGGAACTCTTGCTTGTTTAGAACATAGTTGAGGTCCTTTAGAGGTAATGCTGAAAGCCATGTTGATGCTCCCTTCTCTCTTGCTTGGTTTAAGTGGTTCTTAAGAAGATGATCTGACCCATTATAAAGCATCTTGAACCTTTGTGATAGAAACTCATCTTTCTGTTTTCTCAGTTCTTCTTTCTTTTCTTTCATCTTGCCCATATCCAGCTTGGTGATATCTTGGTCTTGTTGGTTGATTAAACTCACAAGATCTTTAGTGAGTGCCACTGAGAATGCATATTCACGAGATGCTCAAGAAAACAACAATTTTCAAGAAAACAACAATTTTATTTAGTATCAGTTAAAGCAGACAAAAACATATTTTATATATATAACTAGTGCAAACTTTAGACCATATATCTTAGGGGACTTGGAGTAGCAAGAGAGTGACCAGAAAGTATATGTATACTTTTACCAAAAATACATCGAAATGAATCCAGGGTGATACAGGATCTGAGAGTGCAGACCATAAAGTTTACGCACCCACCCTTGCCTCCTGAATTCGTGGTTGGAAAGGCAATTATGCAAAATTGGTCGTTTATACTCCAAGTCCCTTTGTTAATAGAAGTAGTATTATTTATGTCTGGAATTAGCTTCATTCAATAATAACAATATCAATATAATCAATATTAATATCAATATCAGACTAAACTATCAAATAAATAAATTATCAAATAACAATTATTAATTCACTCTGATTAAAAAGTTATAAATTAGGATATCTAATATTTAAGAATTACAACTACAAGTTGTTAAAAACGCCCAAAATAGATCTGAGATATTTTCAGTCTGTAGTACAATAATGATAGCAATAGTTTAAATTATGTTATGTGCTGCTGCAATTAGATTGCTATCCTGACAGGATTGATGATACCTAGGCCTCCATATCGAACAGGGAGTTCAAGGATATCTCTTTCATGCTGGTTGACAGGGCGACCGAGGAGGGCTGGAATGAGCACATGCATGATCTTGCTCTCTAGTGGGACAAAGTGCTCTCCAATGTCTGGTATAGTACGCATGTAGTATCTCCATCTGTGGCATATTCCTTTAGTAAAGGCCGAATAAGCCAGTTGTGGTTCTTCTGTCGCTACATCTGCTAGTTGATCTGCTAGTTGTCCATTTGCAAATTTCTACTATTATTATACATTATTATATAATGAGCTAATTATTGATACACATTGTATACCTCTTAGCTTTACGTAATAATTACATATATTTATAATCTGATTTGTAATATTATATTGAATAGTATGTTGTATCACGTTGCGACCTCCACGGTCGTTTCACCTTTATCGTCCTGACGATACAGGGGGAGCCGCGCACTTCGTGCGCGGCAGGTCATACAACGTATGACAAATAGTATGGTGGAGAAAGAATATGCATGGTGGACAAAAATTTAGTGTCATTTTGCATTTAGTACAAACAGTATTGAGTATAAACATAGTTCATTAAAATAGCGCGTGCCATATCTCCACATTAAGCACATCCAATTTAATGCATATAAAATAGTTATATATTATGAATAACTTGATCGATTCTGTATTGACTTGTTGTGTATATATCAACTTGCTCTAACCAGAGCCCTCTTGCTTTGCGCTTGCAGTAGCGCGCGACCTCCGAAGGCGGCAAAGGAGGATATTCTATTCAAAGAAGGATATTCTACTTGTGAAACAAGCGCGTCACGCAGTACGCGTATACACATGGCTATGTGAATATATCGACAACAATTTAATTAAACAGAATTTTTTAACGAATGTTACTCGTCTAAATTTTTGAAGTAGCGCGCGCCGCTTTCTTCTCGAAATATTAGCCCGAGGCAAGTGCTTTGTTACCAGGGGACCCCAGGCTATTATGTTCAGTAACATAAGAGATTAGGCGGAATGACAGGATGAGCGCGGCCCAGTAAGTGCTACGAAGTAGCGCACGCTGGGTTGCTCTATCCAAAGCCCTTGCGCTTACACTAGCGCGCGAACGCCTCCCGGCTTTACTTGTGAAACGAGCGCGCCCGCAAGGGCGCGAAAGCACATGGTTAGATGAATACGCTGGGCTATTTCATTACCAATGGACAACATTTTTGACAGATTGCAGATGATACCCTTGTTTTCACATAGCCATGTGTCTACGCATACTGCGTGACGCGATACTGCAAGCGAGAGGGCTCTGGTTAGAGCAAACCCTTGTTCATTGTTAATTAATTGACTATATATCCTGGCGCGCGCTACTTTGAAAAATTTTTGACGAGTAACATCTTAACGGGTGATACTCGTAAAATATTTGTTTCAATACCGTCGACGAGTCCTATTCGGCGCGCGTCTTGGTAGGTTATAAATTTACAGTACATGCTTGTCATACGTTGTATGACCCGCCGCGCACGAAGTGCACGGCTCCCCCTGTAGCGTCGAAGTCGCTATAGTGAAACGACCGTGGGGGTCACCACGTGATACAAGTACATGCATAACATCTGTCAAATGATATCCGTACAATATTTGTTAGAATTTTATCATTTATTTTGCGGCGTTATTTAATATGTATATACAATGTTATAAATTATAAAACTGCAATCACAATGCTGGCAAGCATTACCGTCGCCCTTATATTCACAACACTATTTACCCCCTATACGATTATATCCCCTTTATTGTTTTCCAGGCATTATAAAGACTCATCGAAAGTAGTTCAGCAGGTACATTTAAGTTCAAAACATTCTAATTCAATGTTGAAGATGACAGGAATAAGAAATAGTTATATGGAGGTTTTTAAGAAATTTGCGCAAAATACGCGCCAGCATGTTATACGAAATTAGGTAAAAAACCCAAAATCGCCATATTCAGGTGCCTTAAAAACCATGTTAAAATTGAGTTAGAGATCTGAAACTTTGCAGGGCGTCTAGACCTTGTCCAAATCGACTGTAAAAAAATGTCATGTTTCAGGATTATCGGGAAGTGGGTTTTCTGGAACCCCTGTTTTACAACAGATTGTCGTGAAGATATATTATATATATATATATACTAGTGTAACCCGTGCCTTCGGCCGGGAATTTACTGTCACAGTTGCAATGTAAAAGTATACAACCGGCAACCGCATTATATATTTGATATCACGCATAATGCTGTCTTATGAAAGTATGAAATCACCCTACAGTTAAAACAAAGCGGCCGCAAGAGTGAGCTCTGATATTACGTGGGGCTAAACTAATTACGGTACATGTTATCCTCCTCGTTCTCTCTCCCATCCATTTATGTCACATTTCTGGAACAAAATCATCAATTAAACCACATACCACCGGCCGATTTTTATAAAATTTTCTTATGGGCTTCATCAGAGTTTTGTCGGCACTATACCGAAAAAACCAGTCCCGTAACTATTACCGTTTTTTTTGTATAACTGTTCGGAAATTACACACAGACACACAGACACACAGACACACAGACACACACACATTCTGGTGTTATTAAGTTGATATATATATGTATATATGTATAGACGCTTTTTGCAGTCAATTGTAGCCTACATTTAAGTGTCCGTAGATTCAAAAGTATAAACGATACAGTCATCTCGAACCACAGGTTTTAAAGATAATTGTTTAAACTTTAGTTTACATTGTATTGAAAAATAATTTAACGTCATCATCATCACTTGATGACGTCATCAAGTTAAGTGTTTTTAAAACTTGACTTTTGACAAAGTAACAACTTTTTAAATCGATTTTACACTATTAAGGAGTAATTTTATTCAAAATCTGAGGACATTTTCATCTTAGATAATTGTTCAAGCATTCCGAAAATCTACCGGAATAGTTTCCTACCTTGCTCCTTCATAAAGATATTTGCTATTGAAGTTAGTGCTTTTTTGAAGAATAATTTTATAAAAACACAAAAGTTGTGAATTAGTATTCTCTGGTGTTGGGCCATCCCTTGGGTTGTGGAGCTCAATTTTGCTTCTTAAAGGTGTAAATTGTGTTATAGGCTAGTTTTAAAGTTAAAAATCGAAAAGTTGCACACGTGGGGACACGCCCAAATTCATTTAAAATAGCTAAAATCGCTAAAAATTTTGATTTTCACGATTTTTATCAACTTTGGAGTCCCGTTGTGATCCAAGTTCTTTTTGAAATCTTCTGAAACTTTGCATGCTTATCAAACTATATATTAAATACCACTATGCAAAAATTTACGGTGATTCAATATTGTATGCGCACGCGACGTCCGCTCAAAGTTTGCACGTGCGAAAGGTGAGAAATTTGCTCATTCGTGATTTCGAATATATTCTGCTTTCCACGATATTTAAATGGCATTATATATGAATTTAATGCCAACTTGAATGAGTAAAAAGTGCCATATTCAGTCGGTTATCGACAGAAATACCTAACTAAACACAAGGAAACGTTTTAAAAGACAGAATTTCGAAATCGTCGAAATTACCTCCTTGTTAATGAAGTTTCGACTAGCTGTGTAAATTATCCTGACATTATAATAAAAAAGAGATGATATTTGACCAAAACCCATAATCATGGGTAGAGTGTACCGCTGCCAGTGTCTCTCTTTTCCAAACAAAAGGAAATGATATTAATTTGAGGAACAGTCCGCTAATGCAAATTGATACCGAGAATGAAATCGGTCGCTCGCTTTTTCCATTCGATCACGGCTTACGAATTGTAATAAAGCTTATTGATTTGAAAAAGCGAGCGACCGATTTCATTCTCGGTATCAATTTGCATTAGCGGACTGTTCCTCAAATTAATATCATTTCCTTTTGTTTGGAAAAGAGAGACACTGGCAGCGGTACACTCTACCCATGATTATGGGTTTTGGTCAAATCTAATATATCAGTTTATATAAAAAAGGCTAACAGTCTAAATTTTTGGTAATTAAAATTGTGTTGCACCTCCTTTATCAAATCGAAGCTAGGTGCTATTGTGTATTGATAATATTTTATATTATTAATAGTATAGGCCGTCGCGTACGCGTCATTGTGATTGACAATAATTATATAAGCTGCGCGTGCTGAAGCTGTAGTTTACCTGGGGACCTCAGGCTATCATTTTCATAAACATAAAACGCCGAATAGAGATTAGGCGGAATGACAGGCTGATGCGCGGCCCGCCCAGTAAAGCTGTAGTAGGATACGTTCTTTAGCTTTAACGATATTTTCGACTAGTATAGCACAATTATTTTTACAAATGCATACGTACTTGGTAACCTTCCTTCAGTTTAATTTTAATTTATATTCACCGTTAATTAAATTAATTAAATTAATTAAATTAATTAAATTAATTAAATTAAATGGACTGACCCGCGCTACTAATTCGGAAAAAAAGTTACCATTTAGACGAGTATAATATCATTTTGCATTTGTCAAATCGTAACAAAAATTAACTTGTTAATCCAATTATATTGTAGGTTTATAACTTTACTTAAATTTTTTACATCTATTTCAAGGTGTGTGTAAAATCTTAATATCGTATCTAAAAAGGCTGGTGGGTTATATGTTATACATTTTTAAAGTCAAATAAGTCAAAAAGCTGAAATTGTCCTTTTCAGACTTATTTTAACCAAAATCAGGGAAGATAAGATTGATTTGATGCTTGACATGAAATTGTTCTCTGAATTCTGGCGCAGTTTTTGATGCCCTCAAAACTGTTTTTACTCATTTATCTTTAGATCTATTTGACTTCAAAGCCAAACTACAAATTTAGGCACATTTTTCGTTTTTCATATTTACTGATTTTTCTAAAATTTTGATAGGAATATGCTAGTGACTTTTTGAAGGGCGCAAAATAACCGCAACTAGCACATTTATATTTAAGTTATGAACAACAAAACACCCTAAAATGCTTCCCTTTGAAGTTATGGGAGACAATGTGATTTTTTATCTGCAAAGCCAAAAAATCTTGTCATACGTTGTTTGACCCGCCGCGCACGAGTGCGCGGCTCCCCTGTATCGTAGAAACTCTACAGGGGACTATAGTGAAGCGACAGTGGGGGTCACCACGTGATACAAGATCTTCCCTGACTGACTTTTTGTTTAAAATAAGTCTGAAAAGGACAATTTCAGCTTTTTGACTTTTTTACTTTAAAAATTTATAACTCACCACTCACCAGCCTTTTTAGATACGATATCAAGATTTCACATACATACATGCTACATGAAGAGGTCTCCTACTAGTCGTTGGAGTGGCCTGCATCACACACATCTTCTACGGCGTAACATGTTCCGCCATTCCACTCGCTTTAGAGCCAACTGTTTTACTGCATCTCTGCTGATGTTATCGACACCGGCCATCCAGCCTTTGCGGGGTCGTCCTCCAAGATTTCACACACACCTTAAAATAGATTAATGCTGACAGTTGCTGACAGAGGAAGGTGGGGTAAAAATAAAATTGGCGAAAATCTTGCTGATGTCATATGTGAATGCTCCCTATGCACCTTTTTCAAACCACATTTATTTAGCAAAAGCAGCTGGCAGGCTATAAGTATAATTGTAGGTTTACAACCTACCAGGACGCGCGCCGAGTTGGACTCGTCGACGGTCCTGTATAATATATGGAACAGATATTTTACGAGTATCACCCGTTAATAAGTATAATATACATTTAAAATTGTAACGAGGAAATTTATTCCTACACCCCTGAATCATTTCAATGTTCAAAAAGGTTTAAGGTATAACTGCAATGACCAATTTGATGACAAATTTGGTATTGTGTATTGTGAAAAATCTCACATTCTCAAAAAAAAGTGCAATAGTACCGAGCCCCTACTATATTAACGGGTGATACTCGTAAAATATCTGTTCCAACTCGGCGCGCGTCCTGGTAGGTTGTAAACCTACAACTACTATACCGAGCTTGCTAAATCACTCTAAAGTCGATCTTCGAGATTTTCTAAAAGGGCCCCAGACAGTTGAAACCAACTAGGGTATGAACTTCAATAAATTTATTTTTGGTACCCAAACACTCATTCCTGATTCCGAATCATTTACCGTCACAACGTGAACAAGCTTACACTTACAGGGCGGCGCGCAGCCTATCATTCCGACGCAGCTTCTATCGACGTGTTTATGAACACTATTTATTAATTAGACTAGAGTCAGGAGTCCCCACGTAAGAAAAAGCTTCCCAGGGACTCATGGGGAAACCGTTTTGGTCACTGGTCACGTCGAGCGAGTTATAGAAACTAGACCGAGAGTTTATAATCCAGTTTAGAATATTTATTATAATTTACGAGTACGACGCATGAGACAAAATAAAAATACATGTTGAACGTTCTTTAAAGCTAAAATAACTCTTTATAAATAAAACCACAAAGCAATATTTACAATAAACTCAATTCCATAATTTTATACAAAACTATTTACAAGCTGGAAAGCGGTTGTATGCTTTGACCTTCGGTTACAATCAGACATCAAGCAAGGCGGACATCTTGAAGTTCAACGCACTTAACGTCTCGCAATTATCAGCATTATATGTCAGAACATTTCTGTAATAAAACTGTCAAAATATAAATCGTCATCGGTTCTCTTTCTACTTCAACTTTCTTCAACGTAAAACGAAATATTATTTCTTTCACAACTCTTGCACACATGTTTGTATCGGAATGTCGAACATGGACATTATTTTTCGAACAGAACTAAAAATGACGACACGCTTAACTAGGGGGATACGACCATAATTTTGATTTGAACAAATTGGCGATTTTTTATTCGTCCTCAAAATTATCCGTCGCACCTCCCCTAACAACGAGAAAAGCGTTCGCTACCACGGTCTCCAGATTCCGTTGGCTTTGTTACTGTTTTGTTGTGACTGTTCAGGGCTGTGAATTTCCTGTTTGATAACTGTCCGACTCTCGACCGTGTTGAACGCACTCTGTCTGTCTTGATCGAAGGGGGAAGAGTTGAGCTGCAACGGAGAGGTAGTGGTTGAGAGAGGTGATACGGAGGGGAAAAGAGAGCCGGGGGCGAATACCCCCGAACTGTTAGCCAGGGGGTTGTACTTGGGGTGATTGTTGAGGTCGTGCCGCTCGTACTCAGGGGTCAGGGGCGAGTAGTTCTCTTGGCCCAGGGACAGGACTTTGAGTTGTGTGATGAAATGCTGCTTGATTTCCTCAGGTACGGGCGTGTTGAGGATGACGTTAGCTGTTTCGTCTATACACCGTTTGAAACCGTCTTTGTACGACGGATCTGAGCTGCCGTCCATATCTGAGAGAGGGAAATATAAGTTGCGTTTTTCAAATTTCTAATAGAGCCATGGCTGAATTTTACTATTTCAGCCGAGCTTGATTCCGACAAATAAGGTGTGTAACTGTAACTACCTTTCCGTCACAGAGGTCGGTCAGAGTTTTCAGTAGCAATAAGTCAGAGGTTTCAGTAGCAATAAGTTCAGTAGCAAAGTAGTTTATGGACCCTTATAAGTGCTCGATAATGAGACTCGTGCCGCTATAAATGTTATTGAGACCAGACCCGTGTTATAATAAGTTTTCGTATTACTATCAATATTGTTCAAATCTTAAATCTACCAGAGTTGTCTACAACCAGTCTAGCTACAAAAGACCACAGTTATACTCTATAATAACGGAGTAACGACAATAATTCGAAATATTTACCGCTCGCACATTCTTCTTGTAAAGCCTTCAAATGTGACACTGTTAACTCCAAAATATCTGCCTTGTCCATTCTGATTGCCCCGTGGGCCATTTCGGGAACTAAATGTTTCTGAAAGGGTGAAAGATTGAGTAACTGAGAATAATCATGCAGTATAATACGTAACGTGGATGGGTTGGGGATGAAATTGTAATGAAGTGAAATCAATCACGGGTAAATATAGCTCTGAATAATGGTTCGTATCGGCCAGTATTAGCCCTATTAATAATACTGACGTCGTCCTGTCGCATTTGTAAGAATTTACAATTTGGGTGATAATGTTTGCCTTGTGCGAGGAGTGTATGCTAGTTAGGAGTGTTTTTTCATATGGTATTTCTAGCACAAGATATTTAAAATACCACGCTGGCTAAAACTCTTACGATAAACCAAAATTTATTTGAGAGCGATGTCTATAATAGCCTTCCCATCAAGATACCTCTTTCGGTACCGTAATTCATGCCGTACAGAGATAAACATAGCTTTCCTCTTGTGGAGGGGTTGTAATTAAATGATACCTTTAAGCTGATTATGTGCTAATACCTATGAAACCTAAACTAAACACTGTAACTTATACCATAATAAAAATATGCATATAATCACGAAATGGCCCTTAAATTAAGACGACGACCTTTAGAACATAGGATCGTTGTGACAGTGCCGTTCTCAATGTGTAAATAAATCTTATTTGACCCCTTATTTAAGATCCTTAGAAGGTGGTAAAGCCCCCACGGTAGCGAAATAAAGTCTGTAGCATCACCTGACAACCAGAAAGAGAATTTTTGGCACTGTAAATTATTTTTAAGTTTGATGTGGCTACTCAATGAAGGGGCAAACAACTTTGCGAATGCGATATCAAACGTTAATCAGCAGCTGCTGTTACTACGGGTCATTCTCATGAGTGCGGTAATTTTATTGTCCCTTGTTAATTAAACACCTTATTTAATGTCCTCATTAATTAAACACCTTATTTAATGTCCTTTAGTGAACTTCCCACCGTGATATCACAATATTTATTTACCAGGAACTTTAATGTAGTAAGAAGGACCGTAATTTTATTACATAACCCTTTATACATATATTACATTTACCGTTAAGCCTTTGATTAACAGCCTGTACAGATTTTGCATTGGCAAACTTTTTTTGTTCACAATGTTTTTGTTCAATTTTAATACGTTTCGTGACAAAGCGATGGGTCTGAAAATATTATACAAGACGATTTGAGCGAGTTGTGTAGTTATGAGTCAGTAAAACTGAACGCACAAAATATTGGTGATCTGCAACTTACCAACTCTTCTAGACTCTTGTTGAAACGGGCTCGACGTCGTTTTTCAACTAGTGGTTTGGGCAACTTGCAACCCTGCGAGAGAATAATCAGTTAGTCACGTGACGAAAATAATGGTTAGATTAAGTACAATTGAGACAAACATGTAACCGAGATTCGACATCATGCTCATTAAACGAAACAACAATTTGACAATAACTGTTCTGACATCCATCGCCTGTCATACCACTGCCTATTGACAACTTTCATTGAGCTTCTAAACAAAGTTTTCAATCACTAACCATCAAATTGGAATATTTATTGTAAATTGGTTCAATCTTGTGCATACCTTACTCGGGAATATTATGACTGGGATAAAGTGGTGGGTTTTGGAAAATTCCGCCATATTTTTCCCGGTCATTAATTTTCCCAGTCATAAATTAACCCGCTATAATATTCCCGAGTAAGGTAATTAGACCAATGTAGGTTACAGGTTGGTCACAGCAAAACTTACTAAAGCACAGGTCCCGAGTACGTTAAAAAAAGGGTACAATATACAACATACACTATACAATATACACTATACAATATACACTATACAAGTACAACTGAACTAAACGTCACGTGACTTAGTGACCCACCTCGTCTGTTATCATTTTACGGAGCTGCGGTCCTCTCAGTGACAAAAACAACGAGCAGGGTTTTACGAGAGAAGGCGGAGGGAGGGAGGGAGCATGCCCCCTGGCCATCTCACCGTGGGAACGAGCTTCTACACCCTCCACTAACCAATCACGTCGCAGAACGGCACGGCTCGACCAATCAGATTAGCGAACGAGAAAGTCTGACCAATATGAGAACTTGTCGAGTTGGAGCGGCGAGCTTTCTGCAGGAGCTATTAATGAGTTGCCATCGCGTGGGAAAATTGGAGATGCTGTAGTGAGAGCGTGAGAACGCGTGCGACACGCACGCTGCGGTAGACCGAATATCAGGATTGTCAGGCACGTTCTGGTTTTATCGTGACGTCACCCGCCTTCATGGTGACGTCATGAGCAAGCAGTGTGACTTCACTTGTACTGCAGATGGTTTTGCTAATGACACACCAGATCAAGTTCCGGTATGTTCCCCTGGAAGTGTGTCACTGCAGCCCCTCAGGGGTCAAACGATACTCGTAATTCCAGTTATTCAATTAGAGGGTGATGTAAGTATGATATTCCCTGATAGCTATAGTAGCCCTGGATCTTTCCACTGAGAGCACCTCCACCAATAAGAGGACAGGAAAGTGACGTTGACCAATCACGGGGCATGGTGTGATCCCAGGAGCATGGCATCTACCAATCAGATCAGAGCAGCAAGGATTAATGTTTCCCACGATTCCGCGACAAATTGAAAACGCTGAATATTTCCGGAGTGTGGGAAAAGTTTGTCGAGTAGTTAACGTAGCTATTTTGGGGGGTAAACCTGGTTGAAAGTTGAGCTGACAGTCTTGAAACATGATCCAACAACAAGTATAGACGGGAGCTAATGATAATATTAACACGATTGCTGTTATTTAGCCACGGCTCACGATTTTAAACATGCCGGCCCCCAAGCAGTGGGATCCTAACTCCTATGAAGTAGGTGGTAAAGGTGGTAAAGGTGGTAAAGGTAAAGATGCTCATTTTTCACCACTTTCCCTCTCCACAGTGAACCGGTTCCAGCAAGCTGCCACTGTAAACCACTCTAATCCTATTAGTTTCAGCGGCACGTAATGAAATCCACAGTGTTCTACACGTACGCCCCTGATCCCTGACCTGAATGACACTTTAATTAGAAACATTACTTATCCCGCCCTCAAGCTCACTGCAGCCAGCTTTATGTAAATGAGGAGAAACCACCAATACCAGCTCCCCACCAGCCCATAAACCTCTGTCTGGAAAGCTATTTGCTGCTCACGTGACCTGACCCGGTAATTAAGTGAGATCTCATTAGCTGACACGAGGATACCCTTAGGAGAACTTTATCAGCGGACAAATTGTCATTGTTGTGTGTCGGTCGGGCAACTCGTGTTATGAAGAGAGGAGAATAATAGGGGGTTGACATCATCAAATCCGCTAATTCACCAAATAGTGCTGCTCAGCACTTCAGTGGGTCTGTACAGCTATATCTTTGTGTATACCGCTAACCTCCCCAACAATCCCTCTCACTGCCGGTACAGTCACCGGGGCGACACAATTTGACAGGTAGAATATATACACGCGTGTAGCCCGGGACAGGGCCGCAATTCAGGGACACAGGGCCCGCAGTTCCGGCACAGGGCCCACGGTTCCCACGGTGGGGTGATTGGTAACGCGTGGCAGTATCAATAGTCACCTAGCTGGCACTACCGTGCATCATCTGTCTGTCTCGGTGGGAAAAAGAGAGCTTTTATTGACAGCTGGACTTTTGCCACCAATTCTTCAGAACTACTATTTAGACCTTCTCCTTAGACCTTCTCTTTAAAGCAGTTAGGATGGTGGACTTTCTTGGTTAATTTCAGTCATTGATATTCTTTAATTGACATGAAACTGGTTCGTTCCCAAATCAGATGTTTGTATAGACGTCCTTTTAACTCCCCAATTTGAAACCCTGTCAATACCTCAATTATAGTTATAGGTTCTAACCTCGAGAATTATCCGGAGTCAAACTCAAACCTTGAAAACCAGTTCTAACCCTATAAATAAGGGAGGATTAAAGTTTTTGAATTATAATTGCGAAGGGTAAAAAGTCTGTTCCCCACTTCATAACATTAGACTATAAAACGTCGATGATTCTGTTTTTCCGGGCTGATTTCATTGAGCCTGCTCCTGGAGGCCGCCGAGAGAGCTGAGAGCTGTGACCACGTTTTTCACACGATACCACGTAGGGGGGTCCTCTGTGATTACTCTCCTCGCAAGCACGCAGCCAGTTCAACCAGCCAATCAGAGAGCAGTACTCGGGTCACGTGACCAACACGAACCAATGAGAGGAGCACGCAGCGAGGCAGAGGAGCAAGCTTACTATTTCACCTTACTGATGTACACTCGACTCAGCTCAACGGACTTATAGTTAGCTGACAGATATACTGTGATATCGAGTGGGGCTAATCTGCATTATCTTACCACAATTTGCATTATCTTACCACATAGTTGATAGTTATTATACAAACCAAGATTATTAGAATTTACAAATCGATTACTTACAATTTACATACAGTTTAGTAACAAAACATTGACAAATTACTTACAAATTTACTACAAATTACTCACTAATTACAAACAAATTAAACTGTTCATGACGCACGACTACACTATCAAGTTTTGAGACACAGCACACGATTAACCACAGACAAATGATCACTGACAAATTGAAAATAACCACCGAATAATCTTAATCCAGCTAAGAATATTTGTGATATTATGAGAACAAATCATTAGTCAAGAAATGTCTTACCTTGGCATCGTAGTTGCCACCAGCAGCAAAAGCAGATTCCATTTATACCTTTACATTTGATCGAAACACCTAACGTTTTACAAGAATTAGCTTCAAATTGACAATTGCAGATCTAAACGATCTAATGATGAAAAGCAATGAATTTAAAGAAAAATAATCATAATTATAAAATTACTATAAGGTATAAACAAGACCACAACAATGCACGAGGCATTTCAATGAAACAGAGAGAACCTTACAACACCCGAAAAGCTGCCCTTGAAGCACAAAATGTCAGAATTTCAACAGCCTTATTGCAACAGCGATATTGCACTACAGTCCATTAAAATGAAGCCGCCACGGTGCGTTACAGTGGTAGATGCAACAAAAGACACATTGTGCATCGTGACCCCTATAAGGTCAAAAAGTTTTGTGTCACGAGTCAGCTGGGACGACAAAATAGAGATCACGAAACATAGAAATGTATTGTACAGCTAGTTAATATCGAGAGAGCTGGTATTTACCTCGAAGAATACATCATTTAATGTAAAGTCCAGTGACAGTCAAATTTAACCGCGAGAAACAAGACTTTATTATTCTTTAACAAATTGACAGTGAACCCCTATCTTGGGTCTGACAAAGCAACAATGAAAATATTTTCAAATCTGCTAAACGTGATATTATCCGCAACGTCACACAAACTCCTAGAATAAGTACTGAGAAGTAGCTACACGAGCACAGGACCAGCTAACGAACCAATCAGACCTCAACAAATGAGACCGCGTGATCCGCACTATCCAATCACAGGACAGTTTATTGTTCACGTGACCAATACCAACCAACCAGGCACGCGTTCGTCTGTAGTCGACTGAAGCATGAAATCAATGATTGTTTGACATGCAGGTTACAACGTGGAAGAGGCTCTGAAATGACGGATGTGGAGGAATGTGAACATACCAGTAACACACAAACAAACAGACGATCAACCAAACACCTGACCCACCCTGGGGAGAACTAACAGTAACGTTAGTCGTTAACCGTGAGGAGGCGGTGAAGTGTGCAACAAGTGAGGTAGGAACAGCAAGGTGGCATCACGCTTCTAGTGTGAAGCGTGCAGCACGTGCCTTGATATCACAAGCAAGCAAATCAGCCAGCCTCGTCTAACACATCTGTATCAGTTACAAGACCCTAGTGTCTGATACTGTATTAGTTACATGACGAGCCTAGTCTATCAGTTACATGACCCTAGTGTCTGATACGATAATATGACCCTAACAGACGGTTAAGCAAGAGCGCAGACAGCAGGCGGAGGACTATGGGGTGACTCAATTAGAAACTGTTAGCTGCCAGAAGGAGCTGTTAAATTGAAATCGTTAGCAAGTGACCCAGCACACGCCCCGACAGTAGCCAACACGTCGCAACTGTAGCCGATAGTCTAAACGCAAGCTGATAGGGGGAGAGAGCACCTATACACTGAAACTAAATCGTGAGGAGCTGGTTTACAGTTGAGATGATCTCGTTAATACTGCTGACTCCGTTTGTAAGTCTCGTGAGGAGGCGGGAGTTTCATCTCCACAGAACAGAACACAGTCGACTGTCTGGTCTCGGGCGCGTGTCAGACTAAGAAGAGTAATTATTGTGTACGGTGAGTAAACTGTACACGAAACTAGGGTGGAAGAGTGAAAGAGAGACGAAAAGTTGGCAATCAGGGCGCTGAAGACACCGAAACACAAATGACAGACTAGCATGTAAAACAGAGCAACGTTAACTACTAAACTAAGAAACTAAGAGCTAATAAAGGGTAAGGTGAGAGAGGGGGACCCGGCACGCGATTTAATGCGAGTCCCATTATCTGCTCTTGTCAAGAGGGAGAGCTCACTAGATTAAGTGATGATGAGCTCGCCTAGGTCACCTGACCACATCTCTTCCTCATGATTGGCTCGTGCCGGCTATCCGCGCTGTGATTGGTCAGTGACGTGTCACGTGGGCGGAGGAATCCGTGTGAGGGGCCGGAGAGGTGATGTGGTGTTAATAGACGCGGTGTAACCCGTGGTATAGGTGAGGTATTGCCGGGCCCCCAGGGCTCCCAGCTCGAGATCTAGTCGGGAACAGAGTGTGGATCTACACGCCACATCAACCCAATTAAATTGGTGGGCAACTTTATGCGGCTTGAACTTGAACTTTAGCCAGGACGAAGATACAAACTCCAGTCCAGACATAATCCCACCTCCAGGGCCCAGTTTACCTTCTGCAATGGTTCTTAATTATCACATATCACTTACAGTGTATGAATATCAGTACATGCTGCAAGAAGTGTAACAGACCATCAACATGACTAGTTGTACACTTCGCGAAACACCCGAGAAAGTTAACCTTGTATTGGTTCACCACGCCCGTTAACTTTGTGCGGCTTAACTACCAGTAGCTACTTGTAATGTTGACTCGCGGCGACAAAGCATACCAAAATATAAGTGTAATCTTCAGGGTTCAGATATGTAGATTTTATTGAAAGTATGTTGAGTTTATCCTAAAGAAGATCTACAAACGCCAGAAAAATTATTGGAAGCCTAATTGCAAATGAAATTCCTAAAAAAGCTTGCTTATAGTGGAGAAAAGTCGTATAAAGTCTATATCGGTATTGCGTACATGGTGGTTGTAACAAAGAATTGAAGATATAATGTAGTGGTTAGGCTTCCTTGCTACTAACCGGAGCAGTGCCGTTTTACACCATGGTGTTAAGGCCAGCTCAATTGGTCCAACGAACTTTAATATGTCGGTTAAAAATAGGGAAAAATATGAGGTGTTGGTATCGATAAAACGGCTGAACAAAATCAACTTAATCTTTAGACCGAACAGATAAGGATTAACGGAAGAAAGGTAAATATTAATGATAAGTGACAAGAGAACATTATAAATTAGCCCGCTCTTTTTTATCTTTTTTAATTTTATCTGATAAGATTTACATCATGATTTCGGGCTCGGTTTATTTCTTTAAAATGTGCCTTTAAAAAGAGAAAAATCTTAAATATAATGATAAAAACGGGGGATCATAGACACTACACATGCTCCGCTAATTCAGAGACATACGTGTAAATTTACGATACAGAAAGAGAGATCTAATTAATATACCCTGTTCCGGTACCTGATCACAGAGGACTGATGAGGGTGCCCCACGCGCTACCCATCACCACCCCTTTTATCAGCTGTTATCGGCTGATTCAACTCATCATTACCCTTATTAACTCCCTGTCACAATATCTATCATACCTTTGTCAAATACACATCCACTGTCAAGCACACACAGGAACCAATGACACGGTGGCCGGGGGCGCGAGGACGTCTGATCGCAAAATTTAAAACAAAGCCGAGGAAACAATGCTGTGGTTCGTTGCTGAGGACGTCAACAGCTGACTACTCTGTAGGTGTTGCCTCGCTATAGCCCTCAACGAAGATTTCTTAGAATCAAACAAATCAGAGAGGATTGCACTAAATTTAGACAGGTATTTGGTTGGAAAAACTATCTGCTATATCGGGATCCATCACATGCTAGGTACAGAAAGTAACAACTACCCTCCTCAAGACGGGCAAATGCCAGAAGAGGGCTCGCAGCGCGGCAGAAGAGAGCATGACGTGTCTGGAGCGGTGTAACATGTGGTGGTCTCATTGACACCCAGAGATCGGTCACCGAGCGGGGAGAAGCGCTCCAACTGTGGGCACGAGTCGCCTGTCAGCACTCCCCATCATACAGGGAGGGAGTCATCTCCTAGCAGCGTTATATTCAGTATCATGGTCCGGATAAAGTGGCACAAAAAGAGAGGGATCAAAGGACTCAGGGGGTATTTATAGAAACGTTTATCCACAGAGATGGGGTGAAGTGTAGGGTCTATATTTTACTATACAACTAGGTGGTACTTGTTCTGTATTATACACTAACATGATTACAGGTCCACCGTTCACACGATAATTTCCTGTGTAGTTGAGGGATGGGGAGCCTGGTACCAGGTACCATGGTAACCATAGATACCGTGGTAGCCATGTGCATGGGTACCATAGCAACTAGGCACCACAGTAACCATAAGAAACCATTGTAACCAGGCCCCTGAGTAACCAGGCGCCTAAGTAACTACACAAGTTTTTTGTGGGTATCGTAGTAACCAGTTACCAGGTACCATGATAACCAGGCACCATGGTAATCAGTTACCAGGTACCATGATAACCAGGCACCATGGTAATCAGTTACCAGGTACCATGATAACCAGGCACCATGGTAACCAGTTACCAGGTACCATGATAACCAGGCACCATGGTAATCAGTTACCAGGTACCATGATAACCAGGCACCATGGTAATCAGTTACCAGGTACCATGATAACCAGGCACCATGGTAACCAGTTACCAGGTACCATGATAACCAGGCACCATGGTAATCAGTTACCAGGTACCATGATAACCAGGCACCATGGTAACCAGTTACCAGGTACCATGATAACCAGGCACCATGGTAATCAGTTACCAGGTACCATGATAACCAGGCACCATGGTAACCAGTTACCAGGTACCATGATAACCAGGCACCATGGTAATCAGTTACCAGGTACCATGATAACCAGGCACCATGGTAATCAGTTACCAGGTACCATGATAACCAGGCACCATG